TCAGTTTTTTCCTCGTAGACCTTCCCTGCTGCATGTCAGCAAAATATTCTCATTTAAATTAAGTATAATTTAAACCAAACTGTCGGCTGGTTGTTGATTTTTTTATTTGAATTAATTATAATTTCGACCAAACTGTCGGCTGGATGTTGATTTTTTATTTGAATTAATTATAATTTCGACCAAACTGTCAGCTGGTTGTTGATTTTTTTTATTTGAATTAATTATAATTTCGACCAAACTGTCAGCTGGTTGTTGATTTTTTTATTTGAATTAATTATAATTTTGACCAAACTGTCAGCTGGTTGTTGATTTTTTTTATTTGAATTAATTATAATTTCGACCAAACTGTCAGCTGGTTGTTGATTTTTTTTATTTGAACTAATTATAATTTCGACCAAACTGTCAGGTGGTTGTTGATTTTTTTATTTGAATTAATTGTATTTTCGACCAAACTGTCAGCTGGTTGTGGATTTTTTTTATTGAATTAATTATAATTTCGACCAAACTGTCAGCTGGTTGTTGATTTTTTAATTTTTTGGAGGGTTTTTATAACACAGTTTTAAATAATATATATTGCACAGTTATTGATTATTGAAAGTTAACAGGACAAAGTTCTGTATATTTATATAAAAAGTTGTAATTTATGTTTGTCTGTTTTTTTGTTTTTACATTCAATCATAGATCATAAACCCCTTGACCAATTTGCCACAAATTTGAATTGGGAACTCGGAGGAACCACGGGAATGTCCTTAGGCTGGTTATGAGTTAAGAGGATCCCCTTTTATAGGGAAAATTAGCTAAAGTCGTAATTTACGACCAAACGCGGGTAAACGGCGGGAGTAACTTTGAGTACCCTGGGCAACGCTGGGTTCCCAAGCTAGTCTATTATTATAACGCCAAGCCATAGCATTGAACTTTAAAAGATTTTTATTAAAAACATTAAAAAGTAAAATTAAGTAATCTCACAGAATTTCAGAAGCTTAAAACCCCTGATAAGTATATTTTTGAGGCCATCCAGTATTTTTGTAATCATACCGGTCAAATTTCCTTCTATAAATAATTTACTGATGTACTAAGTCCCATGTATTGATGTTATCCGTTTAGGATTGGGCCTAGTAAATCTCAGTCGCGCCTACGCCGTTGAGCCGGTAGGACGTGTATATTGTGCCCCCTTCAGTTCACGCTTGTTTAGTTAAAAATTAAATGCGAAAAAGTCATGTCATGCCGTAACGTAAACAACATTTTATGCAATCATTAAACAATCAAAGTTTCAGTTTAAGTATTAACAGCACCGATAATGTTTTTTTTTATATAAATATAAATATATATATCGGATGCTTACTGGTCAGTGTATTCTATTGACTGTATACTGTTGTTAGGGACAGGGTTGTATGAGATATACCTCCAAGGTTATTCCATTAAACCCATAGTCATTGGGTTAAACAATGATTCTTTGGACATGGTTCATCTCTACAAAGTGATTAAAAGAACTAAAATAGTGATATCAAAAAATTAACGGAATAAGAAGACAACATTATGGCAATTCTAAAGTGTATATGATGTTGTTGAAAAGCAAATAGTTTTACTTATCACTTGGGTTTTTTATTGTTAAAGGTTGATTCTAAAAGTCGTCTTTCTATTATAGAGTTTTCTGGTTATTACTGTAAGAGTTTAAATACAGAAAAAATTTCAAAATTTCAACTATCACAATGGGGTTTGGGGTTAAATTTGCATTAGTAAAGATTTATTTTAAAATCCGAATTGAAAGAAAGAAGACGACATTATTTTGTATTTTTAGTGTTAGAAGGTTAAGAAAATCTAATATTATATTAATAATTTCTCAATTCAGACTTTTTAGCTAGACATCAATTCTCCGTTATTCATTGGTTGATTTGGCCGCCTTTCACTGATCCATCACAAAATATTAAATGCACAAAAAGAAAGAAACTGTTAAGACGACTTGAAACTTTTCAATTTTGACGATTCCAAGTTTATATTAGGTCTTCTGTCTTAAACGTGGTCTTTAAATGACTTTTTTAATTATTTACCAAAGAAAGAAAAAGTTTACAGAATTGCAGGGAATAACAAATATAAGGAAACAGACAGTATACATTCCGTACAGTCGTCTCTGAAGTCTCTTCAGACGCGCCTGATTTAAAGTAGTCATGAGAGACTTAAGTTATAGTTAATCATATACAAATTGTAACTTTCTTTGAATAGATACAGACTGGCCAGAAAAATTGGATTAATATTTCAGACTGGATTGACTTTCAAGTGTCCCTACACCTTTACCTCACTTAACTTATATATTTACTTGTTAGTAGCACTAGTCGTGATTATTTTACAAATATAAAGCGCTAAATTTTTAGTTTTCAAGCTTGTATCTTTGGAACCAAAGAGAATAGAATACATATTAGAGTAGAATTTACTAAAAAAATCGTAAAACGGCCATTTTGTTGTACTGTTTCCATACTGCAGGTGTACTTCACATATTTGTGCTATATAACCTTTTGGGCCCTAGAACATTATTTTATAGAAAATCTAAAAATATTATTAAAAGAAAACCAAATTATGAAATAGGCTGGTTTCATAATTGACCAATGATAATATCACATAGACTCTATGCCTTTCACTTTACAAACGATGATTTTCCGTTATAACTATAAATTAAATGATGTTTTTTATTCACCTAATTCATTTTTTAACAGCTTTAACAAATTCGAAATTGAAATGGATAGTCTAGGGAACATACTGTATTAATGTACTCTACTGCATATAATTTGCGAACATTTACATGATTTGTACACTTTGAACTCCGTGTCAGGCTGAAAGGGACTATCAAAATTCATAACAAGGGATTTTCTAAATTCCACTCTAATATATATTCTATTCTCTTTGTTTGGATCACTGTGACTTGTGTATTTTCAAAAGTAATAAGTAAAAAAAATATTTCACAAGACTTTAAAAAAATTAGAAGCAATGGGAATTTAAACTCCCGAGTAAAATTAATGAGTATTTATAAAAAGTTTTGGGCCCGTATTTCTTGGTGTAGAATAGATTAATATTTGCCTAATATCATAAAAACTAAATCTATACATTAGATTTCCGGCACTCAATTTTCAGGTAGAAAAATAAAGATATATTCTGTATCTTTGACCAAAGGGTATCATTGTGAATCGAACAGGTCACTAGAAATGACGTCTGAAGTCCCTTTAACGGTATCTCATAACCCCGGCAAGACTGTACAATACAATATTTTTTTAAGTATTTTAAACTGTAATGTACAGCTTGTACATTTATACTCATTCGTATTTCTCAAGGAATATTATTCTATGGTTGTATTGGACATACTGCAGTACGTTTCAGTGGTTTACCGACAGAGGGTCATACAACTTAGGATTAAACAACATAGGGTCTTAAACGACCATGGCTCAATCGACTTATGGGTCAAACGACAAACGGTCAAAAACGCGTCAAAGGGTAAAAGGGCAAATGGTCAAAATGGAGAGAAAATATTTATCTATTATTTCAGGGTTAGGTCAGGTTAAACAATTTCTGGGCTAAACAATGCGGCTAGGACTGGCTAGGCTAGGGGGCCGAGCGCTGCGACTAGTCGTTCAAATGAACATAAAACATCGCATAAAACTATGTATTACTTCAGGGTTATGTTAGGTCGGGACAAAATCTGAAACACTGCGGCTAGGACAGGCTAGTTCTAATAAACATAAAAATAGTTAAAATTAACCAAAAATTGTCTAAATGAAATTTTGCCCGTTTTTCGTACTTTTGACACTAAGTCGTTTTACCCTATGTCGCGTTTTTGACCGTTTGTCGTTTGACCCTAGGTCGTTTGACTCTATGGCATTTTACCCTATGGTCGTTTGACCCTGTGTCGGTGAATCCTGTTTCAGTTGTTTATTTGTTTATTTATTATTTATGTTATGTACAGGGTTATGTACAAAGGATGAGAGTTCATATACGATTAAGTAGGAAATTTACACATGCTGTTTCCTTATATTTCTGACTCCCTGCAATTGTAAACAGGTTTCGATCTTTGCCAAATCTTTAAATAAGTCCTTACAAGACTTTATTCTAGGTAGAAAATTTAATTCAACCTAAAAATCCTCATATTTTGAAAGTTTCAGGTCGTCTTTACAGTATCATCCTTTGTGGGTAACTTTGTATATAAGCTTAAAGGAACTCTTTTAAGCAAATAGATTCTAGTACAATAGATGGCAACGTAGAATTTGTACGCTCTCAGTACAGTTATAGTAATACTTGATAATCTATTTGCTTTTAAGTAAAGATGAACTGCAGTTTCTGGAAGAAATGTTGACACACATCAAACCTGCGCTTTCCAGACTAAGATCTGTTTACATTCCTCCCAGAAACTGCAGTACACATTATTTTACAGAAGTTACTTTTATAATTCTTGGTAACAATCAGGTAACAATTCCCTCCGATGTACACACTACACAACCGATGAGCCTATAGCAAAATTGGTAGGCTTGTGTACATCGATTGTGTACATCTGCACGATATATGTTTAAGCAAGGAGATTCTATTCAATATCTCCTTGTGTTTAAGTATCTAATACTAAACTCTGTGTATACTGTATATAGCATGATTGTATTTCTAGTGTACATCTGCACGATATATGTTTAAGCAAGGAGATTCTATTCAATATCTCCTTGTGTTTAAGTATCTAATACTAAACTCTGTGTATACTGTATACAGCATGATTGTATTTCTAGTGTACATCTGCACGATATATGTTTAAGCAAGGAGATTCTATTCAATATCTCCTTGTGTTTAAGTATCTAATTCTAAACTCTGTGTATACTGTATATAGCATGATTGTATTTCTAGTGTACATCTGCACGATATATGTTTATGCAAGGAGATTCTATTCAATATCTCCTTGTGTTTAAGTATCTAATACTAAACTGTATACTGTATATAGCATGATCTTATTTCTAGTGACTCCAGTTAATTTCACCTTGTGAAAGTTTGTAAAAAGCTTGATGATATTCCAGAATAATGAGCAAAGGAAAAGTAACAAGATTCTTCAAAAAGTACTTTTGGGAAGGTGAGCAATAACATAAGTTTAAGGTGTCCACGCGATGACAATGTCAGCGTGAACACTAAGGTGTCCACGCGATGACAATGTCAGCGTGAGCTCTAAGGTTTCCACGCGATGACAGTGTGAGCGTGAGCCCTAAGGTGTCCTCGCTATGACAGTGTGAGCGTGAGCTCTAAGGTTTCCACGTGATGACAGTGTGAGTGTGAGCACTTAGGTGTCCACGCGATGACAGTGTCAGCGTGAGAGCTAAGGTGTCCACGCGATGACAGTGTCAGTGTAAGCACTAAGATGTTCATGCGATGAGTGTGAGCTGGTGACCCCTAAGGTGTCCAATAATGACAGTGTCTCGCGGTTAACCAACTTTTGAAAATGGATGTGCCCAATAACTTTTTCTTCAAAATGCGTACTGTATAGAAGAAAGCATGCTAATTTAAATTTTAAAGCTTATCAACACTAAAACTAAAGGATATGATCGCTTCTGAAGTTTGAAAACGCCCTAAGTAGCTCTAAAATAGTTTTGGTTTAAATGATGTGTAATTTTCTTGAAAAATTGAAAGGTGACATAGTTGTGCTTTTAAAAATCCATAAAATGTACTTTTGTAAAAAATAAACATCAAAGATAATATATAATCTTTATGTTTAGGACAGAAGCTAGATGATACGCAGCTGGAGGCTCTAAAAGAGCTGTCTCATGATGCTTCTTTAACACAAAAGCTCCTTGTTAAATATCGCCGATTTGTCGGTAATTATTTTTTAAATCAAGATATTGATTAAAATAGAATATATCCAATTTTAGAATATGTTTCTACAATTTTTACTTTTAACAAAAGATAAAATGCCATAATAAATTTAAAACACTTTTTTTAATCATGATTTAAACAAATTATATTTTCAGAGTAAAAAAATTCGGCAAGCTATAAAAAGAGCAAACTAATAAAACATCTCAAAAAAATTTCATTTCAATATAAGAGGAATTTCAATTTCAGAAACATTCGAGTTTTTCCGACCCACCATGATATAACACAATTTTATCCTTATGAAATTTGTTTGAGGTTCAATTAAAAACATCAACACTGTTACAAATATAATAATACTTTGTTTAGTTTTTTAGTTTTAAGATTTTTTACTTTCTTCTAGAATATTTATTCTTTCTGTCCAATTTAATGGTATCTGCAGTTCACTAAATTCAAATCATTGTACAGTGATATCTATAAAACTGTACGGAATAGAAAGACGACATTTAAGCAAACTTATTGTATTTTGCATGTTTTGTAGTAAAGCAAATAATGTTCATGACACAATTTCTGTGCTTCGTGTTCATTGAACTCTTCAAGATCATTACTTTTATAAATATGATAAATAAAACGATAATAACAAAATAGCCCAAGTCCGGCCGATTCCAAAATGTGGTCTGCCTTTATTGTGCGTTTAAAATCACCAGAGATATATATATTTAAAGTTGTCTGATTAACTGGCAATTAATTTCGGGTCTTTCTGGTTAGAGCTGTATCAAATATTTGAGAAAATATCATACAATTTTTTTAATCTATTTTAGAATTCAATATTTTCAATTTGTTTTATTCATCATTTGATCATTGGTAAATTTAGGATTAAAAACAAATGTTTTATTAATCAGTTATATGTATATTTGTGAGAGTTAATACAGTGATTTCATATTTACGATTGGTCCTACAATGATTTAATAACACAATGATTATTATTTAGGATTTCTGCTGCAATAGCTTGATAACACAACAATAACATATATTGGGTTGCTGATACAATGATTTAATAACACAATTATTATTATTTAGGATTGCTGTTGCAATAGCTTGATAACACAACGATAACATATATTGGATTGCTGCTACAATGATTAATAACACAATGATTATATATTTAGGATTGCTGCTACAATGAATTAATAACACAATGGTTATAAATTTAGGATTGCTGATACCGGCGTTGATTGTACAATCTTTATGGTGGATGCAGGTCAGCACGAGGGGGGCATGTTTTAAAATCCAGCCTAATCTAGAGTTTCCCTTTTAAAGTAAACCTACCCAATTTAGAATTTTTAAACCAAGCTAAGACTATTTCCTTGGTTCTGCCGAGTTCCTTATTTAATTTTGAAGCAAATCGGTCAAGGAGTTCCTGAGTTATGATCGGAAAAAAGGAACAAACAGACAAACAAGCAGAGATTACCATCTTATATATATTTCCATAATAAATTGTTAGTTTTTAATAAATACATTTTTCTTTTGTGTGCACTGTTGATAAAAACTGTTGGGATTTTGTTTCATCTTATCATCAATATTTTAGGCCATTAGGCACGATTATTTTAGGCCATTAGACATGATTATTTTAGGCCATTAGACACGATTATTTTAGGCCATTAGACATGATTATGATAGGCCATTAGACACAATTATTTTATGCCATTAGACACGATTATTTTAGGCCATTAGACATGATTATTAGACCATTAGACACGATTATTATAGGCCATTAGTTATGATTATTATAGGCCATTAGACACGATTATTTTAGGCCATTAGACACAATTATTTTAGGCCATTAGACACGATTATTTTAGGCCATTAGACACGATTTTTTTAGGCCATTAGACAGGATTATTTTAGGCCATTAGACACGATTATTTTAGTCCATTAGACACGATTATTATAGGCCATTTGACACGATTATTTTAGGTTATTAGACAAGATTATTTTAGGCCATTAGACACGATTATTTTAGGCCATTAGACATGATTATTTTAGGCCATTAGACACGATTATTTTAGGCCATTAGACACAAATATTATAGGCGTTAGACACAATTATTATAGGCCATTAGACACGATTATTTTAGGCCATTAGATACGATTATTTTAGGCCATTAGACACGATTATTTTAGGCCATTAGACACGATTATTTTAGGCCATAAGACACGATTATTTTAGGCTATTAGACACGATTATTTTAGGCCATTAGACACGATTATTTTTCACTGTTCCCTGAGCGTTATTTGATGAGCATTACGATGATTTTTGGCGCGACTGTAGCAGGTATAATTTTTATTTATTTATAGTTATGGTCAATTCGCCTGAAATTTTTCGAGGGAGCCCATGGGTACCCTGGGGCTAGCATAGGCTAACATTTTTTTGGCATTCAAATTTCTTTCTCTAAAATTCAACGGGCAACGCTGAGCACTCATAGATTAAAAGAACGAAGCCGACAATCATTTAATATTTTTTTTACCAGAGTTAACATCTAAATTTATAATTAGTTATAGCTGATCTGGACCAAATTGGTTGAATTTCTTTAAGGAAACCTGTGTTAGTACAGGGTGTCCCACGAAACATGAAAGTTGGTAAATAGTTTAGAATGTCTCCTTCCATAATTTGTTAAGTTGTTTAATACCAAAGACAATTATAAAAATATCATATGGTAGTCTTTAATATCTAATACATTGTATGGAAGACGACATTCAAAACTATTCATCAACTGTCATGTTTTGTGGAACACCCTATACCTGAAAAAAATCATGATTTAATACCATGCGCGGGTGAACGGCGGGAATAACTATGACTATGAATAGAAGTATAAACACGGGCAACTCTCCCGCTAGTGTATTTATAACTATGCAAATATTCATATTTTAGGTATGACAAGTGAAGGAGGGGGTGCAGTAGCTTTCCCAGTTATGACATTGGGTGAGGAATAAAGTTTATAAACAGTCAAACAAATAGATAGTTTTCATTTTTCAACAAATCTTTTTTTTAAATATTTTTTTGGTTTCAGCCAAAACAATTGTTTTAATCCTAAAAACAAGGAATTACAGAAAAATCTAAAATTTAAATATTTTAAAAGCTTTGTTTGGGTCAATATTGATATAATTCAAGCCTAGAAAACTTTATGAAAATGAATAAGGCCAGTCAAACATAAGCTTTCAGGTTATTTATTCTAAAACTCATGAACCTCATGAACCTCATGAACCTCTTGAACTGATTTGCCTCAAATTTTAATCGAAAACTCGTCAGAACCAAATTTTAAACAAATTCCTAGTTAAGTGGGTTGACTTTGACCGAAAGGATTATATTTCCAGACAAAGCTAGTTTATAAAAATGTATTGAATATTTATATTGAATTTCAGCGCTAGCGATAGCTCCAGGTGTTGCGAGGGATTTTTCTTTAATGATACAAGCAACAGGTTGGTTTATCATCTATACTTAGCCACTTTTTCTTTAATGATACAAGCAACAGGTTGCTTTATCACCTATACTTAGCCACTTTTTCTTTAATGATACAAGCAACAGGTTGGTTTATCATCTATACTTAGCCACTTTTTCTTTAATGATACAAGCAACAGGTTGGTTTATCACCTATACTTAGCCACTTTTTTCTCTTTTGTCATTTTCCCAAAGTTCAGGGTGTCCCAGGAAACATGACAGTATATAGAAAGACGACTTGAAAGTCGTCTTTGATCTTGGAATTCATTTTGGACATTCAGTCGTCAACCTACTTTAACATGTAGAATTCTTGAAACAATAACCTCAAAATTCTCCTAGTCCTGTGTGGTCTGCCTTTTTTATTGTTAATATTACCGGAGATATCAAGAGTTTTGTTCAGATTTCAATTTTATTATATAGAACCAAAATTGTCGAAATGTCAACAAAATTCTTTTTATCTCGGGTAATATTAAAAGCACAAAAAAGGCAGACCACATTTGGGAAATGTCAGGACTAGCAGCGGTATTCTGTGATTACTATCTCAAAAATTTTACTTCTACAGTGAAGTTGACAAATAAAAGCAGCAAATTCAAAAATAAAAGACGACCTTCAAGTCGTCTTGCTACTGTCATGTTTCGTGGGACACTCTGAATTTTCCAAATGTTCATTTTTCAAATAGAAATTTCCCTAAAAAAAGATTTTTGAATGTCCATTTCTTACAAAAAAAACTGTTTTTCTTGGTTTGTAACAGTTTTCATTAAATCCTGCAAATTTAAAAACTTATTTATTGCAGATCCATTTTTACATAGGAATGTAAAACTAGAGGGTGTTATCTAATGATTTATACATTTTCGAAAAGGAAATGAGTTTTTAACGCAAAATCTGATTTTCTAACCCTGCAACTCGATGTTGTAGACCTTATATCTTAAACTATGTTACTCGATGTTGTAGACCTTATATCTTAAACTCTGCTACTCGATGTTGTAGACCTTATATCTTAAACTATGTAACTCGATGTTGTATACCTTATATCTTAAACTCTGCTACTCGATGTTGTAGACCTTATATCTTAAACTATGTAACTCGATGTTGTATACCTTATATCTTAAACTCTGCTACTCGATGTTGTAGACCTTATATCTTAAACTATGTAACTCGATGTTGTATACCTTATATCTTAAACTATGTTACTCGATGTTGTAGACCTTATATCTTAAACTATGAATTCTGCTAGATGAAGTTGTCTGAATTATGAATTCTGTTAGATAATATAGTCTAAGTTTGAACTATCAAAGATTTACACCGTCAGCTTGCAAAGAAATTAGAAGTTGCATTTTAGAGATTAAAAATCTCATAGTTTGATACTGCTGGGAAAAGTTGCATCGTTTTTTAAAATTGGACTTTTAAGTGTCGCAACTGGGTTGACTTTAAGCCCCGTAACTAAGTTGACTCTTTACAGTGTCGCAACTGGGTTGACTTTAAGTGCCCTAACTAAGTTGACTTTAAAGTGCCAAAACTGGGTTGACTGTAAAGTGCCGCAACTGGGTTTTACTTTAAGTGCCGCAACTGGGTTGACTTCAAGTGTCGCAACCGGGTTGATTTTAAGTGCCGCAGCGCCTTGATATTTAACTTTAATTGGCAAAATTCTCATAAATGTTTGCGGAAAAACATGCATCCTATGGATCACTGTGAAATGTATCTCTGCTTATTCTAGGAATGAGTTGTGCCTCCTTCACAATAATTTGGATGAAAATTAAACTTGAAAATAATTCTGTTGTTTTCTGCAGTATTGGAGCCATCGCAGGGATGATACTAGGTAAAGAAAAAACTTTTTTTCATAAAATTTCGTTTCCTAGAATTTTTATTTTTAAACATTAAATTTAAATGGCCCTTTATTTGTAGATTGACAAGAGTACGGCCTAAAAAGGTTTGTCTGTGTCCGAATTGAATGAATTTAAGTCGCATCTCAAATCCCCCAAAAACCTGTTTCAATTTGGCGCCGGCTTAAACCTTGAAAAATTAAGTGAAACCAACCATATTTGAGCCGCGGCTAAAATTTAACCCGCGGTTTAAATTCTTTAAATTCGGGTTTTGGTCAAGAATGATTAGGGTTTCCAGTCGAAATTTTTTGCACGAACATCGTGCGAAAATTGCGCAAAGATTTGCTTACGTTTCAGAAAATTATTCCAACTATTTAACCACTTTTCAAAGTTAGAAAAACAACGATATGGTCCCCTTCATTGATAATATTTTTGATTAAAGGGTATTGTTGTGAATCGGGTATGTCCCTCTTTTTTTCAATGGAGAGTCCCATGGAAGCTACATAATTTTATTAAAAACCAGGCTTTTTGGGCGCTTCGCGCCCAATGCCCATTTTCTATTTCAACTTTTAACTGTGGCTTTATCTGTGACCGGCTTTAACTATGAGCATCTTCTCTTTGTACAGTATAAAAAATTAAAAATTTTAAACACAAAATTTTGAAATTTTGATCATTTATAAGCCTTCTCTGGAGCCACGTGAGGTCCCACACAAAATTTGGGCCTGATCGGTTCTGCCGTTTTGACGTTTATTGGATACAAACAAACAGACAAACACCCACCCAGACTCCAGAGTCCAGACAAGCTAAATTTATATATAGATTATATTTGGATAAAATCTTTTAGTTTGGTTTCCCCTTGGCAGTTGGGATCTTTTATTTGAAATAGGCTCGAAAAATACAAAAGCTTTTGGCATTTCAACAAATAAATGGGGGTAGGGGATGGAGGGGGACGGGACGGGAAGAGATATTGTTTAAACCAAAAGGATTTTTTGTACAAGAATTTATCACTGTCAAATTTGTTATGTTAACTGAAAAATCTATTGTATAATTTTATTTCTCTCAATATTTTACTGTACTTTCCAATTATCCTGTATCCATGATTTTCATTGTTTCAATTTAAACCCAGATACTTAGAAATGAATTTTTGCCGTCTGTTCAAATTTTCTAATCCCTCTTTCTTTCCAACCTGATGGTGTAACTGTAACCCTTTTATATTTTAAACTTAAATGATAGAATTCCTAATTTGAAATATCTAAGGTTGTAAAGAGATTAGAAAATACGAGTTTGTGACAAAGACTCAATTATTGATTATTTTTTATTGAAAGGGTTGGAGGTGATTGATGAGTTGCTGACACCAGCACAGAAGAAACTTGGGTTTGTTTGTATCTGGTTTAGCTTTGCGTTCTCACTCTTTCTTCTAAACAGGTCATTTTTTAAACATGTTATTCTTTCTGTAAACAGGTCATTTATATCTTTTAAACAGGTCATTCTTTATTTAAACATGTCATTCTTTATTTAAACATGTAATTTTTATCTTTTAAACAGGTCATCTTTTCTCTTAAACAGGTCATTCTTTATTTAAACAGGTCATTCTTTATTTAAACAAGTCATTCTTTATTTAAACATGTCATTTTCATCTTTTAAACTGGTCATTATTTCTTTAAAACAGTTCATTCTTTATTTAAACATGTAATTTTTATCTTTTAAACAGGTCATCTTTTCTCTTAAACAGGTCATTCTTTATTTAAACAAGTAATTTTTATCTTTTAAACTGGTCATTATTTCTTTAAAACAGTTCATTCTTTCTTTGAAACAGGTTCTTTTCTAAACAAATCATTTTTTAAAACAGGTTCTTTTTAAACAGGTCATTCTTTCTTTTAAAGCAGGTCATTTTTTCTTTTAAAACAGGTCATTCTTTTTTTAAATCAGGTCTTAATTATGACTTTAAAATATGCCATTTTTATCTTTTAAACAAGTCATTCTTTCTTTTAACACATGTCATTCTTTTTTTAAATCAGGTCTTAACTCTTACTTTAAAAAAAGGTCATTTTTGGTTTTTAACCAGGTCATTCTTTTTCAAATTCTTACTTTAAAATAGGTATTTTTTATCTTTTAAAACAAGTCATTCTTTCTTTTAAAACAAGTCATTCTTTCTTTTAACTGCAGGTCATTCTTTTTTAAAACAGGTCATTCTTTCTTTAAATTAGGTCTTAATTCTTACTTTAAAACAGGTCATTTTTATCTTTTTTACAGGTCATTTTATTTGTAAAATGGGTCATTCTTTCTTTTGAGCAGATTATTTTTTTAATACAGGTCATTCTGACAAGTAATTAATTCTTTCTTTAAAAATGTCCTTTTTTAAACAGATCAATCTTTTTCTTTAACATTTCTGTTACAGGTTCTTAAGGAATAATTTTAAGTAACCTTCAATGTAGAATGACATGTCTGATTTACTTAAAGATCATTTCATTTTTTTCTTTAAAAAAGTTCATTCCTTCTTGTATTTACCTATCTCTTGCACATTCTTTTTGACTTTAATTTTAAAGAATTATGTCCTCCTCTACATAGGTTTACGTTAAAATATCAGATTTCTGATTTAAAGATAATTTTGTTTACTTTTAGTTTTATAAAACTTGTTTCGAATTTTGAAATGTCAAAACTTATATTTTAAAATAATATCATTTGAAATTTTTTTAACAAATGAAAGATTTGTGAATTTTTGTTGAATACTCATTCAGTAAAGTTTTTGATCTCCAAGGAAATTTCTCCCAATTATCAGTTTGTTGGAAACATTTATTATTTATTAATGATTTTTTAATTGAATTCGGCGAAAACTTGAGTTTTAAAATCACGAAGAAAAAATGACCACTTAAAAAGCAGCAATATTTAAACCATATTTCTTTTTGAGGGCGCGAGCCGTAAGCGCCCTAGAAGCCTCTAGTCATTAATAAAGATTTATATAAATGGTAAAATTGATGATAAAAATGTTACAGAGAGCACAAAAGGAAAACCTATGATCAAATTCAGAATTTAAACGCATGGAAAAGAAGCTTTTTAGTGTTTGCAGGATTTTTAGGAGGTAATTTTTGTTATTTTTTGGTCTAGGGGTTGTTCAGCGATATCAATCATTGTCAATTTCAAAGCTTAAACCTCAAATATTTTGTTACTTAAAAGAACAAATAATTACCTACTTTATTAACAGATGAATTGTATTAGAAAAATTTAAATTTTTTAAAAAGTAAAGACTAAATTTTGTATCTAATTAATTGTAATCTAAATAATAAAAGCTTAAAATTTATATGTTAAGTATAGCTGGCCAAACGGCTGGAGCAATTTTGCTGAATTTTTTGAGGGAACCCATGGGTACCCCAAGGGTGACTTAAGCTAAATAATTTGGGAAAATTTTTAAAATTTTACCGGGCACTCCAGGTAGTATGATATAATTCAATAAGATAATATAAAACGTAATCAATCTCTTTATTGAATCTTTTTTTTCTGCCAAAAATATTCTTCCTCAATTAAATATGTTTTCTGAATTGTGGTTAAAATGTAATATTTTAAGGTATATTTAGCGCAGTGGCTGGTAGTGGAGTAGATATTTGTTCATTTTCAGTTCTTACACTTCTTTTCAGGAAATTATTTTCAGATATTTATTATTGGATTTTAAACATGTTATATTCACAAAAGTACCCTTTTACCAATGATGAAGATTTCGTGCTTTTCCTAGCTTAAAGTAATTAAATTCTGGCATTTTATTAATTGTTGCTGCAGCATAAATCCGCAAGTCACTTTTATAAAGAAGCCACAACCGAAAATAATTAATTTTCAGCTATAATCGGGTTAATTAAAATAAAATGTCATAATACTTAAATTATAATAGCTTTGGAACCCGGTTTTTCATGGAAAATATAAGCTTTCGTTTTAAAAGCCAACACACTTAATTTGAATTTTTAAACCCAAGCTCAGAACATTCCCATGATTCTATCGATTTCCTAAATTAAAATTTGTGGCAAATCGATCAAGGGATTCATTAGATATGATCGGACATTTAAACCAACAAAGATAAATTACTACTTTATATGTATATAAGATGTATCACTCAATGATAATTTTTTGATAATTAAAGGCGAAAGTTCAATCCAACTCCCTAAAAATCTTCATTTTTTATACACTCCCATCTAAGAATGTCAGAGATAAGGAATGCTCTACTAAATCCGTGTACTTGGATAAATGGTTATATTTCAGAAAATCATTAAAGGTGCGACATTTAAAGGGAGTGTTCGCAAAAATTAAAGGGACAATAGGCTGATATCGGGCTATGTGTCTCTCTCACGTGGAACCCCTGAAACATCGAGAGCAGAGACACATAGCGATGAAATTCCCAATTTAAAAAAGCACCATATAACTTTTCTCTGATCAAGAAGGCATGAGATATCTATAATATTCTCTTTAAAATTAGATTATTTTCCATTATGGTTACTCCAGACACCAACTGGCGGATTTCTGCTACAGAAATATCAAAGAAAATAGGAATTAACACTTTTCCAACTAGATTCTAGAAAAACAGATATCATCCACATTATTATTTAGTTAAAGATTTGAAGGATACCGTTGTGAATCTAACGTTCCCCTCTTACTTATTTTTTTTAATGGAAGGTCTTTGGCAATGCAACGACGATGGTATTTAAAGTGAGTGACAATGTTTCAGTGTGGCTTATTAGATCAAACTTAAGTTCGGGCTTTAATGCTTTATTGTTATTTTAATATTTTTTATTTTAGGGTTAGTGAAAAGGTAGCTACACCTACCAGTATTCTATTGATGGCCTTCAATTCGTTAGTAGGTAACTTCATTAGGGTTTCGTATTTCGCAAACTTTTTCGCAAAATTTCGCATTTTTTTGCGTAAATAAATAAAGCGAAAAAATGCAAAATCGATGCGAAATTTCACAAAAAAAACATAGCTGAACAAACAATTGCGCGAAAAAACTTGTGGAATTCTCAGCTCTGAGCGCTCAGCTTTAGAAGTTTTATTAAATCATCTGAGAGCTCTTTATTAATAGTTTTATTATAAAATTATAAATTATAAAATCTCTTCCGTATTTTTTTCGCAAAATTTTCGCGTTTTGTCTCCCTAATTTTTCGCATTTGTTTTTTTCGTTTTGCATTTCTGATTTCGCGAAAATTTTGCTTTCTTTTGACACAGATTAAAGCAAAATTTCGCGAAAAAAGCTAAAATTTTCGCATTTTTTCGCAGGCAACCGAAATGCGAAATAATGCGAACTTTTTGGCGAAAAATCAGTTTTTCGTTAAAAATGCGAAATAATCGTGAAACGATTTTCCCTTTTCGCTGGAAACTCTAAACTTCATTCTTTTGTAGGTAACTTCATATGTTTGTAGGTAACTTCTTTTGTTAGTAGGTAACTTCACGTATACTTAGTAGGTAACAATTCATTTATTAGTAGGTAAGTCTTGAAAAACGAACGAAACAATATGCTCAACACTGTATACAGGCCCATTTCACTCATTAATGTTTATGTCCAATCTTTATTGTTTAAAGTATTTGCTTTGAAACGTAGTTAAATACACAAATGTCGTCTTCCTTTTCCACAGTTGTTTTATCGTAGGTTGCTACTGGAAAACTTTCATGATGGGAGGATTGGAGGAGGACGCCTGGGGATTTTTAAAGGAATATACTGATTAAATTGCACATTGAATTTTAACAGATTTTTTTATTGTTATTTATATATTTATGCAAAAAAAGTAATCGTGATTTATCTCCCGATAATTGTTGCGTAAACAGTACAGTACATGTAGGTGTGTGCCCCAGTAGTTGTAATCTTTGCTCCACTTGGATCCTTCCTTTCTAGTCATTTCCACAGGTACAGTTCACCTTCTTATACAGTCAACTCATCAAACTACAGAATAGGGAAACGACAGTTAACTCAATTGAGCAATTGTGCACACGCCACTTTACCTAATAGGTTTTTAAGACCGGAACTGAAAATAGTTTAACCATGTTAAAACAGATCTCGCAAGTTCCGGTCTGTGGTAAAATTGTAAAACAACATATCATTATATTGCGGCAATGTCGTCTGCCCATTACACAGTTTGGTAGGTCTCACTGTAGGTTAAGCTTGCATTGTGTTTACTTTATGTGAATTTTCAAAATTTAACTAACATTTTATATTTTTTTTAAGCAATGCTCAAAGATTCATCAAATTAGCTAAATGTGCTTCACGTGACATTTCTAAAATAAAGAAAAAAGGGGAAAATTTTGGGATGAAATCTTTGAATGAAACAACGAATCTTTTTAAAGAAATGATCATCTTTTGCTAATTGTTTTTCGTCTCTTTTTAGCTCCCTTATTTCCATATCTATGGAATTGCGAGGGAGGGGGGTGCTGGCCCCCCACTCTTTAATTCTTCCTTGGCTAGTTTAAAGGTTCAACAGAAAAAATGCTTTTGTAAAAACTATCTCTGCATACAATTTTTTATAAGTAATAAAATAAATAAATAAATTATGACCAGAGGGGGGGTGGTCACATTCCACTTCTGAGAAATTGAACGGGTGCTGTAATAAAACAAGTTTGTGTAAAAGATTAAGAATGTATCACAAAACTAAATTCGGAAAAGTTCTGTTAAGTGGGGTGGGTGATTTTCTTATTAATAAACGATTTTTTTTTGTAGACAAGTTCTTGCATTCCTAGTCTACATTCTGGATACTATAGCACTGGTAGGTTAATTAATTTATTTTATTTTGGTTAATTAATTTGAATTTTATTTTTATGAATACTGATATTAACAGTTACCAAATAAAGGGTAAACGTTATCAAGAATAAAAACCAAAATATTTAGTAGAAGTGACAAATTTTATGTATTCATTATTTTTACTGTTTCTGAGACGAACTGAGCCATGAAAACATAATAAATCCTAATATCTATAAAAAGACGATTTCGAATTCGTCACTGAATTCCCATAAACTTATGAATTGACATTTCAACATCTTAAATTTCAAATATCAAAGACGACCTTAAAGTTATCATGTGTCGTGGGATACCTTGTATAAATTAAAAAATACAAACTTGCCTTCCTCTTTTTACATTATTAGGTTAACAGGGAGCTTTGCAACCATATTCTGAGCTTTGTATTGATGATCTATCTATCTATCTTTTAACTAAACAATATCAACAACAACATTTATCGGACTTCTATGTTTTCATTTATAGATAAAAAAATTCATTCTGGGCCTCAGCAGCATTAATGAGGGTTCAAATAGACTTAGTTGTTTTCCTACAGTGATCGGCCTTTTCACAATAAAAACGACTTTTCTTTATAAGTTTTGATTTCTGACAAGCGTTATTGAAATTACAAGTTTAGAAGTAAAAAAAGCTGTTAATTCACTGATTCTCTTTGTTTATGTGTAGACATACTGTTTAAAACCTTGGTAGCAGGCAACCGAAATGCGAAATAATGCGAACTTTTTGGCGAAAAATCAGTTTTTCGTTAAAAATGCGAATTCATCGTGAAACGATTTTCCCTTTTCGCTGGAAACTCTAAACTTCATTCTTTTGTAGGTAACTTCATAAATATGGATAGGAATGGTTGCAAAATTTGTTGCTTAGATTTGCACAAATAAGATGCATGTGCGGAAAATTATGATTCATATATATGAATTTATGTAGCTATCATTTTGGTTTTACAACATAAATGGTTGCAGTTCTCTCTGCAGCATTAACCCACAAGTAACTTTATCGGTGAAACCAAAATTGAATAATGGAAAAATAAGAATATTTCATGCATATTGCATCCTAGACTTGACTTAAAGGTTTCTACAAGTATTACAACATGAATGGCTGTCTCTGCAGTTTAAACCCGAATTTTTTTTATCAATCAAACCAAAATTAAATGAAGTTAGAATAGAAAAACAAAAATTCATCCTTGACCAGACTTAACGATTTTAAAGGTACTGTTGTAAATGGTGGGTCCCCTGACATTATTTCTCCTGTCCCTTTAAAAAAAAAATTATCTTTATATGATAAATGTTTATTACAGCTGCAGTGTAGAGTCCCCTGGTATACAAGAAGAGATGAATACAGAACACGGTAGAACACAATTATAAAACAGTACATACATCAACACTGTACACAGTGTGCACTGTACATATTATGTTAACCATTTTGTACATACAAATTATGTACGCCTTAAGGATGAATTATACATTTCTCGTTCAGTGTACATAAAATGGATGTACACTACTAAGGACTAGGTACAATATATCAAGAATAAAAATGTATGCCACTTAATACATAGATTTTACGCACGCTATAGATCATATTGTTTATTGTAAATTGTCGTGTACATCTCCATTTTGCACTATGTACAGATCAATTTTGTACATAGTATATATATTATTGACTTTGTACGGATCAGCTTTGTACAATTTTAAAATGTTAAGTTCAGTTTAATCATCAATATTGTAAAGACCAATTAAAAAATATAACAATTTCTCCGAAAGAATAAATTATTCAAAAATATTTTGTTTTAATTTCGATACTTATTTTGACTAAAACTCTTAACTACACGTTATTAGAAAAATCAGCCGGTTTAATAAAATTGTTGATAGATATTTGCAATCATTCAGAACAAATAGTTTTATCAAAAATTAAGTTTTGTCAGTGTTATCTTGACCAGAAAGAGTTGATTTACATGATTTTTATGCATTGTTTTCTAAACGTGAAGAAAACTAACTTATGAATTGACATTTCAACATCTTAAATTTGAAAAATCCACTAACATGAATATGCTAAACGGACATCAAAACGATCAAGGGCGTATACAGAAATAAATCTAGGGGGAAGGAGGCAAAATATGCGCGAAGCACAAATTTCTTTTGCCCCCCCCCCCTCTGTATACGCCCTTGAAAACGATATCTATCAGTATTATCTTTGTATGTTGAAAAATAAAGAATATATAAAATCTAGATAGTTAATAAGATTCAATTTTAAATTTAATGAAGTGAAACTTAGGCAAAATTCATAAGATTTCTAATGAAAGAATACGACTTCAATGAATGAAACCTTAAACTTTACACTAATGTATAGGTTAATGCCGTTTTTCATTGCTTTAATATTTTGACGTCCGGAGGTCATTGATATTTGGAGGTTTTATGCCATCAAGATCATCTATGGTCAGAAAGGGAACTCGGATTGAAATCTGAACATCAAAAAAACGTATGATTTGATACCTCACATCACGTATCTTCATTGGTTTCATCTTTTACCCTTCAGAGGCAAACAAATTTTGGATCATCTGAGGTCATAAAGGGGTCTCAGTCCCTCAGAATGGAATCGGAACACCAAAAAATGTATGATTTAATACTGAACATGACCCAGTTTCATTGATATATTATCTATAACAGTGCATAACTTTTGTAGTAGCAAAAAATATGAAATCATGACCGATTAAGTTTTTAAAAAGTGGTATTTACCCGTATTTTCTGAGTTCATGGCGTTAAAGATTGGAGATAATCTAATATGATATGGGACGCTCTGTACATAATATCTATAATAATTACTATTTAAAGACAAAATCAACATTATAAAAGTTGTCTTCATATTCCGCGTTGTATGGGTTCCCAAACTTTTAAATTTTGTAATTTTAAAATAACAAAAAAGCAACATACATTCATCAAAATCTTAACTTATTGGTATCCTATCATAATTCGCAAGACACACTTAAAAAAAACTGAAAAAACGTGTTTAATAAATATTTATAATTTATCACAAATATAAAATAAACTAAGAAATACTATAATAGAAAAACTAATGATATTGCAAAATTAACCACAGTATTGCAAACTTTACAAAAATACAACGAGTCCTGAATAATATAATCTTAAGGGATTTTAAGAAAAAAAAAGGGTAGAAATGTCCCCCCCGCTAAACTCATCGAATGTTAAAAAGGCCAACCGGAACATTTAACACCCATCGACGAAATAATATAAAAATAATAAACAAATATGAAATCAATATAAACTTTTTAAAAATTAACCCCTTTGGCACTCGCTGTTTGTAAACAAAATTAATTTATATCATTTTCAAAAGCATAGAGTGTTAATGCGCGAAACGTGCAGGTGTAAATCCTTGAAAATATTTTTGTTTGTAAGTTGAACAAAACGTTTCTGTACATTTCATGTACACAGTACACACAAAGTACAAAAAGTACAACTGTTACAATATATATAAATAACAATCTGGACAAACAGAGTTGAATGTTGTAATTTTTTAATCTTATAAACAATTAATTGTAGCGAATTTTAATTGTATATTGGAAAATATTTCTGGAAATTCTCGTCATTTTTTGCAGCAATAAAAATAAAAACTTACAATTACCAAATATTTTGTTCTAATATCATAAATATCTAACTAAAAAAATATTTGTAAAAAATGAGTATTTGAACAAAAAATTGTCGCTTATTTTCAAAATAGCTTTAATTCCATGAGTTCGCTAATTAACATGAAGAATTGAAAATTGAAACTTCAACAAATTTAAATCAAAAAATTATTATTTTTTTTTCGTCTGAAAATATGTTATGGGGTTATATGGTAACAAGTAGAAGGCAGGGTGAGCAGTGTACAGTAAACAATCTTAAATGAAACATAACACTGATGTTAAACAATAAATATGATTGCATTCTTGACTTTATATTTTTAAAACATCCTGAGGATTGCATGGCAACATAATGTTGATACAATAAAAATTAAAATTTTTTCTTATCTTTTCAAAATGGTATTTCCTTCCACATCAAAAATATTTTCTTTTCTCTCACTTTGAAAAGTTTTAAAATGGTTTAATTTTAATTTTAGTGCACCCTCTACTTTAAGTAAGACGAGCTCGATTCACGATGTTACCCTAAAAATTTTATTTTAATTTTTTATAAAAATCATTTTTGAAGAAAGTTTTATTTTATCAAGAGCTTGTATGTTTGTCCCAAAATTTTGAAAATGTAAACCTCTTATAATTTGCATCCTAGAAACAAAAAAAGTTGACTAAAGCACTCGAAAAAGGCAGTCGATATATAACACAAAGAATAGAAATTAGGAATAAAATTATAATAATATCAAACAGAGAGTTCTAGTTTCACATCATACTTCTTACAAGGGGTAGAAGGGGTGACAATTTCTTTCAAAAATCCAGTGTTTACAAATAATAATTTATCTTAAAGTTTACAGTTTACTCGCTCTTTCTGCCCACACCCAATTCAGCATCGCCTAAACATATATATATGTAAAGTAGTGATATCTCTCTGTATGGCCGATCATAACTCATGAATCCCTTTGACCGATTGGCTCAAATTTTGATTAGGGAACTCAGTAGACCCACGGAAATGTTCCTAGACCTGGTTTGAAAAAAAGGCATGTTCTGTAGAAAAGCGTATTGAAGGTCGTCTTAAAAGTTAGTTTTATTTGTTTTTACTTTTATTCTTGCAAACATGTATAGCTTTTATATCAGTCATAACCTCAAGGTACACATCTTTAGATACTCTAATGATGATAAAGGAGAAATCTATGGTTAGTCATAATTTTGTACGTTGACTTTAACATAAAAAATTTAGTTTCCAGGCTTAGATGAGTTCTAAAGCTGGTTAATGTATAAAAGAAAGCCAAATTATTCCGCTTGCGTACTGTTAATGACTAAAAACTGTTGTTTACTAAAGGAAAAATCCTTACGGTGCAGTGCAGTGGTTGCCAAAAGCATGTGAAAGACAAAACTTTTATTTAAAATTTCAAAATTATAAGAAAAAATGCAAATTTAATATTTTTTTCTCTCTCTAATCCATCTTGTTCTGGAGACCACTGTATTATAAAATTCACCTGTATCATAACAACGAGAACAATGAGTAGAACTAAATCTCTATTAATATTTGAGTTCCCGTCTCTTTCCTTCTGCTGATACAAACATGTCTGAACAAAACACAACTTTATTTTTCAAGATCAATATTAAAGTTCCCGTCTCTTTCCTTCTGCTGATACAAACATGTCTGAACAAAACACAACTTTATTTTTCAAGATCAATATTAAAGTTCCCGTCTCTTTCCTTCTGCTGATACAAACATATCTGAACAAAACACAACTTTATTTTTCAAGATCAACATTAAAGTTCCCGTCTCTTTCCTTCTGCTGATACAAACATGTCTGAACAAAACAAAACCTTTATTTTCAAGATTAATATTAAAGCTCCCGTCTATTTCCTTCTGCTGATACAAACATGTCTTAATATTTTGGCTACGATGTATAGATAATATTCTTTACCTCTATTGAATGATTAAGCTTGGCAATTCTTTCATTCATCTTGACTTGTTCTTCTATTAGAGGTCGGATAGCCTCCTGTAGAGGCTGAAGGGAGGAACTACTTTTATTCAGACCTCGGCCTTTTAATTCCTTCTAAAAAGAGTTGTTTGAAAATGTCGACTTTATACTGTTACCAAGGAAATCTATAGCGAGTGACTAAGTTAAACCACTTCTCTTAATTAAAACCAGAGCACAATAAAAATAGGTTCAATTAAATCTATGTGGTTCAACTATTTCTGTTTTTTTTTTAAAAACTAAACTAGGTTTTAATGATATTATTTTGCTACTTTATCTAAAAGATTGTTGAATTTTCATTTCTTCCCCTTCAAATAACTAACTTGATTTTGTGTTATTAACAGATATCAATTTGGTCAACAATTGTAACTATAGGGGACTTTCAATTTCCAAATAAAGCTGGCAAAATAAAAATATATGTCCGTGGCGAAACAGGACGTACAAGTAATGAAGCACTCAAGATATGATGATGGACGCGTTATTTAAAGTGACCCTCCATGTAAAGAGGAGAATGTCCGATTTACAAGGATATCCTTAAAACCTTTGTCAAATCATCGAAAACTTAAAGTTCCGTGTGCTTATCTCTAAAATGGGGTTGAAATTGCCGAAAAACTGGAGTTTACGTGACTTCTGGCAAGTCAATACTAATATGTCTTAAATATCAAATATATTGAAATCTTTTCTTAAAATATTAATGAAAATTCTGTGAATCTTTATCAGTCCAAGATTTAAAGTGAAATGTTGTGAATCGAATACGCCAGTCTACATTCTACAAATGAAGGTTCACTTAAAATTACGTGTACAGTCCCTTTAGGGACATTAAAAATGTGATCTACAAAGTGTTATTAATCGTTTTTTTATTTAATTAACTTCCAAAATTTAAAACTGTATCAAGTTAAAGTTTGTTTTTCATAACCGTTAAAATACCTTTATCCTAAACAAAATTGAAAAAGACCCAAAAACGATGATTACAACGAGCTTATTTTTAAATAGTTTTTTTTGGGGGGGGTAATTTTTGCATATATCTTCTGTCAGGGTCAAAATATGATAAAATGTAAGAATAAAAAATGTTAAGAATAATAATTTTCTATATCGTTTTGACACTGATAGAAAATATAGGCAAAAAAAAGACCCAAAAAGGCACATCACTATACATCCATACATGATGTTATGGAAACGTCTCAACATGGAAATGGCTCAAAAAAGGGCCTAAAAAAACTAATTTGATGTCGTCGTCGTGGATCCTATTATACCTGAGTTCCTGGAGTACTTGTATCACTATCCTGACTTCTATTCTTTGCAACTTCAGATTCTCGGGTTTTTCGTCGTCGAGAAATACTTGAAACACGATCTGTTGCAACCTGAAAATAACACAACTATTTTGGTTTTTGACAAGACATTTTCTCTTAGATTAGAGTTTGTCTCAAGACTTAAACCTTTTATTAAATATTTGTGCACTTGTCTCAGGACTTAAACCTTTTATTAAATGTTTGTGCACTTGTCTCAGGACTTAAACCTTTTATTAAATGTTTGTGCACTTGTCTCAGGACTTAAACCTTTTATTAAATGTTTGTCCACTTGTCTTCGCAAAATGTGGCGTTATTTCTAGATATCACAAGCTTTTTTAGAAGCTAATTTATTTCACTTTTGTTTTTATTTAAATTAAAATAACTACTTTTTAGTGTTATATTGAATTAGAGCATGTCAAATGACCAAAATTTGCCAGATTTTCAATATTTTACAGTTTTATAAATTATTTTCGTTTCCAGGTCTCAAGTCAGTTCAAAAGATACCCATTTAAATATGTTTTTTTTTCCTTTAAACTCGTTTCCGCAAGCATTTTTGATAAAAACATAATTTATAAATAATTCCTTAAAAAATCTAACACAAACTATTTTTTAAAATTTAGTTTGCGTACTGCAGATCACTGCAGTACGCAATACAATTTTACTAGAAGTGCACTGAACGCCTTTTTTCACCCATAATCATTACCGCAGACATTAGAGTCGAAGGATCTGTTCAAAATTTCTAATGAATTGGTAAAAAATCTGGCCTTCAAACTATTCAACAACAAAAAACTAACTTTTCTGTATGTAAATAATTCTTGAAAATATAAAGTCCTTACGAGTTCTTAAAACTTTAAATTGGATTCTTTTTACAAAATGCTGAATGGCTGAACTAAAAGTAGATATTTAACTAGACAATTTCTTCAGATTTTTAGTCTTTTATAAGAATTAAACGATTTTATAAATTAAAGAGAATGTAAACATAAAATCAAATTTATAAATGATTTTATAAATTAAAGAGAATGTAAACGTAAAATCAAATTATTAAATGATTTTAAAAATTAAAGAAAATGTAAACATAAAATCAAATTTTAAAATGATTTTATAGATTAAAGAAAAAAAATCAAACTATTAAATGATCTTATAAATTAAAGAGAATGTAAACATTAAATCAAATTATTAAATGATTTTATAAAGTAAAGAGAATTTAAACATAAAATTAAAGAGAATGTAAACATAAAAACAAATTATTAAATGAATTTATAAATTAAAGAGAATGTACATTGTAGACGTCAAATCAAATTTCAAAATGATTTTATTAATTAAAGAGAATGGTAACATAAAATCAAATTATTAAATGATTTTATAAATTAAAGAGAATGTGAACATAAAATCAAATTATTAAATGATTTTATAAAATAAAGAGAATGTGAAAATGAAATCAAAAATGGATTTTTAATTAATACTTTATCTGACAAAGCTTTTAAGGGTACTCCTGTAAATAGAGCATTTTCATATTTGCATTGAGGGTCACTTGAAATTTTGCCCCTTTAATATTTAAAAATTATTATTAAATTACTAATCCTTTTTAGGGTTTGGGGGGTGATTTACCTGGTCCTCTGTTAATATTGCTTTACTAACATGCTGCCAGAGCACAGCACTCTCCCACTCCGTCTGCTCCTCCAGAGGTACGGTACTCCGTCGGAGTCGAGATGCTCGAATCTCCGGAGTAACCTCCCAGAGGACATCTACCATGCCGCTCTTCTTGTCCTTGTAAATATATCTGTTGGGTCTAACGGAACTGTTCATCAATTTTCTTACTTGTCAGTCCGGTGTACCAAAAATATCCCCCCAAAAAAAACAGGTTTTCTAATTATTAAGGAATGTCTTCAAGCTGTAAGATAGACTAGATTGCGATCCCAAGTTCAAACCAGAAACCATTTTTTAATGACAAAAATATCTTCTCCGTTTTAAAAGTTAATATTTTTCCTCCATATGACTTTTTTACTATATGATTTTTAAAATGCCATTCAAGAATTAGAAAATCTCAATCTAAGGCTTCTCTAGCAAGAGTTACGTTGCTTTTCCCCCCGTTCAATAACTATCAATTTTCGGCATATTTTACCTTTCCAGCGTCAAGGACTGAGACAATGCTTTGTGTTCGAATCATCGGTGTTTTGTGCCTCGTCTTGGTGCACACCTCGTAATCCTTCTCATACTGGAGCAGGTCGTTCCGGGGATCCCAGGGACGCAGGTCAGCGTGCTTATACGAATATTTGGGAACAGTCCCTTCAGCTCCGATCATCACAGGCTCCAGATCGAATAGTTTTGTTACGTAAGATTTACCATCACGGGCCCTGAACAATGAACATATTACTTTTAATCTATATTCATGCTTGCTTGTCTGTAAACAACGTAAAAACAGCCCAACATTTTTGAGACAACTCACATGACCCTAGAGAAGTTTTCTGGCTAGTAGAAGTTAAAGGTTTTGCCCAGAAACAATGTCGAAATGTATTTTTGTATGCATAATCTTGTTTTAGAAAAAATATTCTAATTAAAATGATATTTACTTGACAGCATTCCTCTGAGCTTCCTCAAGTTTAGTTTTCTCCTCCGTTGCTCCGACCTAGAATACAGTATGAGAGTTAGAACCAGAAGTAAATATTTTATTACACCCGACCCAACCCCGGGGTCAGTTAAGATAATTCCTCCGTTGCTCCGACCTAGAATACAGTATAAGAGATAGAACCAGGAGAAAATATTTTATTACACCCAACTAAACCCAGGGGTCAGTTAAGATAACTCCTCCGTTGCTCTGACCTAGAATACAGTATAAGAGATAGAACCAGGAGAAAATATTTTATTACACCCAACTAAACCCAGGGGTTAGTTTGGATAACTCCTCTGATTTGTGTGTGAGCGCGTGTACATCTTGGTTTGCAATACTGAAGGAAAAAATAAATTAGACATTTAAATAGTTTAGAAGTTAAAGTTTAATTATAAAATTCCCAAACTTGATTTAGCTCTTCTTATTTTCTTTATAGATTTATCAGACAATTTTATGGATTTTAGATAAAGAGCAGACCTGGGTCAGGATATTGGAATTTAGAGATATGGAATTTTATATAAATATTTCTCCATTTAGGTATTTCAAACTAAAAATATTATTTATTTCTGATTTTATCAACAAGATAGATTTTTAATCTTTCCCGTTAGAAAATGTAACTTTTTATTTTTTCATTCTATGTGGATTTATTTTGCTTGTTAATTCTTCTGATATCAAATACTGACTGCCCGACGGCAGATATTCCTCGATGAATTTGAAAAATCTCCAAAATTCAGCAGCAAACAACTGATATTTTGACGATTGTGCGAGCAAGGGGCACAAATGCAACCTTTACAATTTTCACATCTGCTCTAAGAGATATAAGTTGGCCGGCTGTAGTAATGTTAAGTATGTAGGTAATATTAATATTAACACATATGAGGCATAAGGAGTAAGATCTAAAAATCATTCTGATATGNGGGGCAAATGGGGGCAAATGTGTTAGTGCAATTTGAAAAATGTTTTTTAATTGTTGGCATTTTTTACAATTGGGGGCATTTTTTTTAAGTTGGGGGCAAAAAATTATTTTAGGATCGAGAAAATCAGCTATTTTGGGAATTATATGGACCCCTGGAGTACTCCCGAGTGCAGAAACAATATGAGAACGATTAAAAAATAAATGTAAAAACATTTTAGGGTTTCAATTTTTCGGGGAAAGAGTGGGGTTCGCAAATTTAAATTATATAGTTTTATAAAATAAATATCTTAATTTTCCCCGTTCTTTTTCTTACCTTAAACATGACTTTTTCATCCCAATGTCCATCAATGGTGGCGAGGGTTTCCTTCCCTAGCTTGAGGCGACCTGACACGGCGTTAGTGAACTCGCCTCCGCCAAGGAATGGACGAAGCTTAAATTCCAGTTCAGTGCTGTACCCTGTCTTCTCACATTCAATTGTAACCTAAAACCAGTCAATCAATCAATAATCTTTTTTCACTAAATTTAATAATAATATTGATAATAAGTTAACTCGTTATAGTCATGACCCAGCCTCAGAGGCGTGCACACTGTACATAGGGTGGCTATTTGGGCTCAGCCACCTCCCTCCCTTCCCCTAGATCAGTGAAATCTATAATTTCCAGGTGGTTTTTAGGACCCCTAAAAAATTGGTTATAAGCTCCACCCCTTCAGAAGAAATAAGAAATTAAGTGGTCACCCTTTAGCTAATGTTCTTACACGTCGGCTTTTGTATTATCATTTTCTAACAATGCATTTGAATGTTTAATAATTCTACATCAAAATTAATCGTACATTTTATATTCTAAAATTAACATTTCTCGGAAACTTTTAATATTTCAAGACACATTATTCTTTTACGAGGAATTTTCCATCAAAACTACAATTCAAAATTTTTCCATAAAAATGTATTTTTTCTTGACGTAAATTTTCTTGTTAAGTTTTTTTTCTGAGTGTACACTATACATATAGATAGTTAACGTAAATGAACCCTGAACAACATTACAATACTGCATTATGCACACATGGAAGTTTTACAGTACAGTACAAGGAGTACAAGGCGCTAATAATTTAAGAGTTAAAAATGTTACAACTTCTGCTTTCCTCTTTAAAAAAAAGGCAAGCGTTAATTTTTTCTGTCAAAGCTTATTTCCGGAAAACATGATCGCTGGATTTTCTATAAAAATTCGGAAAATGATAAAATATGTTCGATCACCCCAAGCTTAAATTTAAAAAAAAGATCTTACTTTTCCTCCCAGTTCCATTGTCATCGTTCCCATTAGTATACCCTTGCAGTGGGCATAAGGCATAGTCATCACATAATCCTAACATGAATTAATAGTTAAAACACTTAATGACATTTTTCTTTACTTAAACTTTGTATTTGTGTACGATGTACAATAATTGTACATTGTACAGTGAAATATTCTCGTCGTCTTCATCTTTCTTTAAATCATAAAATATCGCTACGGATTTTGTAATTTTTAACAAAACTTATTCTAAAAAGTGGCCTGGGACCCAATTGAATTAATTTGAACTGCCTACCGCCGGTTTAAACTCGAATCACCGATTCAAATCCTTCCTTTATTTTTAACTTTAAATCGGTGGTTTAAATTTGAACCAGAAGGAAGCAATAAATTCGGTTCCTAAACATTTTTAGAGATGTGGCAGAGACATTCCATGAGTAAGAACAACAAAAACGAAATTTCATTTCACAATTTTCTGGTTCACAATAAAAAAGAGAACTGATGGTTTTGTAAAATTTTACCGAACTTTTTATATTGGTTTGTTATACAGCTTTGTCTCAGGACATACATTTTTTTTGAAAGAATGAATTATTTCAAAAATTAAGATAGAGTATTTGTCGCCATCCTAGCATACGAATAAATCTTGTAAGATTTTTTTCATAGCCAACCGGCGACCATATTGACCAAATGTAGGAGACGACATCTTACCTCACCACGCGGAAGAAGAGAAAGAGTTGCGTCACCGTCCAAAATGGCGGAGGTAGAATTCCCATAAAACTAGGAGGCCGCCATTAAGAAATCATTTTAAAGTTATTAAAAAACTGAGATAAAGAATTTTTCAGACAGTTAATAATAAGAGAAAGGGGGGCTTTTCCATGCATTTCCAAGGTTTTTTTTTGAAAATATATCTAATATCTATTCATGTCTTCATCTATTCGCTTTAAATGTTCAGGTAAATTTGAAAGCTACTTATGTCGGCCAATTCCTTAGATTTAGCAAGTATGGTTCCGGAGAATGTAAATCCGTCCTGACGGTTGGTTGTATAGAACGCAGATATTGGGGGATGATGTGAAACCTAAAAATAAATGTCAATTATTTGCGGTCCACAAAATAATTGTTAACAGGCCTTGAAATAAAAAGTAACATATTTATTAGTTGAAAGGTTGCCATCTTCAAATGAAAAGAATGTGAAGAAAGTTTGCTTGGAGAGACAGATTGTTTAAGTTTTCTTTTCTCATTGAATTGGGGGGAAATAAATTTGTTGAGAGAAAACTATTAAAAATGATGAAATTCCCATGGAAACATATGTCTTGTACCTGTTCAGCAATATAGAAGGTTTTGCTCCCGTTAGGATGGCTCCAGCAGCACCGAAATGTTTCCCCCAGTATTGGATTATATGGTTTCTTCAAACCTTTTGGTTTCTTGTAAAAACCTTCAAAATAGTTTCGTATTAATTATTGGCGAAGCTGAAGCTGAAGAAGTTATTTTGTGAATAGTTAGAAAAATCTGAATATACGATTTAAATTCTGAAATATATCTTAAAGGGACTGTCGATATAATGTCAAAGATTTGATGCCTGATTCACAACGGTGCCCTTTACTCTTTTATCGAACAACGACTGTAAGCGTAATTTCAAAGCCAATTCCTGATTTACAAAATAACCCTTTGAACTTGAAATCAAAAACTTCTCCATTACTTCTTATAAGGAAGAAATGTGCAAGTCACTTTTGCAACGAACCTGCAAATGAAATGAGCACATGGGTATATAATTCACAATTGATCAGACAAAGTTTTCGAGGGTATTGTGCTAAATCGGGCCTAGCCATCTTTGCAGTCCCCTTAAGCCATGATTAGATGCAAAGATAATGATGTCCAATTTACAACGGTACCCTGGAGAAATTTTCTAATCAAGTATGAATTAGATGATGTTTTTTTGTTTCTTGAAACTGTTCTCATTTGCCTTTTTTTTCCTGCAAAACTGACTTGCACATTTTTCGCTTACAGTTCCTTTAATCCATGATTAGATGGACCGGTGTCCTGCATGGAGCGGACTCTTGCATGGGGCGAACTCGACTCCTAAAGTTTTATCCATTTTAACACAATGTTAGACATTAAAAGCAATGTTAAAACATTTAAAATGATTAGTTGACATATATTAAATACGCATTTAGTTCTTAAATCTATTTTAAAGGGGGTAAAGGCATAAAAAGGTTATTTCCTCTTGAATGTTGTCTTCCTTTCAAATCATTGCTTTTTATGTCTAAGACTGTGTTTAAATGGTTAAAACTTTAAGGTGAGTCCGCTCCATGCATGACACCGGAATATAAATTCCCCGACAGGTGTATCCTCGCTGAAATTAGGATAAAAAGGGCATACAACATATTAGATATAACCCAGATATAGACCTGGAGAAAATTCAACTTACAGACCAAAATTTTTTATTTTTACGATGTTGCAGTTAAAATTCATGTATTATTTAATTATTAAGACATTTTCATATTTTCATCATAAACACGTAATATTATTTTTTAACACAATTGCTTTTGGACCCCAATTTGATTACCAGATCCGTTACCCGTATCCTAACATTAACAGATCCACGGCTCCGGATTCAATCTGGGAAAAAGATCAACAAAAAACGAAAATAAAACTTGCCTGATAAATACCATCGGACTATTGTTTTCATTCTCATAAACGGGTCGTTCTCTAGTACAGCCTATAATAACAATTAAAACAAATAGACGTGTTACAAATATAATGACAATGTTGATCATATTACTGATGAAGATAATGATAATAATAATAAAAATAAATAATTAAAAATCATGATAATAATAATAAAAATAATTTAGATAATTAAGAAAATTATGATAATTAAGATAGTTATGATAATTATGATAATGATACTAATGATACTAGTGATACTAGTGATACTAGTGATACTAATGATAACTACGATAATAATAATTATTATGATAACAATAATTATGATTATAATAATAATAATAATAATTATTATAATTATTCTAATAATAATGATGATGATTATGATAATAATAATGATATTTATTCTAATAATAATGATGATGATTATGATAATAATAATGATAAAAATTATTCTAATAATAATGATAACCTAGCCCCTTAGAATCTTATTTAATTTCAATATTTAATTCTACTGAAAGAGGGGATGGTGTAGCAGAGCTGAGAGGAAGAGAACGGAAATTAAATATTTATTTGAGGCCTCACAATAATGATATTAAAAGACTGCAGGAGATTCCTTTTTTACATTTTAACTTCAGGTAGAGTTTTCTTACTTCTAAAATCAAGGTAATGTGAAAACTAATGCTAAAAAAACTAGCCTTTATCTTGTCAAGAAATGATTTACATGTGATATATATCTGCATGGTAATAATAGCCTGAGATATTGTCCAAAAATTATTTACCCTTGATATAATATCTGCATGGTAATAATAGCCTGAGATATTGTCAAGAAATGATTTACCTTTGATATCATATCTGCATGGTAATAATAGTCTGAGATCTTGTCAAGAAATTATTTACCTTCGATATAATATCTGCATGGTAATAATAGTCTGAGATCTTGTCAAGAAATGATTTACCCTTGATATAATATCTGCATGGTAATAATAGCCTGAGATATTGTCCAGAAATTATTTACATGTGATATAATATCTGCATGGTAATAATAGCCTGAGATATTGTCAAGAAATTATTTACATGTGATATATATCTGCATGGTAATAATAGCAGATATTGTCAAGAAATGATTTACCCTTGATATAATATCTGCATGGTAATAATAGCCTGAGATATTGTCAAGAAATGATTTACCCTTGATATAATATCTGCATGGTAATAATAGCCTGAGATCTTGTCAAGAAATGATTTACCCTTGATATAATATCTGCATGGTAATAATAGCCTGAGATATTGTCAAGAAATTATTTACCTTTGATATAATATCTGCATGGTAATAATAGTCTGAGATCTTGTCTAGGAAAGATCTAGGTTCTAGGATAAAGGTTGGTAGAACTACTCGGGATAAATCCATTCCAGGACGAACCTAGAAAAATATATTCATTTAAAGGGGCTGTTGTTGTAATTACGACGACTGTACCCAAAGGCATACAAAAAACGCTACAATGGATCACTATTAGGATTTATTTTGGATATTTTAATTGAGTTTTTTTAATTTCACCGAACCACACACTTCATTTATTTTTGGCATTATTAATGTGTAATGCTAAATCTAAATTTTCTGATATAATAATGATAATGGATACAGAAAAAATAACAAAAATCCTAAATATAAAAAACTAGAAATACCATCTTAAATTTTTTTTAGGAAGGGTTTATTTGGCATGCCTGTTCTTTCTTGTTGGTGCCTGTTTTTTTAAACAAATAATCACACTATCTTACGGCATGGGAAGTTAGTTCCAAAATTAACACTTGACCCATTTCTAACACTGGTGAATGCGTGTAAGAAATGGGTAAAGTGTTAGTTCTGGAACTAATGTCCCCTGAACTATAACGAAATACATCACCTGTTTAACTAGGAACCAAACAATAGATTTATTCTCATCACTGAATTCCTCCGTCTGATTTTCCGTCTAAAAATAATTTTAATTATGCTCGAATCATTGTAGAAGAAAAAATCAGGACCAATTCATCCATTTCCTGCTTTGAAAATAATAAAGGACCAGCATACAAGAGAATTTGTTTAACTATTTCTGCACGGTTCAACTTCTTCATCCTTTTCATTAAATCTGGTCACTAGAAAGTTTTCCTGTTTGAAATTGTACAGGGTTACTCACAGAGCATGAGACCTTAAACGCGACAGAACAGAATTTATTTGTTTATTTCGGCAATTTATCGTACGTTGCAGCATTTCACTTAATTTAGGAGTTACATGCTCGATTCGAGCGTAACATAATATCTTGATCTGTGTAACGTTGAGTAAGATATTTTTCTGTCATACGTTTTTTTGAGGTCCTTTCCTGCGTCTGCTGCATATATCCGAGAGCCACTTTTTTAAAGATTTACGGAAATTTTACAGAAAGACTAAGATCAATCAATTTTGCTCAAACAAAGGTTTAAAGGTTATCTTATTGATTATGGAATACAGTTCGTGTAAACAGAAGGTCAATTGAAATCAAGCTGACAGTCCTTTAAAATTTCTACCAATTACGTCGGTAGTTCCTTTAACTTACCGTTCCAAATACTTCTTCAACATCACACACATAGTTGGTTGCAACAGGTTGAAGATTAGGATCCTCTATCACAGAGGGTTCTTCACTTTCCTCATCCTCATCATCATCCTGTAATTAATTAATTCATTCATCATCCTTAAATTTAGTTGATTCATTAATTCATCCTCCTTGAATTAAGTTCATTCATCATCCTTTCAGTCAGTTTATTCATTCATTCATTCATTCATAAACCTTTAATTCAGTTGATTCATTCATTCATAATCCTTTAATTCAGTTAATTGCTTCATTCATTCATCATCCTTTAATTCAGTTCATTCATTAATTCATCATCCTTAAATTCAGTTCATTCATTAATTCATCATCCTTTAATTCAGTTTATTCATTAATTCATCATTCTTTAATTCATTTCATTCATTAATTCACCATTTTATATTTCAGTTCATTCATTCATTCATCATACTTTAATTCAGTTGATTGATTCATTCATTATCCTTCAATTCAATTCAGTTCATTCATTTATTCAATATAAATCTTTTACTCTCAGAAATTAAAAACTTTTTCATTAAAAAAATATAATGGTTCCAGGGTTATCTTTCTTAATTAGAAATTTTACCGTACACCTACTCTTCTTTCATTTTGACGTTAAAGCTACCTATTCTTATCTATTCATTAATATACTTTGCTTGTCCATCTGTTTGTTTGTATCCAATAAAAGTCAAAACTGCCTTTCAGCCCATTTCAAAGTTTATATATAAAATACAGACCTCGTCTTCAGATCCAAAATCCTTGTTATTCCCTCCCTCGTTTCCGTCGTCAGTCACAGATCCAGTATCGTCAAATTCTACACAAAATATTCAAGTGATATTGGTAATATTTTCTTTATAGGTTCGCATTTTAAAGCTTTTTTCTTTTGGTAATCATTAAAAATACTGTAGGCTAAATTGGACGTTGACTGAGAACAAATAATAAAGATATCCAGGTTTTCTGTCTGAAACATGATTATTTTAAATTTACTATTCTCTATAGAAGTGACCTGTACATTCATGTGCACAGAAAATGACGGAAATTAGGAAAATAAACATCCTTTTAATCTGTTGCAAGACTTCTTATAGTAGGCAATATCTAAGACGTCAATCTACGTAAAATTACGATGACAGTTCTTTTAATAATAATTTCTTCAAGTGGTGCGGCCTACTTTATAACTTTGTTCATATTATATGAAAACCTGCAAGTTTAATGTAATGCATGATTGCAAGATGGTTTATTTTATAAACATTTTTTTCGGTCTATATTATATCAAATTAAATCAACAAAACAAAAGATGAAATCTGATATTGAACAGAAGTAATTTCTCTATCTCTCATGATAATAAATCTAAGGTATCATATTCAACTGATGTCGATAGAAATTCAGGATAGCCCCCCCCCCCACACACAAACACTTCCTAGACAGAAAAAGAAACTAAAAATAAGTTGTAAGATCCTAGTTATCGCTGCACGAAACCAAAAGTAACTTTACCAATGACGCATATTGTGCGTCAATCTTAGAATAAAAAGATAGTTCTTGATTTGAAGTCAATAAAAGATACATAGATATTTCATACTACGGAATCTTACAACAGGTAAACATAAATATATTTGTAAAAAAGTACTCTTTTAGGTATGGCTAAATTTCTAGATAAATTAAAAAAATTTTAACTAAGAAGTAAGAAAAAGACTAAGGAATTATCAAGCACTAGTTTGAGAACACAGCGTTGCCCAGGATACTGAAAGTCATAGTTACTACCGACGTTTTACCACGCATAGTCATAAATTACAATTTTAGCTATTTTTTTCCTAAAAAAGTAAGCTTTCTCAACTTAAATTCTCCAAACCAAGTTAAGAACATTCCCTTGGTTCTCCCGAATTCCCAAATCAAAATTTGAGGCAAATCAGTCAAAGAGTTTATATAACGGACAAACAGAGATTACAACTACATAAATGTACCTTCCTATTTCCACCGGGTTACTTANTGGGCCAACTAACTAAAGAGAACCAGCTGTTAGGCCTCTATTAAACAAATTTATTAGAGGCTACCGCACTATGGAGGTTGAAACTTTGGTGTGGGATATTGGTATAATAAAATGCTTGATCTTGACATCCAAAGTGAGCACTTTTAAATTTAAAGATCAATGCTTGAGGCTCCAATTAATGTTCTCCGTGCAGGATATGACCATGACAGGATATCAAAGAGAAATTGAATTAAACCGTAGGTCAGCAGAAGATAATCTCGAGATTTACAACAAAAAGGAACAAAGGGAACACAACTTATTACTGCAGCTTACGACATTTCATATTTAAAGGTTGGGTCACGTTTTCGGATCCGGAGTTATTGCTTAATAAATTTTTTCATTTTTTTTGTTTTTCAAAGTGGAAAAAAATAACCGGACAAGATTTGAAGATCTAGTTTCTTAATTAGAGCTTCTTTTATTAGTATGAATAATTCCCAAAAAATCAGAAGACTGAATAATTTATGTTAAAACAAGAATTAAGATTTTTTTCTTATTTGGGATTTTTTTTATTAATTTTAGCATAGTGCAGTGCAGTCCAATTTAATCCAGCTCTTAACAAACCTCTTTTAGAAACACATTTTTTTATTTTACCCAATAAATATTAGCATATATAATGTTAAAAAAAATGATTTAAACATTTAGTTTTTTATTAAAAATTTCTTTTAATAAATTAAATAAAAAATGTTAGAATAAGATTTCAAACCTCTGATATTTTTGGTGAGCCCTGATGGCAATACATTGTAACATAAAACTAACAAGAGAATCCCGGACATAATAAGGAAATACGATAGGAACAGGGAAAGGGGAAAGGAATCGAGGGGAGACCGGAGGTGGGAACTGGAGTCAGAAAGGGGGGGGGAATGGAAAACTTATTATGCAGAAAAACAACTTGTAAATATACATACAGAATTGAATTAGAATAAGATAATCTAAATCTTAAAAATGTTCTTCATACATATTTTTAAATGTCTTTTTCAACTTTACATCATCATTTTATTTTATTTTATTTCTAATATTTTAGCTTTCAAAGTAAAATAAAAATTCTCTAACTAAACAGTTTCATTATTTTAAAGTTATCTGTTTACAGATAGGTGAATTAAATAAGCTTAGTTTGCTTGAACCTTAAATAGTTTTTTAACATTTTTATGTTTTGCAAACTTATTTCCGCTCGATATTTTAAACTATTTTTTTTGGCACACATATAATTATGCATTTTCAATTTTGTATGTTTAAAGAGATTTTACTCTTTTTTTCTTATGAAACACAAATTTCCACGGCCAGTTTTAATTTCTGTGAAAAACAGCTTTTGTAAACATGTCTTTGAATTTTTAGAAGAAAACTATTTTTGTTCTTGAAAGTGATTCCATGAAAATGTTTTACCTTAATGCTAATTTATAGATACAAAATTGTGTACACTCACTGCACACTCTGAATAGTGAATACAGTGCCAGAAAGAAAGTTAGTAATACAGGAAAGATGAACTAATGATATTAAGCTGAATATATGTACATAAATATGTATATAATATGGAAAAATATGGAATGTAAGAATATTGTATGATAATATTATTGTTAGATTCAAGGATGATACAGTTGGGTTTCTGGACAGAATCTGTTATAAATCTTTTACTCTCAGAAATTAAAAACTTTTTCATTAAAAAAATATAATGGTTCCAGGGTTATCTTTCTTAATTAGAAATTTTACCGTACATCTACTCTTCTTTCATTTTGACGTTAAAGCTACCTATTCTTCTATTCATTAATATACTTTGCTTGTCCATCTGTTTGTTTGTATCCAATTAAAGTCAAAACTGCCTAATCGATAGGATCTACGTTTTGGGTCAATCTATATGACCCCAGATAAGGTTTTATAAAAAAATTGTCTTAACAAAAAATTTCTTCGTTCACTAAATTTAAAAATCTACGAATTTAAACGGAAAAATTCGCAAAATAAGCTTTTTAGGGATCGAATCGAAGAAAATATGATGACTTGAGGAGCACAGCGAAAAGTTAATTTTTTATTAAAAGCGCCCTAAAAAGCTAGCATCTTAAAGGGAGTGACCGGTAATGTATGGAAGTTGAACCGAGATTGCAGTATCATTGAGAATTTTTTTTAGGATTCATTACGGTGCATATTTGTTCAACTAGAGCACAAATTCAATATGAAAAATCTTCAATGATTGTCCATTTTGGAGGGATGATTTTGAGAATCGGATTTTTTTAAATCATTCAAAACGACTAAGAAAAATGTAAGAAAAATGTAACAAAATTTCTACAGTAAACTAATTAGATGTTTAGGATAATATTTCTAATTAGAAATTTGTCAATTAAGCAATGTTAGAATCAATTGTTTCTTTTTAATCATTATTTTTATTTTCTTATTCGTTATGAATTTATTCACTGTTTTCTTCAAATTCTTCAAACGTCGTCTTTACATTAAAAATTCCAGGAAATATACAGAAAAATGTTTTGAACATTGAGACATTACAGAAAGAATAAGATAATTTATTTTCGATGATAAGATTTAATTTTTTTCTCAACCTGTTCCTAAACAACTAATTAGTTTACTGTAGAATTTTTACAGTTTTCGTGATCGTCATTGAGTAATTATCCCTCCAAAAGTGGACAATCTATGAGGATTTTAAAAATTGAATTTGCGCTCTTGCTGGACAAATATGGGCCGTAAAAACGTCTGATAGGTCTCAAATGAATCCTAAAAAATTTCTCAATAATACTGCAATCTCAGTTCAACTAGCATACATTGCCGGTCACTCCCTTTAAATATAACATTACACATAGGTATGTTGTGTAAGAACTGCAGAACTACAAAAAAGTTTAGAATAAAAAATCTCCTGAAAATTCTTACCACCTTTAAAATGTCTCTCCACGTCTGAGTCGTCCAATCTAATCAGAAACAACTTTTAACACATGTTTTGCCAATCAAATTTTTTAAGCGACTCTTTCTAAATAAAAGATTCATGTTTGTGCGCTTTAAAACTCTTTTAAGAGTTAAGCTTTCTTTAAAATGCTACGAAATATGTAGTTTTTACGGGTACTGATGCTGTGAATTGTCAATACCATTCTGTAAAACTTTCAAATCTATAAAATTACATGCAACTAAAATTTGAGAATTGCTAAAGTAAATTTAAAAGGCAGTGTCGACGCAGACAAGAGTTTCAAGTGGTCCTCTATTTAAAGAGTTGCAGGTCTGATTCACAATGCTGCTTTGTCTGATCAACAATCAGGAAGATATCGTCGTAAAAGCGATAAGTTCTGACAGTATCATTTGTTCAGACAGAGAAACTTCAGTTAAAAACTATCAATTTTCAGGTAGAAAAATCGAGATATCCTCACCAGTTTGCTTAAGTGTGAAGCAGGCATACAACCCTTTAAATGGAGGGGGTGCAGTGGGGGGATGTAAGGATGATTAAAAGTTAGTATTCCTTAAAGACTCTAAAGTATAGTCCGCGGCATCACCTTCGTCCGTCACACTCGTCCGGTTTAGATTTCTCTTCAGGAGGGACGAACATCTAGATCAGAAGACGACTAATATATTTTAACGGACACCATTTAGATTACATTTATAGAATGGAAGACATAGCAGTACATTTAAGTATAAAGGAGGGAGGAGTGTAGTAAGGAATAAGGATTGATCTAAGTTTATCTGTTGGCATTAATATAGTTTCTAATGGTATCTTATGATATGGAACAGTAAAAAAAATGCATATTTCATTAATGTCATATCTAGTAAAGAAACATATATATCGCAGAAGCCCCTCCCCCCTCTCCGTTATGTTATCTATTCATGTTATTTATGTATTATTTGTCTTCCCCTATTAATGGGTGAACCCAAAAAGTCCGATTCTTTTAAGGCCTATAGTTTTTGCGAATTCAAAAATCTCATAAAATGGCGTCGTAAAAACAGCCAATAAAACGAGTCAACATTTACAATATAGGACATAAAGCACCCTACTACATTTTAACTAAAACTTGCTTACATTTTCAGCAAGTGTTTATATCGACGAACCATGGTCGGCGAAATATATTAAGTAACTAAGAAAACAAATAGTTGTCATTCTTGTTCTAGGGGTCCAGGCACCTAAGTTTAAATCTCCCAAATACCAGTTTAGGGCCAAATGGTGAAGTGGGGATGGGAGGGGTGGGGATGGGAGGGGGGGAGCTTGGTTGGAAGCAATATATGTAGACTACAGGTATGGGCGCTAGGATTAGCGTTTATTTATCTAATTAGAAACATCAAACAAACAAACAAAATTTAAAAGTTTNTAACACAGTTATCAAATCATGAAAAGGATGTTATCACAGTAATGATTATGAAAAGTTGTAACACAGTTATCAAATCATGAAAAGGATGTTATCACAGTAATGATTATGAAAAGTTGTAACACAGTTATCAAATCATGAAAAGGATGTTATCACAGTAATGATTATGAAAAGTTGTAACACAGTTATCAAATCATGAAAAGGATGTTATCACAGTAATGATTATGAAAAGTTGTAACACAGTTATCAAATCATGAAAAGGATGTTATCACAGTAATGATTATGAAAAGTTGTAACACAGTTATCAAATCATGAAAAGGATGTTATCACAGTAATGATTATGAAAAGTTGTAACACAGTTATCAAATCATGAAAAGGATGTTATCACAGTAATGATTATGAAAAGTTGTAACACAGTTATCAAATCATGAAAAGGATGTTATCACAGTAATGATTATGAAAAGTTGTAACACAGTTATCAAATCATGAAAAGGATGTTATCACAGTAATGATTATGAAAAGTTGTAACACAGTTATCAAATCATGAAAAGGATGTTATCACAGTAATGATTATGAAAAGTTGTAACACAGTTATCAAATCATGAAAAGGATGTTATCACAGTAATGATTATGAAAAGTTGTAACACAGTTATCAAATCATGAAAAGGATGTTATCACAGTAATGATTATGAAAAGTTGTAACACAGTTATCAAATCATGAAAAGGATGTTATCACAGTAATGATTATGAAAAGTTGTAACACAGTTATCAAATCATGAAAAGGATGTTATCACAGTAATGATTATGAAAAGTTGTAACACAGTTATCAAATCATGAAAAGGATGTTATCACAGTAATGATTATGAAAAGTTGTAACACAGTTATCAAATCATGAAAAGGATGTTAACACAGTTATCAAATCATGAAAAGGATGTTATCACAGTTATCAGATTATGAAAAGGATGTTAACACAGTTATCAAATCATTAAAATGATGTTACTACAGTTATCAGAGCATGAAAAGTTGTAACATAGTTATCAAATCATAAAAAGGATGTTAACACATTTATCAAATCAAGAAAAGGATGTTCACACAGTTAATAAATCATGATTAGGATGTTAACACAATTATCAAACCATGAAAAGGATGTAAACACAGTTATCAGATCCTGTAAAGGTTATGACACAGTTATCAGATCATGAACAGGATGTTAAAACAGAACTATCAAATCATGAAAAGGATGTTATCACAGTTATCAGATTATGAAAAGGATGTTGACACAGTTATAAAATCATGAAAACGATGTTATTACATTTATCAGATCATGAAAATATTGTTACACATTTATCAGATCATAAAAATGTTGTTTAACAGTTATCAAATCATGCAAAGGTTGTTCAAGGAGCTGTCGAACTTATTTCAAGCTTCCATCAAGTTTAATGCATTACATACCCAATTCACATTAGTGTCATTTAGCCGGAAACCTGATTTCGTCATATTTTTTTATGTCTTCAGATAAAAATAATCTTAGTGTTAGATCAAAAATTAAAGATGACTCAAATAGTTGTACTTGGACAAGGTTTGAAGCGTACCGTTGTGAATTGAACATACAAATTTTTAAATGAAAGGGTCACTTGGAATGACGTCGACGTATAAACAACAACATCTAATTTCCTCTTTAATCAGTGTCCAGTCCATACATTGGATGTACGGGTAAAAATAAACATTTTCACTGATAAAAAAAAACATTATTTTAGGAAATATTTCTGAGGAAAAATTACACCACTGTTATATATTCTTGAGAGATTTGAACTACAGATGGAAAGGTGAAGTGCAGCTATAATCTAATCTGAGCCCTTCTATTTGATAAATCCTTTCAATTCAAGAAATCTTTAAACGTCAAAATAAAATTTCGTTTTCAAATATTAGGTCATTAATTAATATATATATATATCATAGCTTTAGGGCCTATCGAGGTATTTAAAAATGACCTTTCCATTAGCAAGTCGAATTTAATAATCACTACACTTTAAATGGTCTAATCTTTTCCTAATGTTAATTTTTACTTAAAAGTGTGCCTACTATTTCATAAACAATCATTTTCAAACAATTTTTCAACGTCAAACTTTCTCAAGAAACCAGACAGAAGGGAACAGAGGAGTTGGTAGGGGTTAGGTCATATTGTCATAATTATAAATATAATTATTTANCATCTTCCTAGAGAACAAAAATTTAGTACAGGGGTACGTATATATATATATATTCTCATAAAGCTTCAATGGAACAAATTTTAAAAAACCAATACCTCAACAAATTTGTAAATCAAATAATTTTTTTTTAAGGAGGGTGGGGTGTTTAAAAAAAGGTTCAGTAAGTATAATTTTAGAAAAACTATTATTTTTGAAAAAGATATAAGATAAACAAAGAAACAAACCCATTTAGCTAAATCTTAGTTTCTTTAAGTAAATTCCATTAAAATCAGAATTTTATTTATTAAAAGGTGTTGACACCATGTATTGTATACACTATTTCTAAATATACACCCCTGGTCTAAATCATAGAAAAATACCTTCTTCCATGTCTGAATGTAACATATAAAAATTCAATAAACATTTTTTAACTGTTGCTTTTAAGCTAAACTTTTAGTTTTAACAGTCAGTTAATTTACAGAAAGATTTACAGAAAGAAAAAAAGTGACAGAGAGAGGAAAGGAAAATAAGAATTATTGTAATAATATCACTTTAATAGCTGGCCCGGCGTAGCCCGTGGAATTTTAATTTTTTTTTATTTCGAATTTTAAAGAAGATTATAAAGAAAAATGAGAGTTTTGAAAAAAAGTCTATCTTTTTTAGTCTATGCTACTCCCAAGCAGGGTACCCATGGGTTTCCTTAATTATTTCAGCCGTTTGGCTATGGCTAACCTATTTGTTTGAGCTAAGAGCTTTATTATAAATGATAATAATAATACCTGAGAGCTAGCTCTAGGGCATCTAACCAGCATTTGCCTGCTGCATTGGTTGGAGCTCGGAATATGAGGTGAGAAGTTGGAAGGGGTTGAACAACTGCTCCAATATTCTCACCCTAAAACATGTTTCTCCTTTAAATGGACTGTAAGCGTAATTTTAAGTGGCCCTTTTTGAAAAGATGGCATTTTCCGATTCACAATGGTACCTTTAACACCTTTATCTGATCAAAAATGTGGAAGATATTTTTGTTTTTAAGGTTTAAAAGATTTAATATTCTGATATACTACATTACGTTCTCCTGCAGAAGAAATGAGCAATTAGTGTTAGCAGCAAAAGCAGAGAAATTATAATTGAAAATAATCGGTTTTCAAAAGTGTAAACATTGATATCTAATTTATGCTTGATCAGCCTAAGCTAATAAGGGTACCGTTGTAAATCGGGCATGGAGGCGCACTTGACATTATCCATATCATTTCCTTGAATTAAAATTATTTTGTTCATTTTCCAAAACTTGTATTTTATTTATAATTTTAATGGTTGAAGTCGTAAAGGGTTCTTTACAAAGGAACTTGGCGAATTTCTTCTTACCAAGAACTTCAATGTATTTAAAACTTAATTACGCCATAAAACGCTTTAACTTTGTCAAAAGAAAAAATGAAAGTTTAAACTCAGATTGTCAAAATGACGTTTAATCAGAAGTTAAAAATTATGTAAGATTATAAAAAAAACATATTTCTTATGCAATGCCTAAGTTTGATTGCATATTAACGATTGCAAGTTTAGGGTGAATCAAAAAGTTCAAATTTCTGAGAAAAATTTCATCGACTTGTAATCTTATTTCCTTGTCCTTTTTATGTCCAGTCGGGTTATAGTCGGGTTGTAGTTAAGGAAACAGTCTGGCATTCCTTTTTCCATTTCTTAAAATAAAGCATTATCTTTTCATATATATAAGAAAGACCCCCCAGCCATTTCATTCCACCATATGCTTAACGATAGTAGAATCCGGATGGAACAAAATTCGTCTCCATTAGATTCGGATGCTAAACGCTGAAATTGCATTGACTGTCATCTACATCTATATATATTTGCTTAATTATTTGTCTGTCTGTCTGTTTGTATGCATCCAATAAACGCAAAGCGGCTGAAACAATCGAGCCCAATTAAAAATAGCAACTTTCACACTTTTTATTGTGAAAGGGGGCATGAAGCGCCCTAAAAGCCTAGTGTAATATAAAAGAACTGTTAAGTCTGCAAAATTAGAAGAAAGAATCTAGTTTGTATAATCGGATGTCGACCGGATCTTCCGAATACTGCTTTCATTTATTCATTCGAATCAGTAGGTATTATTCAGGGGGTTCTTTCACATCTAAGGTACTACGGACGAAATTTAAGTAACCTCATATTTAATGCTCGATTCGCAAGGTTCAAATGTCGTATGACAAAAACAAATTATGATGTTCTTGCTATTTCTATCTATAACTAGATATGTTCGAATTCTAGCTTCTTTCCATCATTACTTGCGGATTTATGTTGCAGAGGCAATGAGGATAATAAACAGAATTCAACAATTGGCAGATTGGGGTGTCATTTTAATCAACGTTTAAAGTAAATTGAAAAAAAAATAAAATTTGGACATTTTGAGTTTAAGTCTTGTTTTCCTATTAGTTCGCAGGTTGAGAGGATTATAGTTCCAATCCAGTGTCCGCTCTGAAATCAGATTAAAGGGAATGTTTCACAAATACATAAAGGGGGTAATGAAACATTAGAATTGGTATTTTTCATTGTTGCGAAGTAAATTTTTTTTAACTTTTGTAGATAAACAATTTTTCAAAAATTATAAAAAATGCTTTTATACTATTATTAGTATTATTAGTATTAGTATTATTAATAATTATTAATAATATTTACCTAATAATCAATAATTAATCGATAAAACAAAGATTTTCACCTTTGCTTTCTGAGATCTATACAGCAGAAGAAGGCCAGGCTTTAGTACACACCATAGTTTAGTCCAGCTTTTCAAGGAGCCTCGAACCTTGACAGAGAAATCGTTGAGTTCAGTGTTAAAGGGACGTTATTAGCAATTTTAAGTGAATCTCCATGCAAAATTAGGAATGCCCGATTCACAGCAGTACCCTTGAAACTTTTTCTGATAAAAAATGTGAAAGATATTGTCGTTTTTCAGGATCAAAAAGTTTTTTTTATAATTATTCCTATAGGGTTTCCTGCATTAGAAATGCACCAGTCACTTAGGTAAAGAAATCACAATCAATCAATCGGACTTTAAGGGACACCCTTTGACAACGTCTCAATCCCACTGTTACTGTACTATGCTGGGATTGAAATAAGGATTTACAATTCGCAGATGAAGCTATAAAAGCCTTTAGAAAAATCAATCAATCAATCAAATTTCGGCTCTGGTAATTAAATATTTGAAAATATTTGCAGCGGACATCTTATATTTGCCAGATTACAGAGCGATTAACAGTAATCTTAGTAGTTCATTGTCACTCAAGTACAGGATTAAAGAGTAACGTTGAGAATTCGACATGTCACTTTAACTTTGGAGATTCACTTGAAATCATGTCCACAGTCCCTTTACAGTAAGCCTTGATTTTACGAGATTAAAGCTGAAAAAATCAAAAAATCATCCTTTTACAGTATACAGTCTTGTCACTTGTAAACATATCAGTCTTTTTAACAAATATATAAATCATCTCTTTTTAGCCTTCTAACTGGGATAATATTTTGTTTAGATTTTTTAAAGTGACAAAAAATAGAATATCCTTTCCCTAAGCCTTTAAAATTATTTTTAATAAACCAAATTTTAATTTACACAACTAAAATAGAATTAATATTTAGATTTTAATCATCAAATTAAAATTTCCTTAAAAATTTCTTTATTGCTTTGAATTGGATTCAAGTAGGGTTTCAAAGGCAAGTTGATTTTACTTGCGCGCAATTCCGAGCCCATTAATTTCGCACAATTTCGAGCAATTTTGCGCAATGGAATTCTGATTGAAAACCTTGATAGCTCGAACTTTACTGATCCAATCTAGCAGAATTCAAAGGTTCATAGTATCAACTATTGCTTTACATAAGGTTGCACACATATTAAAAGTATAAAATTGTAGTGTTTAACAAGTTTTCAGTTCCTTATATGCAACAGCATACAAAATTAATGTCATTTAAGTATTTTGAATTTAGCGAAGGATTAATCTGAAAAATTTTCTCAGCAGTCTTAATTTTTGTTCCTCTTTTTACCATTGTGCATATTCATTTTAATCCTTGTGTGCAAAAAAACGAATTTACAACAAAGAAAATAAGAAAGATATTTCTTGCTCGCTTTTAAAAGAAACAGATCTGAATAAAATATATACAACTCTCAAATGGAAAAATGCAGTTGCTGGAAAAATCTAATTCAGGATTGCATAACTCTTTCCTCACTTGTTTTCATTTATAACATCTTGCTTTTTTAAATCGTCCAATAACCAATCTGCAGTACAGTGTTATTATTTACCTTTAACCAATCTGCAGTACAGTGATGGTATTTACCTTTAACCAATCTGCAGTACAGTGATGGTATTTACCTTTAACCAATCTGCAGTACAACTACATTGTTTATCTTTAGCCAATCTGCAGTACAATTATATTGTTTACCTTTAACCAATCTGCAGTACAATTACATTGTTTACCTTTAACCCACCTGCAGTACAATTATATTGTTTACCTTTAACCAGTCTATATTGTTTACCTTTAACCCATCTACAGTACAATTTTATTGTTTACCTTTAACCCACCTGCAGTGCAATTATATTGTTTACCTTTAACCCACCTACAGTACAATTTTATTGTTTACCTTTAACCCACCTGCAGTACAATTTTATTGTTTACCTTTAACCAGTCTGCAGTACAATTTTACTGTTTACCTTTAACCCACTTGCAGTACAATTATATTGTTTACCTTTAACCCACCTGCAGTACAATTATATTGTTCACCTTTAACCCACCTGCAGTACAATTACATTGTTTACCTTTAACTAATCTGCAAAACAATTATATTGTTTACCTATAACCAATCTGCAGTACAGTCAGTAATGCTATTTACCTTTAACCAATCTGCATTACAATTAAATTGCTAACCTTTAGCCAATCTGCAGTACAATTACATTGTTTACCTTTAACCAATCTGCATGACAACAATATTGATTACCTTTAACCAATCTGCAGTACAATAATGATGTTTACCTTTAGCCAATATGCAGTACAATAATAATGTTTACCTTAAACCAATCCGCAGAACAATTATATTGTTTACATTTAAACATTTTCAAGTACAATATTATTATTTACCTTTAACCAATCAGCCAGTACAATAATAGATTCATCTTTAAATGTTGATAAAAGTTCTTTTTCTACACGTTTCTTCTCCTTTCTACAAAAACATAAGGTCAATATGGAAAATGGAAGATCAAAGTCAAAAGGTAAAGATGAAAAAAATAAGGATGCAAAACAGTGCTTAGAATCCGGATCCGTTGGATCCGTAACATTTTGGCTTCCTGGATCCGGATCCAAGGGGCAAAATGTCAATCAAAAAATGAAAAAAATAAAAATTTTACTCTTTAAACTCAAACCTAAACTGTTTAAAAAGAAAAATCATCAAAACTTTTCTTATTGCAGATTTGTACGTCAAGTTTAATCATAAAAATAAGCAAAAAAAATTAATTTGAATATTTTTTTTTGTTAACAAATCAGAAATTTTTTTCATGACCTGGATATGGATCAGGAACCATTTTTTCTCTTGCAGATCCATAATACTGGATCCTAAGCGCTGATGGAAAGTAAGAAAAGGAGGACAACAGAAGATAGATATGAAGAATGAAAAAAAGTAATTTTTTGCTAAGATTTAAAATCAAAAACGGTCACGTCTATCAGAAAGTATCTAGATCTCTTGTATTTTGAGATGCACTAATCCGAATTTTCTAATCCCTATATCTTCGCAACCTTTGATATTTCAAACTTGGATTATTTGATCTAATTTTTAGTTTTATATATCCAAGGTCTACAGAGAAGAAAAAAGGATAAGAAATTCAGAGTTAGTGGAAAGAACTCAGTTCTTTTTGAGAGAAAAAAATGTGATATTGTATTGAATTCCAATTACCTGTAAATTCGGCGTTGAGCCTTATAGCTTTCCTTCCTATCCAGCCTGCCGTCTCCTTTACCCTACAATATATACCATATTAGAACAAGAAACTTTAATAATTACATTTCTTTTTAAGAGTAAAAAAAGAGATCTTCAGTGAGATCAAATAAAATGCATGCAAAAGAGTTAATTAAGCTCCTATGTACATTGTTATATAAAAAAATGGAAAAGAGTTTTCAAGGTGACGAAAAAATTAAAGCCAAAGATATAAAACAACTTTATTTTTTTTCTAGCCCTGCTGAAGCTTTTAGCCTTTGAAATTACGTTGAAAGACCCTTTAATCAAGATAATATATGAAAAAACATGAATAAATAATTATTCCAAGCAAAGAATTTACAATTGTTTTTTTCAAAATGTCCGTTTGTTAAATATAATGTTTAAAGTTTGTTCTGCGGACAAACAACACTTCAAAGGTTAATACTTGCATAATGAAAAACAAAAACATGTTAAGAACAGGGGTATACACTTCAAGTTAGAGGGATATATGATTTTCCAAGATTAGTTTTTTTAGTTTAGTTTTTTGATTACTCCAAGAACCCATATAGGAGTGTAGTAGGAGTTACAATGTGTTATGCTTTTTTGTTTGTTTCTTATTGTTATCGCATTTTTTTTGTTTTATTGATTTAATTCTTTACATTTTTTTAATAATTTATCTTTTTTACTTTGCCTGTTTTTTCTTTTATTTTTTATTGATTCTTTGACATTTTCTGTTCTTTTTTATTTTTGGCGGAGATTTTTTTCTTGTTTTTGCTATATTACATCATATACCATGAGTATATAAAAACAAATAAATAGAATGAGCTTATTACCCAAAAATATATATAAATGTAAAATGTCCTTATAAACATGTATATTTAGTATATACACATATTTACAAACCAATATTGTTTTATGTTATAATCTTAAATAATTAACATTTATATCTTCAAATATTTTGTAGAATAGTTTTTGAGAAAAGTTAATCCTAATCTCCTAGATTTGTGTATTTTCGTAAGAAACACTCACAGTATTAAACCTACATTGTTTGAACATAAATATTATATCTTATAAAGGAGGTAGGGGGGGGGGATTATACCTGCGTGCCCCCATCGCTACCCCCGTCTGAGCCAAGGGAGGGTAACCTCATGATGGGGGGTGCGGTGGACCCCAGATTTAGTCGATTTATCTGTTACAACACGAGATGACACTGGAGATTTAGAAATCAAATATGTTTCTCATATTTCAGTCGAAAACGTAAAAAAAAATCCAAATCCGGCTGAATATTATCCTGGAACGATATCATTGAAAACTTATTTAATTATTTAAATTTTTTTGTAAGATATTAAAATTTTAAAAATTTAACTACTCGGCTCGGCCAATGCATGCATGATTATTCTTCTAAAAATTCAAATCCAAACCCCCTCCACCCCCCTCTCTCGTAATGAAACCTTTTTAACTATCTCTGTTTTTAACCCTAATTGAAAATTCTTAAATTGGCAAGTTTTCATTCTTTTTTCATAACAATTTTAAGTTTCAAAATACATGGCTGCTTTAGAGCCAAATTGGATTATTTTATGTAACGCCCTTATGTAGGTTTTTTAATTGAAGGCAAATATTCGCAATTTGGACACTTTTAACATGGCGTTATGTTTGAGACACAGCATTCTATAGAACACCCTGTATTCTCGAAATATATTATGAGTTTGTAAGTTCAGAATGACAAGTGTATGAGAATGTATATAAAACAAATACAGATATACACGGAAAAACAAACACACAAAACATACGAGGATTGCAAGGTTGTAATCCCCCCCCTCTTGCTTAAATTTATCAATTAAAATAATTGTTAATGATTTTTAGTGGTCAGCAATTCGTGGATTAGTAGTTAGTGTAGTTAGCATTGTGTAGGATCTGTATCTAGATCCCAATGTTACAGAAAGCGTACTGTGCTGTACTGTACTATATTTAAATAGAAGCGTGCTGTACATTCTTACTCTGTTACATTAAATGTAGAAATTTTACAATAGAAGCGTGCTGTACTGTAATCTGCTTACATTAGAAACGATGTACTGTAATCTATTTACAATTGAAGCATACAGGACTGTAAGCTGTTTACAATAGAAGCGTACTGTGCTGTTATCTGTTTACATTAGAAACGATGCACTGTAATCTATTTACAATTGAAGCATACAGGACTGTAATCTGTTTACAATAGAAGCGTACTTTACTGTAATCTGTTTAAATTAGAAACGAGTACTGTAATCTATTTACAATTGACGCATTACTGTACAAAACTGTACTGTACTGTACTCTGTTTACATTGTTGTTTATTGTTGGAGTGTATGCCATGGCAGCAGTTAACCAACCTAACTCTTCTTCATTATATTTCTGCAAATTTATCTTTAATTGTGAAACAGAGGGGAAATGGGTTCTCCTCAGTTTTTTTCACGTAGAATGTGAATATAGATAGAAGACTGTCTTTATATCCACATGTAATTCAACTGTCACTTTCTTTCTTTATTTGGTGAATCAAACGATAATCGTTATTTTTGCGAGTTTAGGTTGTCGTTTAAGCCTCATCCTTTGAAGGTATCTCTGTATAGTAACAATAAATATTTGAAGAAAAACAACTAATGTTTCTATTTTGTCCTATTTCCTTCTAACCCCTATTTCCCAAAGTAATTTAAAACTTTCATTTCAATTTAACAAAACGAAAATCTTGAGCATTTTCTCTTCAAAGAATTCCTGGTTTTCTCAAACTTGCTATCTAGAGATAATATTTAAAGGGAGAGACCGGCTAGACATGGTAGTTGAGCAGAGAGTGTAGTGTTGTAATTGTAAAGAAATTTTTAAGGATTCATTTGAGATCTAGAAGATTCTTTTAAGTTGCATATTTGTTCAGCAAGAGCGCAAATTTAATCTTTAAAATTCTCCTTTTTTGTTCACTCTAAAGGATGATTTTGAGAATCGTAATTTATGAATTATTCAATAACGACGATGAAATATGAAACAAAAATTCTACCATTGACTTTTCACAAATTTCTATTAAGAATTATTAAGAATTATCATAAAAACGTCTCATAGGTCTCAAATGAACCCTGAAAATTTCTCTACAATACTGAACTCTCTGCTCAACTACCATGTCTAGCCGGTCTCTCCCTTTAAATTTAAAACAAATTCTCCTGCGTTATACAGGTTTAGATTTCATACAGAATATCTTATTCTAAATTACTTTAATTAAATTTTCTTGAAGTCTATTAAAAGTTCCAGAATACCCAAATTTTTCCAAAGCATGCATTTAAACATTACAATTCTTAAAAAAAAACTATGCACGCAGGTAGACTGTTTGAATAAGTATGCACACAGTTTTTAAATAAATTTAAAATTTAAATATTTGAGTTGAATATCTTAAGAATAAATTAAAACTAAAAACTATACTTTTACTGAAATCAATAAAAAAATGAAGCTACTAAGAAATGTTTAAAGAAATGTTTAACAATGATTAAAATTGCAACTAGTGCATTTATGTTTTACAAGTCACAACACAGCNCCACCATCACACAGTTAACTCCTCCTTGGCGGAGTAGCAAAGCACTACTGCCTGGAATTCATCAAGCCCTGAATACATCAAGCCTTTAATTATCCAACGAAACAAGTTTTCGGTGTTTTTTTCTTTTTTCTTTTAAAAACATGCTTTATCTTAAAGAAATAAAACTGAAGACGTAATTTCAAAACACTCTTTATTTAAAAATTGTGATGTCTCATTCACAAAAGTTTTTAAATCGGTATCAAAGTGAAATTGAGGAAATGTTAAATTCGCACAATATCCTCCACTGTCTCTACAAGTGCAGCATGAATTTTTATTTAGAAAAATAAATATATTTCATTTTTCCTTATTTAGCCGGAGGTTTAAAGGTTCCACCTACTTTAAATTTCACTTTACAGTACGTATAGCCTTTAAGCGAAGAAAGCAAGATTTTTTTTCATAAATAAAATGTAAAAATAAAGAAAACAATTGTATGAAAGAAATCCTAATAAATAAACAAAATTCAACAATATATGATATCCACACTGTAAACCGTCATTAAATATAGAGAAGAACTGAAGATATAGATAATACGACTTCTCACTGTATTAAACTTAAGTTAAGTATTTAAGTGCACTTAACACTTAATGACAGTTAATCTAAGTCCCATCTGTATTTTTAACATCTTCAACAATAATTATACCATTAATCTGCAAATGCAAATAAAATAAATTTTCTGTTTAAAATTAATTACAAAATAAATTTTGTTCTAATAGAATAGATATATTTAAAAAAGTTCATGTTAGATAATAAGATAGAAAAATTTAAATAGTAAACACTGACTTTCATAATTTTTTATCATCCCTGGGTTCAAAAAAGAAATTCACAACTCGAATAATTATTGTCGTTATTGCGACGTGAAAGCTTCTATATCTATTATGATCAATTATGAATATGTGGATATGTTGTTCGTTAATAATTATCTAAAACTGAATACAAATTCCGGAAAAACTTGTGTATATGCATGCCATGTGAGAATACAAGTGTGTCCCAAAAAAAATTTATTATTTTTTTTCTGAAAATATCTTTAAAACTAGTGCTCATGTTCCAAAATGAAAAATTTCGATAAATTTCATTAATTTCAATTCAGATTTTAAAAAAAATGCAGGCCGCCGGGAAAAAGAATTAAGGTTCTTGCCACAAAGTTAAATTTTACAATTCCTAAATGTTTACAACCGGATGTTGTGAATCTTTTATATAAAGTATTAATCTCTGTTTTGAGATTCTAAGTTGAGTGGGTCGACTTTAATAGGGGTAGCTAATATCGTAATTTAAAACCAAGCGCGGGTAAACGGTGGGGTAACTATGTGTATCCTGGGCAACGATGGTACCCAAAAAAGTCTTTTATATTTTGAACTTCGATCATTTGATCTTTTTTGTAATGAGGAATATCTGGAAAGAGATCTAATATACCCTCCAGTTGGGAGAACCCAGACCGCCATCGGATAATATTGTAATAAAAAATTCATACTTAATCAAAAGCTTGGGAACCCAGTTTTGCCTAGAATTTACCCTATGTCAACCCACTCAACTTAGAATTAGAAAACCAAGCAAAACACTACCGGGGTTCTCCTAAACTCCCCAATCAAAATTTTGACAGTTTAATGTCAATTTCTGGAGACAGGAACATCAGATAGAACTATTATATGTCTCGTTCAACGCCTGAGATTCTCAGGTTTCAGCCTATACCTCCTTTTATTTTTCCTTTACAGTCCCTTTAAGCAACAATAAAAAGAAAACACCCATAAAAGAACTTAACAAAAACTCTAATTTTCTGATTCTTACAAATTTGATATTTTAAACTAAGAAAAAAGGATATTAAATTTCGATTTTAGGCGAATTTTCAATTTCTCTTCCAGTAAATAAACTGCTGAAAAATTCTGAATGTCTGTGGATAAATCAATGCTTGACATAGCAACGAAGTTAAATGAAACAATCCCGGAACTAATCATCATAAATAATTTCCGTGGATTGATTTTCAGTGCAGTAAATTCAAGAATTAAATTGTATCAAAATAGAATTTCAATTTTAAGGGTGAGTATGCTTCAGATAATGACCGTGCACCTCTTTTCAAAAATAAAAAACAACCCCAGCGCCCCCCCTCCTTACAAAAAAATTTTAGTTCTGGTTTTTCAATGTAAAAATAAAAATCTAGTACTTTCTTTGATTTTTCCTGTTTAAAAATTAAATTGCCCAAATGTGATATTTTTTCTTTTAAAAACAAAACAATTTGTTCTTTTATATTTGACAAAGGGCATTTAGGAATTTACAAAATAACATTTAATAAGACGTTTTTGATTTTTAAGTTAAACCCCTTCAGTATATACAAAGTGTAAAACGGGGGGGGGGCCCAGAACCCCGGGGGGGGGGGATTTAAAATCTAATTTTCCTGATTTTCTCCTAAATTTTTCACTTCACAGCAAATTAAATGGCCAGAGTCGATAGTGACTAAAATATATGAACAAGTCAAAGGGAAAGCAGTTGAATCGTTTAAATATTAAAAGTTGTTAAAGTGCACCTGTAGCCTTTATTCTAATAAAAACTAATTATTCAGAAATCAATGGTTTAAACTTGTAACAGGCAAGGAGAATGGGAGAGGGGATTCTTATTTTGAAGAATTATAACCCGGCACTGAGGAAGAGAAATAACAATAAACTAGAAAGTTTGTTCACCAATTTCAAACGGCAATGTCCGATATAACGGTACCCTTGAAGACTATATCTAATCAATAATGTCAAAGATGTCGTTTTCTATGTATTTAATTCAAATAATTGTTTTCCTAGAGCAAACATCGAAAGTCACTTTTGTAGGGAAATCACACTCGAAAAAAATCGGTTTTAAACATTCATAATTGTTGTAGCTTTTAAGGGAACCGTTGTGAATCGGACATTGTTATTTTTGCATGGACAGACACTTTTAATAACGCTTACAGCTCCTTTAGTCCTTTAGTTTAAACTATAGAGGGAGCGGTGAATTTTAAAAAATCTACTTTTATATAAATTTTAAAAAAAATTGTCTAGTTCAGGTGTTATTTCAGATGCATTTTTAACGCTAGTTACGAGTTTGAGATGTCTGGGCATTGGTCAAGCTTACACTGTTGACAGATCCTAATTAGTAAAACAAGGTATTAATTATTTATAAAAAAAACCTTTCTAAATCTCTCAGTGCATCTTTAACCTTGTTTACATTAAACCCTAAATCTACACTGCGTCGACCGACACGAGAACTTATTTTTCCGCTCAAACGATTCTATCTTGGACTAACGTTCTCCTCTAAACTTAATAGGACGCTTGATATATCCGCTAATCTCAGTTCTCCGCTAGTTATGTCCCCTAATCTCAGTATTACTCCAGTTATGTCAGTTTTCAGGTTGAATTGTTTTAACAATGTTTACACTGGTGTCGCAGTATATATACTGTTTATAAATCCTATTTAAGCCCCATGTTCATCCAGTGCTGGAAATGAATTGAGTTTCTTTCTTTTTTGAGGATTAAAATATTTTTTATCAGAAAATAGGTTTTTAAGTTTTAAAAGAAATCTGTTGTTGAGGGATTTCCTTAAAAACTAAGACATTTAAATACAGTAATTTCGCCTAGACAATTAAAAAAAATATTATGACTGTTCCAATTTTACATTTCTTTAATATCAAATGTTCAAAACTTTTGTGGTACAAACAACAGTAAGAAAAAGACAAAAAAAAACTATTTTCATGAACATTTCTTACTGAAAGTTTTGGGAGAAATGTCAAATTGTGAAATCCAATCATGATATTGAAAAAAGTAACTATAGATAATTTGTATTCCCAGAATTCTGTTCCAATCGGAGATGTTTTTTTCTTTCTTTTTGAAGAAAAATATGTTTCCATCTACAAAAATTTCTTCAAGATATTCTTAGCCAAGAAAAAGTTTCTTTAAGTTTTGTAATAGCTTTGCCATGTAATACCATTTATCTTGCAGACAGGATATTCTTTAAACATGTATTTTAGTTTTCAGCCCNAAACCCTCCCCATCAACCATTTTGCCAAAATGCTTTCTCGCCAACTTCTGGTTTATGATCATGCAACCCCTCCCTTTTGCAGAGTTTGTGCAAAATATAAATTGGTGAATTGCAGAACTTAATTTAGCAAGTGAAATTTAGGGGTAAGCAATTAGATTAGCCCTAATTAAACGATCTAAAGGATATTTCGTTTATTGTAAGAAAACTTAAGAATAAATTTCCCCAAGCTTGATTTTTGAAAAATATTTAGGTTAATAAAAAAAATTAGCTTGCCCCTAATGAAAAGTATGAAAAGTTAACCCCTGTCAAAGTTTAAAGAACAATGAACAATCTAAGAAACAAAACAAAATCAATTCATGGGTATATCCTTATTTCAATAATAAAGCAAGACATTTGTATAGATGTTGAGTATAGCCGGCCAAACGGCTGGAACGATTGGGCTGAATTTTTTTGTGGACACATATGGGTGGCCGAGGGGTGTTATAAAAAAAATCGATTTTTTTTAAAATGTTTTTAAAAAAAATTCCACGGGCAACGCCTGGCCCTTCAGCTAGTTTATATTTTTTTCAAGAAATACAGCCTTGTATGGGGGAATTAAAGTTTGACATAAAAAGGCAAGTTTTCCAACTTTTTTGATACTTTTTAATAAAACATTCATTTATTTTTTCCAATTTGACAATACCCTAAAATCAACAGGGAAAAAAGAAATGATTTTCAAGAATATATACACCCGTGAAACTAATAAAAACGTATATTTTATTCTATTCTTATGAGATAATTCAACTACTAAGAAAATCGTTTTCGTTAAAAAATTGACATTAATAAGCAGATTTGTTGAAACAAATTCAGCTAGTAGAAACTTTTCTTAAATGAGGTGTTTAATTTATACAAGTTTAACAATCAATATGCCGGAAATTGTGCAATAAAGTTGTAGTAAGAAATCTTGAATGAAATAATTATTATTTGTCCGGTTTTTCCGGTTTCATTTCCACAATAATTTTAGACAGTTAGAGGAAATTTATAAAATGATGACTTTAAGCTTGTAAACCTTTGGTTAGCTTTTGTAAACATTTTTTTCTATAAAAAATACATAACATAATTCGAAAAATCATTGGAAAAATTAATAGAAATCGCCTTAATTTATCTTTGCATGTCGAGTTTAAAATTAAGATTTCTGGGTCATTTCACAATTTCTAAAAATATACACCCCTACAAATAATTGTCAAATTATTGATTATTTCATTAAATAATGATTAGGTGAAGGTTAGTGCACTCCAGAGCCCTGGAGCTTGTAAAACAAGCAAAAACTAAAAAAAATCAAAAAGAAGAAAAAAAGAAAATCTTACTGATACTTTTTTCCCTGCCATATTCTTATTAACCGATCTCAACCCAGGCTACAACAAGAACAACAATGGACAGTAAGAAGATTAAAGATTGTAATGAATTGTATCTATGCTATAAATCATTAATGTATCATTTTTCTCAAAAAAAACAGTTTCAGGATTAAAAAAAGATCCAGAGTCCAGAAATAAATATATCTCCAGAGCTGAGAACTTTTGAATGGTGAATATCGGGATTTATGCTTGATCCACTCTTTTTCTAAAACTCCAGATTAAATAATGCTTGTTCTCCTCATGTTATTAATCTCCAGATTAATTAACAGATCGGGATTAAGTATATCCCATTCTTAAGTTTACAGCTCTGGATTCTTTCTTAAAAAGATGATTAAGAGGTTCTGTTGTGATTTAAACTCAAACTTGAAATTGTTATCATTTTGTCAAAACCCATAATCAGTTCTGAACTTTGAAGCTAAATAAAAGCAAACTTTTGAACAGTTAATGATACATTTTACTGAGCATTCAGGGAAATTTCTTCTTAACTCATCCTTAAAGAAACTGTACACGCAGTGGCTCCCCTAGACATGCACCCCGAGGACCCCCCCTAGATATGCCCAGGGGCCTAATGTTTGGGAAAAGGGGAAGCAGGGTTGGAAATTAGGGGGAGCAGTGGCCTAGTGGTAACCGTCAATTGAAAGGGGGAGCACTGCACTGCAGGGTTGGGAACACTTTCTCAAAGAAATCTTTTGACTTTTAACCATGATACCGGTTGGGCTTTTTTTTTGTCTCCCCTATGATTTTGCCCTTAGAGTTGAGATAGGGGAGTGTGATACAATGTCCATAGTCCTTAGTATCTTTATTGATAAGGGTGCAAAGGAAAATTTTAAAAAAGTTCAAAAAGTACGTAAGAAAAATGTTCAAAAATATATATTTTTACTTTTGACAAATATTAACATGTGACACATACTATACATTCATTTTCAACGGCTTTTCAAATATTTAAATGTTAGCCATCTAACTTATTATTAAATAAATATTAACCACTTCTGATTTCACAGGGGGGGAGGGGCCCCCCCTCCTCACATTAATTGGGTTGAGGAATAGTGTTTTAAAGAATTTTTTGCAATTTTTGTAATGCATAAAGTAAAGTAAAGTAAAAAATTATTTATTTATGAAATATAACAAAAACATACAAATGAAGTGTTTCAGGAGAAAATATTTAAAAACCTCTAAAAGTAGAGGTTGTAGGAATATTTCCCCCCCAATTCTAAAAAAAAATATAAAACTAGAACTAACAGGAAAACGGAAAATAAAATAAAATAAAATAAAATAAAATAAATAGGATAGAATGCAGGACGGTAAAAAAAGGCCGGTCGGTGTAAACAAATTTAACCCTATTTCTGCTGGTAGGGGGGGGGGGGTCAATTATTTGCATACAACTATCATATTTTATCATTTTTGGCACAACATTTTTCACTAAATAACTGAATTATCCAACGAAAAAAAAATCAATTTTTGCAAATTTGCATTTTTTTGCAGATTCTTACAATAGATAATAAGAGCTTTCCAATTATGTATTATTTTTGGCCATCAAACATAAAATTTAGAGGGAGGGGATCAAATTGACCCCCCCCCCCCCCCAGCGTATCCTGGTTTTCAAGTACCCCAGAAGGGATAGCCCATAAACTGTTGTTATTTAGGCTACAGATCTAAACATTACATTTTTGAAAAGCCCATGAAAAATGGATTTTAAAATAGGTGCCATTATAGGGTTAATATAGTGTTTAAAACTGAACTTTTTTTCTTAATACCGGTTTTTTAAGGTGGTAAACAACGACCGCCAAAAGTTCACCCCTCCCCCTTCCCCTAGGCTAAACCTCCACTACGCCCCTGTGTACACGTTATTTCAAATGACGTTAAATGCAAGACCAGGATATTCTTTACATTTTTGTCTGATCATTTATTATTGGCCAATAGGTACAACTATAGTGACCAATAGGTACAACTATAGGTCGTATATATCTATCTACACTGCTCTGGTAAAGCGTAACCATAGTGTGACTATGGTTCTACCTCTGGTAGATCGTCTAAGAAATTGGCCACATGTGTGAACTCAACACAGCTCTGAAGTTATATTATTTCTCGAAAATCCAGAATATTTTGTGTTCAACACAGTTTTTAAAATTCAAGTTCAAATATTTATTTACTGCATGTTCTGGAACGTAAATGTTGATATTTATTGACTAGAGAACAGGTTGCAAACAAATTTACAAAAAATTCTGTAGAACATAAAGGATAAGTACGTCAGCATTGATAAGTCAAAGGTTTAAAGGGTCATTTTCTGAATCAGACATGTTGTAAATCTTTGATTCTAGTTCTAATAGTCAAAGTCTTAACTTTAAAAGTTTACACTTTCAGGTTGCAGAGATATAGGAATGAGAGACACAAGTTTTCAGTTCCTCAAGGATGAGTTTGGAAGAGAAATTTTCTCCTATGCTCATTACGATTTTCGTTAGAATTTAGATAAAAGGATGTTTTTTTAAGAGTTTGGAACTTTTGATGTAAGAATCCTGAATCTTGAATGCTCTCGAGAAAAACTAGATTATAAAGTGCTAACCTGTTGGCTTTCAGGGAACAGTAAGTCCGTGTTGTGGACATGACTAGAATCCTCCCCTGAAAAAAAAATATTTAAAAAAAAAACTGATTAAAAGTTAAAACATCCAGCACTTTTTTAATCAAAAAAAAATTATTAAAAATTGCAAATTTACAGTCAATAAGAAGAGTGAACTTCTAGTCATATCTCTCCTCAGCTGAAAGCTAATAACTCTTTTCTTGGTTAAAAAAATAGAGATCAAAGAAAGCTGTGAAAAACGGATGGTCCACCTCAACAAATCTTTTTACTCTGTATTAGATCATTTTTAAGGTTTTTCTAAATATTAATCAATTTTTGAGCTTGATACTTTTGAATGCGGACACAAGTTACCATCAGTTCAAACTTTGTCTTTGATTTACCTTCCTAGTTCTGAACCAATAAGTTTGAGTATGATTCAATGTATCGAGGTGGTAACGACAACAAATAAAAGGTGCTTTTATCTACATAATTTCATGATGATCAACATTTATCTCATGGAGCTACCTACTCAGCAGGAGCTGCAGAATAAATCACTCTGCATGTTATCTCCTCTTTGGGAGTGTAAGGTGCGGAAAATATTGTTCTGCATCTCATCTACTCAATAGAAGATGCATAATGTATCGTTCTGAATGTCATCTACTCCCTAGGAGATGCAGAATCTTTTGTTCTGAATCTTATTACTCTCTAGAAGATGCAATTTGTAGCGTTCTGCATGTCATATACTCTCTAGGAGATGCAGAATATTATGTTTTGCATCTCATCTAATCTCTAGAAGATGCAGAATATATTGTTCTGCATCTCATCTACTCTCTAGAAAATTCAGAATATCTTGTTCTGCATGTCATCTACTATCTATTGTTCTGCATCTCATTTATCTAGAGGATGCAGAATCTTTTGTTCTGAATCTCATCTACTCTCTAAAAGATGCAAAATGTATTGTTCTGAATATCATCTACTCCCTAGGAGATGCAGAATATTAGTTCTGAATCTCATATACTCTCTAGGAGACGCAGAAAATATTGTTCTGCATGTCATCTACTCTCTAGAAGATGCAGAATATATTGTTCTGCATCTCATCTCCTATCTAGAAGATGCAGAATATATTGTTCTGCATCTCATCTACTCTCTAAAAAATGCAGAATATCTTGTTCTGCATGTCATCTACCATCTATTGTTCTGCATCTCATTTATCTAGAAGATGCAGAATATCGTGTTCTGCATCTCATCTACTCTCTAGAAGATTCAGAATATATTGTTCTGCATGTCATCTACTCTCTATTGTTCTGCATCTCATCTCCTATCAAGAAGATGTAGAATACAGCATTTCATCTCATTTACTCTCTAGGAAATGGAGAATATCTTGTTCTGCATGTCATCTGTTATCTATTGTTCTGCCTCTCATCTATCTAGAAGAAGTAGCATACAGCATTTTATCTCATTTACTCTCTAGGAGATGCAGAATATCTTGTTCTGCATGTCATCTACTCTCTATTGTTCTGCATCTCATCTACTCTCAAGAAGATGTAGCATACAGCATTTTATCTCATTTACTCTCTAGGAGATGCAGAATATCTTGTTCTGCATGTCATCTACTCTCTATTGTTCTGCATCTCATCTACTCTCAAGAAGATGTAGAATACAGCATTTAATCTCATTTACTCTCTAGGAGATGCAGAATATCTTGTTCTGCATGTCATCTATTATCTATTGTTCTGCCTCTCATCTATCAGGAAGAAGTAGCATACAGCATTTTATCTCATTTACTCTCTAGGAGATGCAGAATATCTTGTTCTGCATGTCATCTACTCTCTTTTGGTCTGCATCTCATCTATCTTTGAAGATGTAGCATACAGAAATTTATCTCATCTACTCTCTAGGAGATGTAGAATATTTTGAATCAGTGCTAAGGATTTGAATCCACAGTGCTTTCACTTGAGATATGATCAAAGTGACTTAAAATGAAATGAATTATTATGAAAACATTTTGCCTTGGTTTATACTATTGTGAGATGGATAAAACTTCCCTGATTTATCATTGAAGTTCAAGATTAAAAAAAAGAGAAAAATAATAATTGCAGAAATGTTGCTTTTATACAACATGAAAAATATTTTTGAGCTTGATCATGCAGAGGCCCAATCTGAGCCGCGGCCAAAAAAACCACAGCTCAAATATGGTTAGTCCACTTAAAATTGCATTCGTTGATTCAAGATTTCAGCCGGCGCTCAATTGAAACCGGTTTTTTGGTGGATTTAAGACGCAGCTCAAATTCATGAAATTCGGACACTGGATACATTTTTATAAATTACAGTGGAGGGATTCAGTATTCGGAATCTGCATTTAACGTGATCAATATTGTGGAAGAAAATATCGTTTTTCTGTCTTGATAAGTGTTTAATTTTGGTAATTTCTCCACTGTTTTTAAAGCAAGAAATGTGCAATGCAGAGAAATCTCAAATAAAAATAAACAGTGTTCATGAACTAAAACATGGATATCTAATTCATATTTGATTAGTCAAAGCTTTTAAGGAAACTATCAATGAATCAAACATGCATGTATATCCCTTGCAGTTAACTTAAAAATGACGATTACAGTCCCTTTAAAATAAAATTTCAATTGGTTCTGACCAAACTACAAGACAAATTGAGAATCTAAGTCCCCTGAACCTAAGATTTAATTAACCTACTAATTACTTTCTTAGAGTGTAAACAAAATTTGATTTTTAAACAATAATAAATAATATAATAATAAAAGGGTTTGCTCAGTAAAGTTAAGAAATGTTCAAGTAAAATTAATCTTATTTTGACACAATTTTCAGGGAATCATGAGGCAAACTAAGAATCCTTTTATCCATATTTGGGACAACAAAACCAAGAAGTCAATGTTGAAATAACTATTACATTAACAAAACTACAATTAAAAAGAATAATTTAACTATCAACCAAGGACAAACTAATAAATGATTAAGTACGGGTTCTCTAGGTTTAATAGAATACTTAATTACCCGGTTTAAACCTAATCTGGAGAACTGATTCAGTTCCAAAATCCGGAGCTAGGGAGGATCTTCTCTCTCTATATCACGGGGTAGAGTAATATAGTGGGATAACTGGTGTATACCGGGGTTGAGTAATATAGTAGGATAACTGGTGTATACCGGGGTAGAGTAATATAGTAGGATAACTGGTGTATACCAGGGTAGAGTAATATAGTAGGAAAACTGGTGGATACCAGGGTAGAGTAATATTGTAGGATAAACTGGTGTATACCAGGGTAGAGTAATATAGTAGGATAACTGGTGTATACCAGGGTAGAGTAATATAGTAGGATAACTGGTGCATACCAGGGTAGAGTAATATAGTAGGATAACTGGTGTATACCAGGGTAAAGTAATATAGTAGGATAACTGATGTATACCAGGGTAGAGTAATATAGTAGGATAACTGGGGTAGAGTAATATTGTAGCATAACTGGCGTATACCAGGGTACAGTAATATAGTAGGATAACTGGTGTATACCAGGGTAGAGTTATATAGTAGTATAACTGGTGTATACCGGGGTAGAGTAATATAGTAGGATAACTGGTGTATACCGGGGTAGAGTAATATAGTAGGATAACTGGTGTATACTAGAGTAGAGTAATATAGTAGGAAAACTGGTGGATACCAGGGTAGAGTAATATTGTAGGATAAATGGTGTATACCAGGGTAGCGTAATAAAGTAGGATAACTGGTGTATACCAGGGTAGAGTAATATAGTAGGATAACTGGTGTGTACCAGGGTAGAGTAATATAGTAGGATAACTGGTGTATACCAGGGTAGAGTAATATAGCAGGATAGCTGGTGTATACCAGGGTAGAGTAATATAAGAGGATAAATGGTGTATACCAGGGTAGTGTAATAGAGTAGGATAACTGGTGTATACCAGGGTAGTGTAATATAGTAGGATAACTGGTGTGTACCAGGGTAGAGTAATAGAGTACGATAACTGGTGTATACCAGGGTAGTGTAATAGAGTAGGATAACTGGTGTATACCAGGGTAGAGTAATATAGTAGGATAACTGGTGTATACCAGGGTAGAGTAATATAGTACGATAACTGGTGTATACCAGGGTAGTGTAATAGAGTAGGATAACTGGTGTATACCAGGGTAGAGTAATATAGTAGGATAACTGGTGTATACCAGGGTAGAGTAATATAGTATGATAACAGGTGTATACCAGGGTAGAGTAATATAGTAGGATAACTGGTGTATACCAGTGTAGAGTAATATAGTAGGATAACTGGTGTATATCAGGGTAGAATAATATAGTAGGATAACTGGTGTAAACCAGTGTAGAGTAATATAGTAGGATAACTGGTGTATACCAGTGTAGAGTAATATAGTAGGATAACTGGTGTATACCAGGGTAGAGTAATATAGTAGGATAACTGGTGTATACCAGGGTAGAGTAATATAGCAGGATAGCTGGTGTAAACCAGGGTAGAGTAAAATAGCAGGATAACTGGTGTATATCAGGGTAGAGTAATAAAGTAGGATAACTGGTGTATACCAGGGTAGAGTAACATAGTAGGATAACTGGTGTATACCAGGGGGAAAGCAATACAAGGGTATATATCTTTTAAATTTTTTATTATTTTTAAGCTTGAACCTGTTGACTAAATAGTTAGATGATCTGTGAGGGGTATTGTTCAGAGATCTGAAGTATTCGCCAAGGGACATTTATTAGATTTTATTTGCAACTTTGCAACTTGATGGTTTACAACTTTGATAAATTTGACTATTAGATCTTACATCTATAAAATATCAAAGGGCAATTACATCACGTCGAAAAGATATATGCAGTGCTTTGATTTTACAGATAAACTGCTAGGAGATAAGGAAATATAGTTTTTAATCAGTTTAATCGGCTTCTAGACCAATCTTACTTCAGATGTTTCTTTTTATTAATTTAAGCTAAATGTATAATCTAAAACAAAAACAAATCGTCTATAAACGAGCCATTTAAAAAATCATTCAGTGTGGTATCTTCAGTCTGAGTCAAATTTTGCTAAATGCTTTAAAACCAAACTTTTAGATATACCAATTCTGTTAAGAGTTCAGACTAAGGGATCTAGGTCGAGATATATATTATTTGAAGGATTAACTCGTGATGTTTCATGACGAATGCCTGAGAGTTGATGTTGAAGTATTTTTAGGAGTTCTAATCAAACCAGAATATTTAGTCACTATTTTATGTTCTTCAATGCGACTCAACATAATTTCAAGTGAGCTCCCCAAACCCAAATCAACAAGCAACAAGACCAAATTCACACCTTGAATTTTTTTTTTGAGTAAAATGAGAGAGATATTGAAATTTATAAAATTAACAGGAGATTAAATTTCTCATTTTTAAACAGCAAGGATTTTCAGAGTTTTGGTCATATCGTTTTCAGAAGAGGTTCACTTAAAATCACTTTAAAAGGATCCCAACTCTTGTTTTACAATTGTCTAACAATTTTACAACCCCTCCCCCTCCCTCCGGACCCATGTAACATGTTTTATATGTTAGTAACACTACTTTAAAAATTATTAAATTATTAAAAAAGTTATTTACAATATTTGTTAAGAAAGCAGACAGAAAGATCATGCAGTTGAGCAAGGGATAAAGATTGTTAAAGCATGAAAACCAACTTTGGATTTACTAAACAGAATATAATCCTGCCTTAAAAACTTTAAGTGAAAAGCAGGCATCCAGTCTCCTGAAACACAAAATCAATTTCCACTCAAAGACTCACTAACAGAATTTTAAGAAATTATTTTAAGATAAAACAACATTAACGATAAGGAAAGGCCTCAAAAAGGTTTAAGTCAGAAATTTTCTGATTTAAAAATCTATTACTTTATAATTTTAAAATAAGGTCACTTGAGTGGCACTAAATTTAAAAAGTTTTACACCGTATTCACAACGATTTACATCTAACCTAAATGTATTTACAACACTATAAAAATTTCGTTTTCTAAAAATAATTAATTGCATATTTCTCAAATAGAGAAAAGAAAAGAGATTACAAGAATTTATCTTCTTTTCTTCATTTTTCCTTTTAGTTAAATGTTTTGAAGGTACCGTTGTGAATTGAAATGTAACTCTTTAAAATTGGGGACACCTCTCCCTTTCAACAATGAATAAACATGCATACATGCACTTTACATTCATGCATTCAAACATTCAGAATTACAACCCAAGTGCATGGGGGGAGAGAAATGATTTTTGGTGAATTGGGTGGAAAAAATGAAAAATGGGTAATCAAAAGGCAAGTATTTTAATTTTTTTCAAGATACATTTTTCACAAAAAAATCATTTTTTCCCAATTTATCGAAAAGAAAACCTTTAAAAATGATCTGTGAAAAAAATGATTCTTTATGAGGGGGGAATGATCTTTTAGGAAAATATACACCCCTGTACCATTCAAACCCATCCCATAATATTTTTGTCATTAAAATATTATGGAACGTCTATTTCCTCCTCTTCCGACAAAAAATAAATAGTAATAATTTTGCTCAAAATTAGTGGTCATGTACAAAATTTAACGAAATTTAACATTAATTATTACTTGTTTAGAAAACGCTTTTTGGCATAACCCCAGCTCTTTCTCTCTTTCCTTTAATTTGGTACATATAGCTCACACGTTGCACAGTTCTCTGGGACTGATAAGGGGGGAACATAACCATAACGTGCCTGTTAGAGCGGTGTCAAATCATAATCTATAAATGCACACCCAGGAATTTAACATTTTTACCGACTTCATGTGCCGCTGGCGAATCTTTCGGGTAAATAATTCTGAACTGTATATGTTCCCTACCGATTTGTCGGAGAACAAAAATCGTATACTAAGAAATTACCAATGTTTGCAGGGAAATTAAGTGATCATTTTTATTCGACAAATTACATTCTTACCAACAAATCCAGGATTTGGACTAACAGACATTTAAACTTCAGATTTCACACACTTGTCAGAATTCAGTCACTTAAATGCTTTTAAAACACAGAATAGATGTTTAGAGGTTTGTTTCTTTCCTATTTTTTTCCAGTCTGGAGCTTAGGTCATAGGGTTTCTGTAAAACTAAGTAATAACAGCTGATTTCAGAGAAATTAGACTAGAGCGACTAGAGTCTGGCCAATGAGATTTGAAGATTATTACAAATACTTTTAACAATGTCGTCTTTAAGATTCATTTTGTTTGACAGAATTATGTATTTATTAATTGACCGAGCGATGCTATGTATATCGATAGAATTAAAGTCTGTTTGCACTAACGTAAAATTGCACTAAAGTCAGAGCTGTTCGCAAACCGGTTTGTAGTCCATTTGAACATTATTCCATATGCACAAAATCCATATTCAACATATGTTCAAGAACTAATTATATTTTTTTTCCCGCCAATTTTTATTTATTGAAATTTATCATTATTGCAGCAATTGATCTAATTGTGAACTATTTTATGGCATTTGAACATTATATTAATTGAGCAAATTTTCCACAGATAAATTGTTCAAATGGACTAATTATTTTCATGGAAATTTTAATATGTCGAACGTTCTAATTTGAACATTTTATGGCCCATAATTCCTCTTCGCCTTTTCTTTTCCTTCCCTTCCCCTCTCAATTCCCCGGCCCTTCACCATCCCTTCCTCGATGCCCTTATAACTTCCCCTGCCCTTCCAAATCCCTTCCCATTCCCGTTTAACCTCCCCTTCCATTTCCATATCGGCCTTTCCCATTTCTCTTAACATTCCCACACTCATTTCCCTTCCCATTCCCACTCTCATTTTCCTTCCCATTTCCCAATAAACAAAAACCCTTGAAGAACACAAGATTATTACCGTCTGTTTTTAGAAAGACCCCACCCCCACCCTTGAAGCTGAATCTTAATGGCAACTATACCCCAACTAACGTCTGTTTTTAGAGAGACCCTACCCCCACGCTTAAAGCACAGTTAAACCCAACTACACTAACTACCGTCAGATTCTGCTTCAAGGGTGGGGGTGGGGTCTCTCTAAAAGTAAAAACAGACGGTAGTTGGGGTAGTTGCCATTCAGATTCAGCTTCAAGGGTTGGTGTGGGGTCTCTCTAAAAGCAGACAGTAGTTTAAAAGAATAATTGTTTCTCTAAATGGAAGAAATGATTTTTTACCCATCCTTTCATATACAAATATATGAAATCAATTTCAGAGAGCAGTCAATTTGTTTAGGATTAATTGACCTTAAACACAAACTATTGGTAAAAAGATAGATTTCTAACCTTGTAACGTATCCCTTCGGATGATTAAAAAACACATCGAAAATTGTAAGAATACTTCAAAACTTCGAAAATGGTCCTTTAAATAGCAAATATATTTCTTTAATTTACATTTCAATGAGGAGTTAGAAATTTGATAAATTCTTAATTAAAAATGTGAACAAAGTGAACAAACTTATAATTTATGCATATGCTTGTAACAAATATCGTTGTAACCCTTTATCTGTAAATCTGATCTGCATTGTATATTATTAATTATCTATGTTTGTAAATAACTACGTAAAACCTTATCATGATTATCTGAACCATGCTGTAAATAACTACATAATCATGATTGTATCAACTACGCTGTAAATAGCCTAATTTCATTTGCATATAAGGTCGTAAATCTTGTAACTATGAATAAACTTAACTTGTAACAAAGATATCTAAATACTCTTCAGTTGGAATTAGACTCTGCTTAGATTAAAGTGTGAGAGTAATTACTTATTGAACAAGAAGCATCCTGAATCACTCTCTTGAAAGATAGAAATAGATTAGGAATCGATACAGATAAAGTTGTGTCCGGATTGACCTTGATAGTAAAGTATAACTGATATAGCTCTTATGCCTCGTCAACCATATCAAGAGGGAAGGAGTATCAATACAGATAAAGTACTGTCTGGATTGACATTGATAGTATAGTATTACTGATATAGCTCTTATGCCTCTTCAACCATAACGAGAGGGAACACGTATTGGTATCTATACAGTTGTGTCTGGATTGACATTGATAGTGGTATTCGTGGAACCGTGACTTCCTGATTGAGTTATACCTGGATTGATACGGGTCTGAAAGACTTTTATGGAGTAGGGCATTTATTACATGCTGGGTTAGCTTTGCTTCTCAGGAATTAAAGTGGTTTTAATAGAGTTGTATACAGTACAAGAATAATAACATTGACAATACCTCTACCCTCCTCCCCAGCCCTCTATAAAAATGGGGAAAAGTTTTATATGTATTAGAATCTTTATATTTTTGCTTGTCTGTGTTTTAGTATTCAGTAAACGTCAAAACTGCTGAACCGAACGAGTCCAATTTTTTAAGGCAACTCAATGACCGCAGGGAAGGTATGGATGGTCACACAAAAATGACATAAAAATAATAAAAAGAAATACAGAAATGCTTTTAGAAAATGTGAGAAGAAAAAAAACGGTTTCAAAGCAACATTTATACGTAAAAATTTTCTATAAGAGAGGCGTGAAGTCCAGTATATAATACACATGGACAAGGAATTACAAAATATAATATTATTGAATGAAAAGTAGAAACGAGAAACTGAATGACACAAAAAGATGCAATAATTTGTTACAGAAGGAGGGGTGGGGGATTAACTGTCTCCAGCCTAGCTCCTTTCCTCCCCCCCCAGACAATCTGACAAGGATGCGTTATATTGTAACAGGGAAACCTTATTTTACGAATTCTTATCGAATTTATATCAATTAACCTTTCTCATGATATTTACAAGGAGAAGGAGGGGGGATAGGGGTGAGTACAGGGTACGGGGCACTCTTTTTTCTTTAGCGGTATAGCGTCTCATCCAATCAGGATTCAGTCACGTATAATCCCTGTTTTTTTCTCGCTCTGTACTTCGATCTACATAAAGAAGGTTGAGGGGTTGAGGGTTTAAAATTGTATTTAAGAGGAGAGTGTAAAAAGCGATGTTAATTGGCAAAGATCGAAGTTTATAGTAGTTAAGAAAATGGACTATTAAAGAAAAAAAATTAAAGAAAAAAAGCCATAAACAACAAATACTATCTAAGGGGTTTGAGAAAATAAGTCCTATTTTTAAATCATTGTAATTCTCTGGAGGGTCATTTTATTGATTTACATTCATTAGATTTTAATGGCTGGTTAAATTTTTTAAACTGGTAGATAAGAACTAACACTTAAATATTGATATATAAGTCATAACTATTCCGCCAAACCTTTCTGAAAATACGCAAACAGAAAAAATACTGGAATATTCTGCAGTCGAGAACAGACCTCACTGAAGATTGGTCCATGACAATTGGTCCATACATAGTTTATGAGGATGTTATCTGTTGTTTTGATTGAATAATAAATTGAATAAGTTATATTTTATATACATAAGTTATATATTATATAAATGCTTATATTTTTTATTTTACTTGTGGACAAATTTTGCGCCTTAATGATATTAAGAATTTTTCATCCTAGAACTTTTATTCATGACTGTCCTAAGAAAGCTAAGGGAATGTTAAGAACGTACAATAAAGAGTTACCTTTAATATTTAGTGATTCATTTTCAGAGACAATGTAGAAACTTTTGTAAAACAATGGAAGAAGGTAAACAAAAATATACAATAAAACTCATAAAACTGTAGAATAGGAAGACGACATTTACGCACTCTTATGTGTACTTGATGTTGTTGTAAATCAAAGAGAATATTTGGTTGACTATAAATCAAATCATAAGATTAAATGGATCTTTTAATCTGCCAAATCCCTGGATTGGCCTTTAGATCCGCACTTACAACTAACAGTCGTCTTCCAATTTCACAGTTTTTTGTGTCCCTCTATACAAAGTTCAACCTATATTGCAAAATTTTAATCCTAATAAGATTTTGTTTATCGAATTATAAAATATAAAAATCAAGATATTATTTATACTTCTTGTTCACATGTTTCAAAAAAAATTTGTACTTGATCCAGGTTCCTGCAGATTGAGTTAAACCTTTACACTTTTTTTTAACACCCTGTTTCTTATATATAATATACATCTATATGTTTATTTATATATATATTCGTAGTAACCAGAAAACTGTAAAATGTTATTTAAATTTTTGAAACCGTGTTGGACAGTAATTTTTAAATAATATATGTAAGTTCATTGATTTCACAATTACACTGTACTCTAGCGTGCACTCCAGTTATTCGGCAATTTGAACACCATTTTAGAGATAACGCACAGAGTTCTCTGCCCTCGATAATCAGTCAAAGGTGTACAGGGTAAAGACGACGAGAATAATTCTATCGTTTTCTGGAGACCACTGTATAATTGAGATGAAACAAAATGTTGGTTTGGAGACGGTATTAATATACAGGGTTACACACAAAGGTTGAGACTTTGATTACTCTGAATCCTTATTGCATGTCGTTAACGAACGATGAACAAACAAATTTAAAAATGCCTAAGTCTAACGAATCTCTTATCATCTCTGTGCACTTTCAGAGCATGTGAGGATCTAGCATGGACGGATTGGAGGGATCTAGTAGAAGATTACAGGAAGCCATTGACAGGTAAACGGGGGGACTAAAGAAATTCTGCAAAAGAAGGACGACATGTGATATTATGCATATTTGAGGTAATTTTAACGCAAATAGTTTACCAATGGCTTGAAAATGGGTCTGTATAAAGACCCTACAGAATTAATTGCTCATTGGAATATTTAAAGTCTTGAGTCTTACGGTCTTTCTTTCTATTCCACAGTTTTATATGTCTCACAAGTTACAAAACACCGATATACATTGTAGAAAAGAAAGGATGGAAAGCAGATGTCATAGACGAGTAGACAGGATTAGACAAGATAAATAGGATAGACAGAATAGACAAGATAGACAGGATAGACAGGATAGACAGGATAGACAAGATAGACAGAATAGACAGAATAGACAGGATAGACAGGATTAAACAGGATAGACAGGATAGACAGAATAGACAGAATAGACAGGATAGACAGGATAGACAGGATAGACAAGATAGACAGGATAGACAGGATAGACAGAATAGATAGGTTAGACAGGATAGACAGGATAGACAGGATAGACATGATAGATAGGATAGACAGGATAGACAGGATAGACAGGATAGAATAATCAAAATCATATCAAATAAAAAATATTACATGGTTTTAGAATAATTACTTTTCCAAATAAAGTTTTATTTTAGTCCCAGAAGAACTAAACTAAAAGTAAGTGGTGGAACACAAACTGCCGGAGGGGACGATGGAAAGGGGCCCCCTGGAAGCACCAGGGCCCCTGGAAGCATCAGAGCCCCTGATTTGGAGGCAAGAAAAATCATTGATGCAGATGAACATGGATTTGAGGATTTTTACCAAAATAGTCAACAGGAATTGATCTAAAACTTTAAATGCAATCGATGCACTTCTTCAAAATTCTTTTAAAGGGAAAAATCATTCTTTTTGGAAATGTTTTCTGTTTAAAAATTGGAAACTCTTGATATTTAAAATATATTTGCGAAATAATTAATTATTCATTTGAAGAGGTATTTAGAGGAATTCATCACGAATGGATATTAGAGAAGCACTTATAGTAATAAATGTTGAATTTTAAACTAATTTTGAAATACCTGGCTCAGCGAATTTTGTGATTTTTACACGAAATTTTCAGTTTGGTTTTAAATTATCTTTTTGGCTCATATTTGAATTTTAAACTGTTTTTAATGTTGCTACTAGATGATATTTTTTTTGCTTGAAAAATAAGTTTCAGAAAAATTCAATTACACAGAAATCCGCGGGTTCTGGGAACATGCAGCTGTCGAGTAGCACTAGGGAAGCCATTTAAATTTTCTTTAAATCCACCATCTTTTTTTCCTGAGAAATTACATAAACATTTTTCATTTAGTGAGAAAATTATACTATTAGGTAAAAAACAAAAAGGAAATCTAATGAGAATTCTTTGCCCCCCCCCCCCTCCCCCTCCTTACAACACTGGGAGCTTGTTTGTTTTATGTGTAGATAAATGGAAAACGAATACACCTTGAGAAAATATTTATAATCAATCATCCAAGAAAGATTATATTTACCATTTATAAAGATATATGAGGGCCGGTGGATTCTGGCTGAGGGGGGGGGGGGGTCAGGTTTTATATCAGTATTTTATGTTTTTGTACAGCAAATAGTTTTAATAGTAGCTTTAAATCCCAATTAGCCAGATTTGGTTTACAGAAACTTTTAGTGTTTTAAGACTTTTAAAAGGTTTTACGACAATTTATGAGAAGGTTCCAACATTTAAAATCTTTATTCTGTAGAAGTTTGCTTTTATCAAACATGCAAATTTGTTACTTTAGAAGAAAATATAAGGCAAAAAGTTTTGTTTTAAAACGATAGTTTAGGTTCGTTTTTGCCTTTTATGTTCCCCTAGGATTACAAATTTGCATGTTTAATAAAAGCAAACTTCTACAGAATACATTTTTAAATCGATGGACCCTTCTTAGATTGTCGTAAAACATTTGAAAGGTCTAAAAAATAAAAGTTTCTGTAAAGCTAATCTAGGTACTACCTATCGCTAACTACACAATTGCAATTTGTTTCATAGTCATTGGACTTAAGTCAAAACTTTAGTCTAACAGTCGTCTTCCTATTCCACAATGTTTCCACACCTCTCTGAGAGTATCTTCAATGTTTAAACATAAAAGTATTTAATTTATCTTGTTTTCCAAATTTGGCTTGTTGATATTAGAGAACGATTAATTGCATCACAAAGACGACCTGCCAACACTGTCTCAGGGTTTACCAAACCTAGAACTAGGAATGCGCAATATTTAAACAGTTAAAGTCGGTTTCGGACAATTTTGAAATTTAAAGATGACACCAAATAATCAATAACGCAATTTCCCATTTCAGCAAGTACTATTTTGAAGGAAAAAAAGTTAAGCTGAGCTGAAAACTTTAGAATGGAATATCCTTAATTCCGATCGGTAAATTAATCTGGAGATTAATATAAAGTAGAGAACAAGCATTATTTAATCTGGAGATTAAGAAAAAGAGTGGATCAAGCATTAATTCCGATCTGGGTTACACACAAAGGTTGAGACTTTGATTACTAGCTAAGTTGATTTTTTTAGTGATTCGAACGAGGGTAAGTTCGTAGAGGTCCAACCCCCTAGTTCAGAGAAGGGAACGCCTTGGCAGGGGGTGTGGACCTCAGGAGGGACGGGGGTGTGGCAATCTGATGGAGATGGAGGGGTGTGGTATAATGGAGGTTGGGTGCAGCAGGGGTATAGTAGCCTAGACAACTACTATATTACACGAGAAAATACAAGTAAATTTCATTATAGCTTTATTCGGAATTTCCAGTGATCCTTGATTTTAGAGAAGTATCACAATAACTATTTTATAGAGTTTATGAAATAGAAATTTTAAAGGGGTTGTCTGCGAAAAAAGGCGGTATAGGCTAAACCCGAAAAACTTTCTGAATTTCAAGCATTTCTCTCTGCGGGAGACACTACAGCGTCCAAATAATCCTCCTCCAGCACGTGGATTTAACGGTTCTGTCAATATTTCTGAAAGCTGTGACTTTCGATTACAATTTGACCCATTAAACACAATTGTTTAGTCTTTTTCTTAAATACTTTTTTGTCGGCATATTTATTTTGAAGAAAAAAGTAAAGAATAAAGAAATCCGTAACGTGAAAGAGTGTTGAATTATAGACCAAAAAAACACGTTTGATTTCAAATAGAAGAAACGGAATGCTGCCCACTCTGGTTAGTCCGGGTTGCCAGATGTACATGTACATGTACATGTACATATGTATATAAAAATAAAAAAGATTGTAATAAGTAAACTAAATAAAATTTATCCAAACTTTTGGAATTCCTATATTGTAATATTTAAATGATCAAAAATGAATGATTTAAGTTTTTCCGCCCTTAGTAATATGCGTTTTCAACCATTTAACTTCGTTAAACACAGCATAGCTAGATAAAAGTAAAACTAGGAGCGATTGAATTCGAAAGTGTTTTAGGTTTGGCCTGTATACCCCCTTTCATTGTTGGCAAACACTCCCTTTTACGGGTACTTTGAATTACCAGGACTAGATAAAGCTTTAAAAAGTGTAAGTCGTCGTGATTCATAAAGTAAAATAATGCTTCTGACTTTCACATTGTCAACTTTTAGTCACATTTTTCACATTGAAGTTTACGAATTGAGGTTATTCTCGAAATATCATTTTTGGCCAAATTGTTTATAACCAATTGGATTATCAACACATATTGAACAATATACATTTAAACTTTTATTCGAAGAGAATTTTTACTTATTCCAAAATTCTTTTTATCCCACATTGCAATCTAAACAGAAGGAGAAGGCCAAATTTACACGACATTACGGGTACAACTATGTGACCTCTTACCTCCTCTACTTTTGATTTTACAAGCAAATCTCAGACACGTCTTACCTCAATGACACTAAAGCCTTAAAGACCAACCATTCCCAATTAGACTTCATAGATTTATTTTCAAAATGCGTTTTATTCCTAACTTTATGAATGATAGATTGATCAAATAAACATGTCTAGGAGAAAGCATGCGGGCAGCTAACAGTTTGGAATCCCTAGATTCTGTCTCAAGTTCGATACAACAAGCCAGGGCCAGTTCAAGTACAGTACAACCGCCAAGAACTGGTTCCAGTACAGTGATGCAACAAAGAACCGGTTCCAGTACAGTACAACCGCATAGAACTGGTTCTGGTGCTGTACAACCACCTAGAACCGGTTCCGGTACAGTACAACCGGTAAGAACTGGTGCTGGTGCACAAGCTAGAGCTAATCCTGTTAATTCAACCCTGACTCCACCCACACAAGCTAGATCTAGCCCTATACAACCCAGAACCACGCCTGTACAAATCAGAAAATTTCCAAATAATCAGGTAACACTTTTTTAACTTTCTTTAAACTTCATTTCCTTTAAGTCTGAAAAGAAATTAAAAAGTTTGTAGTGAAATAAATTTTAAAGTTTGTATAATGAAAACAATTTCTTGAAGAAATTTTTCTAAAAGTAGTTCAGGACCCATGAGGTCATAGAGCACAAATGTGAAAAATATGTCTGCAGTACGTTAACAGTAAATGGCAGTTTTACATTTTTTTGTGATTCGAGTTCTATAAATTCTTTGTTCTGTGGCTTAAATAAAAAAAATGATTTACTGACACCCTTATGTACGTATATGTAACGACATTTTGCGTTTAGAAAGAATAGCTTCAAAAAGTAGACAATAAACATTGCAATTAATGTTGCTTCAGCTATGTTACTGGTGTAAAGATAATACAGTAAATCTTTCAAACAGCAGAAACACTTAAACATATTAACAAAGAGAAGTTGTCAATTACAGCTTTTCTTTCTTTACTTGTCAACTTGTAATTTAAAAACTACTTGTTAGGGATCAAATTATGATCAATAATAATCCGTCTTAATTGTATTGATATAATCGCCGACTACTGTATCACAGTAGCTGTAAGTGTGAGTGAATGTTTTAAAACTTGGTGAAAACAGATTAAAAATGTTGAATAAATTCGATATATAGGATCAATAATAGAGTAAAAAGCACTCAATGAGTCATGCATGTTGCAGTAGTAGGGAGTAGGTAGACAGGGGAGTTTGTACTATTAAGAAATGAAGTAGGGAGTAGGTAGACGGGGGAGTTATAATGGAATGAAGTAGGGAGTAGGTAGACGGGGGAGTTTATACTATAATGAAATGAAGTAGGGAGTAGGTAGACGGGGGAGTTTGTACTATTATGAAATGAAGTAGGGAGTAGGTAGACGGGGGAGTTTGTACTATTAAGAAATGAAGTAGGGAGTAGGTAGACGGGGGAGTTTGTACTATTATGAAATGAAGTAGGGAGTAGGTAGATGGAAGAGTTTGTACTATTAAGAAATGAAGTAGGGAGTAGGTAGACGGGGGAGTTAGTACTATTATGGAATGAAGTATGGAGTAGGTAGACGGGGGAGTTAGTACTATTATGGAATGAAGTATGGAGTAGGTAGACGGGGGAGTTTGTACTATTATGGAATGAAGTATGGAGTAGGTAGATGGGGGAGTTAGTACTATTATGGAATGAAGTATGGAGTAGGTAGATGGGGGGAGTTTGTACTATTATGGAATGAAGTATGGAGTAGGTAGACGGGGGAGTTAGTACTATTATGAAATAAAGTAAAGTTAAATGGCAAATTACTAAATCCTTAAAGTAGGGAGTAGGTAGACGGGGGGGGGGGAGTTAGTACTATTATGGAATGAAGTAAAGTTAAATGGCAAATTACTAAATCCTTAACTATACATTTTTACTATAAAAAGTAAATTCTGTCATTTTCTTCCTTGTTTTTATACTCCATATTTCCGCAAGTCACAAGTTTACTAGAAACCGTGATTGAAAATTATCAAATTTCATTCAGAAAAACCATGATATCTCGGTCATTTTTGCCCAGATAAAGATGAAATGGTACCGTTGTGAATCGGTCAGGTAACGCTTAAATAAAAAGATGACTTGAAATTACGTCTATAACTGTCCCTATAAGAAATTAAGCGTTAAATAAAAAGTGTTCTCCGGAAAGGTTTATCATATTTTATTCATAATGTTCCATCCCCAAGTGCGCTATTAATAATTCATACTAAACTTGATCAAATTAGTCTTTCTTATTAGCTTTCATAACTCCGACCCCCTCCACCCTCTTCTCCCTCCTCCGGTAAAAAAGATTAAATAAAGTATAAGTGAACATTTAATTAGGTTATATTTATAATTACCACACGACATTTAAGAAGACTGGATGCTATCAAAAAGTATCAAAACTCAAACCTTACAAACAGAGACGATTTCTGCATTCATAAAGAAAAATTTATTTAAATTAGCTCCTCACAACTTCCTAAAAATATGGTATGGAAAAAACATTCTTAAATTTTCAACTATTAATCTCATTACTAATCTTAAACAGAATTTGTTTAAAAAATTATCTTGAGCAGAACCAATATTCAAAGTTTATACACCTACTAGCTGCCTAGGTTACAAATACCGCCGTTTACCCGCACTTAAGCGATTTTACCGCGAAGCTAAATTTTCGGTATTTAAGCTAAGAACATTCTAGTGAGCCTGCCGAATTACCAAATCAAAATTTGAGGCAAATTGGTCAAGGGGTTCCAGAGTTATGATCGGACAAACAAACAGAGGTTACAACTTTATATTTAGGATAGATACTACCTACTACTACTACTATGGATTTCGTGGGACTTCTAACTTATGGTTCAAAAATTATTTAAAGGGAAGAAAACAATTTACTTCAATCAGGGGTGTTGACTCTTCACTTGTGGTGTACCACACGGGTCGATATTAGGACCAATTTTATTTCTAATTCTTATCAATGACCTTCCTAAAGCATCGAAAAATCAAAACAGCCAAGAGCTATTTTCCACCTAATTGCTTTATACTTGTACTGTTAATATAATCATCAATTTTGTGATTGTAAACTCTATCTGTATACAGATACATTTATTTCAGCAATAAACTTTATCTTATCTTATCTTATCTTATCTTACCTTTGTAAAAGAATCAAAGAAAACCAAGACGATTTTGCCAATAAAATCATTTCATCTAAAACCTATACTTACACACCTTAAAAACTTTTTTATTTTAATATTAGTAAAAAATCTACATTTCTTATTCCAATATATCGTCGAAGAATACAAATAATTAACAACCAATTATTTAAAAAAAATATATATATTTAACTTTCTTTATCCTTTCCTTTCCATTTCCTTCTTTTCAGAACTTGAGTCGGTTTTTTTTAATGTTTTATTTTCTTGTCGTTAACAGAGTTTTAATATGTCAAACTATGAATATTGTCAGCTCTATCTACGTTTGAAAAATCAAAGGTTTATTATTGCAAAGATATGCGGAGTAGAAAATTTGAGTTTGTGGTAAAAACTCAATTCCTTTTTTAAATAAATAATTACTTACTTAATATTAATATATCATTTTATATAAGCAATGTAGATTGTAAAATATCTTTTTGTTTATTAGTATCCAATCCAACAAACTGAATCAATTTGGATCAAATTTTTCGATGGATCTCACATTATCAAAGGAAAGGCTTTAGAAAGAGCTAAATAAAGCCATTTTGATATATCTGATAAGTAAAACACAGGTTATTTTTCCATTTTATTCAATATATATGATCGATATATCTGGCCATCGATATATCTGGCCAAACTGCTAGACAAAATTGGCTGAACAATTTTGTGGGAGCCCCTTGGCACCCTGGGGGGTGACAAAGCCTAAATATATTTTGAAAATTTTGGAAATCCACAAGTAACACTAGGCATTTTGACTAACATTATTCTTTCTCTGTAAATATAAAAAGCTAAAGTATTTCCAAAAAGTTTAGACAATTTTAAGAATAAGATATTCTACTATTTATAAAACCTTTGCGGCGTTTTTTTTAAATGGAAAACAACAATCAATTACCATTGCAGAAAAAAAGATTTAGCAGTAAATTTAAAAATTTTCTTTCAAAAAATACTTTTTTTAGGACTCTGGTAATTTATCTCCCCTCCCTCTCCGAATGAATCGCAGCAACTCTGTGAGGTAAGCAATTGCAGCAATTTACCAAAAAGAAATTTCCGAATTGCAGCAGCCTTTTTTTTTACTGACTAACTTACCTTTACTTCTCGTCCTAGACAGTTTATAACTATAAAATACTTGTCTTTATTTTCCGTTTTAAAGATATAACTCATCGATATTTGCCTGATAGCTTGAACATTTAGATCACTCTGCCCTTCAATATCCCCCTGTCCAACATATCCTAGCCACAGCGCTCGGCCGAGAACATATTCTAGCCGCAGCGCTCGGCCTAGAACATATTCTAGCCGCAGCGCTCGGCCTAGAACATATTCTAGCCGCAGTGCTCGTCCTAGAACATATTATTGTTTACTGATTTGTCCATAGTAATTCTCACTGCGGAGAAGTTTTTCTCTTTGTGCATAAAAATGGATAACATAATTCTTTGAAAATTCTCCAAAAATGTTCATTAAAAATATTCAATTAAGTTGATCCTAATATTTTGTTATAGTGTTTTGATAGGCATTGAGTAGAGTTTATCAACGCGTTATGAGATTCTGTAAAACTTTAATGAGAGTTCATTACAGTTTATAAGATTTATGATTTATAGCTTTAGTACGGCGCAAGTCTCATAAACAAATAAAAAATGGTTCGAGTCCATCAAATTAAGAGAGAATTAAGAGTGGAACTAAGTTCTTGAAATATCAAATGTTTACACCATCAGGTTGTAAAGATAAATGTATAAGACCATTTGAGTTTGTGGAAAGAACTAAGTTGTTTTTAAGTTTTCGATAAATGGAGCTGAGTCCGAATTTAATGAATACGAGCCGCGACTTAAATCTTGAAATATTGAAAACAATTTTAAGTGGAACCAACCATTTTTGAGTAGCGTTTCAAATTTAAGCCGCGGCTTCAATTCTTTAAATTCAGCCACTGGTTAATTTTAGTCAAGCACATTGCACGGTAAGATTTTCTCCAAAGAGTGAATCATACGACAATTAAAATAATAAGTTAGTGCGAAAAAATCATTTTGGAAATTGTATAAATTAGAAGGGTTACAAATCATATTTATAGTATGCCAAAAAATGTATTAAATCAATAAAATGTCAAAAAGTCAAGTCTTTAAAACAATATTGATGTGACTTTCTAACCAATAAAATATCAATTCTTAGCTTTTTCTCATCTTTACTTTGTTGTCGGTGGATTAGATTAAAGGAATTGAGTCTTTGCCACAAACTCTGATTTTTAAATCCCTATATCTTAATAGCCCAATGTTGTAGACCTTAGATATTTCAAACTATGACTTCTGTTATATCAAACAATCAAAGTTTGAAATATCAAAGGTTTACATAATTTGGTTGTACATATATAGGTATTAGAAAATTGGGATTTGTTGCAAAGACTCAATTCCTTTGCTTGTTTTCAATTCCAAGATTTAATCCTTTGTAAGTTTTATTCAGTTTGATATCCTTGATCGAACTCAATAGAAATTATTCTCTGAATATTTGTTCTAGCAAAGTTTAGAGAAAGACCAATTTATCGTAAAATAGAAATCTTCTATATAATAAAGGCCTTTGCTCATATATATATTTATATATTTATATGCTTATATATTTATATATTTATATATATGTAAGCGATAGCTGTCCAAACGGCTAAATCAGATTGGCTGAAACTTTTAAGTGGACTCTTGAGTACCCTGGGGGTAACATAGACTTAAAAATCTCTTTTTTAAAAATTCAATTTTATTTTAGCTAGTTTACAATATGGCACCTAACAACTTTGGATAAAACATGGGGTTGGGGGTTTATTACCTTAAATTCTAGAAAAATGGGGGTCATTATCCGTTAGGCTTTATGGAAGCCGGGAAGGGTTTAATTTGACCTGAAAAAGTATTTGTATGAAATAAAATCATGAAAAAATAATCATGCATTGAATTATCACTTTTCAGATAATTTTTCTAGTTAATTTATAATTGTAATATTTATGCGTAATTTAATTATAATGTGGCATTTTACATTCACAACGGTACCCTTATAAACGTTATCTAAGGAAAAACGAGGAAGATATCTTTGTTATTTGTTGTGAAAAGTGTTAAATTCTTACAAGTTCTTACTCATTTCTACAGCAAAAATTTACAAGTCAATTTTCTAGAGAAATCATTTTTAAAGTTAATAATAAAGGATGTTTCAATCAAAGGTTTAAGGTACTGTTGTGAATCTGAAATTAACACTCTATAATTGGAAAGTCATTAAAAATCATGTCTTCCAAAAGACAATGAAGGACAAGTAAAAGATAATAATTGAAATAACAAAATGGTTGTAATATTTGCTTTTTATCCCGCGGCCACTTAGAAACAAGGTTACAAGAGGGGAATATTTCTGCAGAATAGTTATTGCAAAGTTCTAAAAGCCAATTATTTATAATAACGCAAAATTATCTTGATAAAAGTCAAATGTTGTAGCCTCTAAAACTCTTCCGGGAAAAAAAGCAAATACAATTATATTTAAAGGGACCGATAACCTTTAAACCTTTGAATGATCATCGAGGACAGAGAACTCTGTGTGTTTATCTCTAAACTGATTTATGCGACTACAGTACGTCATTATTAATCAAACATAGGGTTCAAAGGTCACAGTTGGTAATCGGACATTTCCCTCTTTGCCTAGAGGATCACTTGCAAATATGCCTGCCAAATAAAGAACCACTTGGTCCCTTTAAAATAAAAAAGTGCTCTGGAAATAAAGAATGGAGATATTGCTTATTTGTTATTACCTTTCCATATGCTATAAATTGGTACCAAACATCATGCAAGTATCAACCTATACCCCCTTCCAATTTTAGGAATTTCATCATTCGAGTAGAGAATATTAGAAAGAGGGAAGATAAGAATTAATTCAGTCCCTTAAAAAAGGCATTTCATGGAAATGTTCAGAAATCATATGCATTTCATCAAAATCAATTATTTTCATCACAAAATGTAGGTTTTTACGTCGAATATTGACTACATTTATTCTAACTTATTACACAATTTGGACTATGATCAGCCCTAGGAAGATGAAAAATGTACGTCGCCTAAAATACTATCACAATTTAAGCCTTGACGGGCATAGCATGTCTGACCTGACAGTTTTTATTTTCTATTGATTTGACTCCAGGAAGTTTTATAATCTGAATGTTTGGTAGTGTCGGTATGGTCCAACCCCATACATAAAACTGCCAGAAAAGAACATAAAAGAAAGTAAAGAAGGGTGGATGTCCTAGATGTTTGCTGGGTAGAGGGGGGGTGGGGGCTGAGGAGGAAAGATGGAAGGAGGGGGGAGGGATCACATTAATCCAAGTTTTCTCTCAATCCTTTTATATCTACCCTTTTTTATCCTTTTGACTCATTTGTACAACATGTATAATTTTTCATATTATTTTATACTTTTAGAACTTATTATAAACAAGAAAAAACTAGGAAATTCTTTATTCATGATTTAATTATCTTTTTAACATAAACTATCTTTTTATTCTCTCTTCCTTTCAATTAGAAGATCATATCTAATGATATAAAATGATCTTATTTAATTACAGTTGTTGGAAACTGACCTAGTTTTCTTGTTTTATTTCTATAATGGATTCTTTGTTTTAGTTTTGTAATATTTTCTTGTTTGATACAGTGAAACCCTTAATAACGAATACATAGGAAGAATTTTTCAAATGTCGTATTGACAATTTTTCAATGAGTTTTATACTATATTACGTAAATTTCAGTATTTGCGAAAATAAATAAATAGCCATGAATATGCGGGAGCAGTTTTAAAGAGTTCCATATAATCATTTAATAAAAAAACTAAATATCTGCAACATTCCATTATCAGAAAGTGAAGAATACGACATTTGATGAATTCTTTCGATGTATTCGTTATTAAGGGTTTCACTGTATGAAAATTGTTTAGAGTTTAATTCAATTTTAACCAGATCTTTATATATTTATGTAGTCAGGGACGTATAAAGAAATTTGTTCAAAGGGTTAGTTTTTGATTTTTTTCCTTGGGGGAGGGGGAGGGGGTGAGCCCCAATAGCCCGCCCCCTGCAGTATACGCCTCTGTACTCTGTATACATAGTCATTGAAGGGCCCATTTAATGATTGGAAATGAATTTTTTTCTACTCTTTCGCAGGATGGTTCACTTCTTAAGGGTACGTGTAATTTCAATGTAAAAATGGCAATGCCCGATTCACAACAGTACCCTTAAAATCCTTGTCTAGAAAAACGACTGAATCATCCATGTTATTAATCAGATAAAGGTTTGAAGGGGTTTAAGGGTACCATTGTAAATTGGGCATCTTTGCATAGAGAGTCATTTGAAGTTACGCTTCACGGGCAGCCGTAGTACATTTGCATTTCCGAGCCGGGTCAACCTTTCCAGTCCCAGTTTGAACTGTACCTAGCTCTATAGACAGGACTAGCCGGTGCAACAAGGTTGACGCGGTCAGACTTTATGCTTCATATAGGTTGAATTTACTTTTACTAAAGGGGCAGAGGTCACTTGAAGTTACGCTTACAACTCTTTCAGAATAGTTTGGTCCCTTTAACCTTTATCTGAGTAACAATGTGGAAGATATTCGTGCTTTCTTTCTAAAAACGTGTGTGTTGAATTATGTTAATTTTCTTCATTGTCTCTTAAGCATTATTATTGAAAAACCACTATTTACAATAATCAATAACCAAGTTAGGATATCTCTATGATCCTTGATGAGACAATGCATTGTTGTGAATCGGACATGGAATGTTGTTGGAAATTTTGGTCTATTTCCTTAAATTACATAAAAGTTTTCTGAAGTTGGAATCAATGTAAAAGTTGCAATCAAAATTCTATTTATATTTTAGATTAAACAATTTTATCAAAGAGATATATCTGTTTGTAAGAAGTTATTAAGTTTCTTGTTTCAGTTTATCAAACTCAACTGGAACAAAAAGATTATCAGTTTTAGAATATGATATCATAATTGAATCTTAAGATGGATTCATTATATTATATGATGAAAATATTATCATCAGAGAGAGTTTTCAAGTAAACCAAAACTGTGTTTAATGGATGTGGTTTAGATTTTTGAAGAATTTAGATGTTTTGTTTAATATTTCTTTTTTATGCGAGCTAGAAGTTGGCCAAGATATCTTCAATTTCTCATAAACAAAACTCAGAACTAAAAAAATTATCAAAATCCAAATATTCCGACCGGGTCGAATTTTAAGTGTTGCCATGCATATACCCTTGGTTTTGATTGAATTTTTGGTAGCGCTGAAAATAATGTTTACAAAGTTAAAAAATGCTGTAATCATTTGTCAAAAACCTGATAGGGTTTCGCACCATTCGATCTCCCCCTCACCATAAATTGATAATCTGGGAGTGAAGCAAATCTGTAAATGTCTGTATAGATACTTTGCTCTCCTGGGACCCAGAGCTGTGAATATTATATATATTTTATTCATTTAGTATATTCTGTATATTTCATTTATTTTATATATTTTATACATTTTATATACTTTATATATTCATATTTGAATATTTTTTAAATAAGAATATTAAGGTGTTTACCGAAAGCATTCCTTATTAAATCATTTATTTATATACTATAAATATGCTTAAAGAAAACCCATTATACAATGAGACTTATAAAACTTTGCTAAATGAAGACTGTTAGACACATCACACAAGTGGTCCAATGAACAAACCCATTTTACATCATGGACAATTTTCAAACTACTAGTAAAACCGTTTGCTTTGGAAAAACATACACATCACGTCGGTTTAACAGTTCTGTCAATATTCCAGAAAGCTGTGACTTTCGATCACAATTTGACCCATTTAACATAGTTTCTTAGCCTTTCTTTCTAAACATTTTTTGAATTTTCTAACTATAGCCTATTTGATCTAACAAAATTCAAAGCTTAAAATGTCAAATGTCCAAGACATCCAGGTTCGAAAGATGGACTAGGAAATCAGGATTTGTTGTAAAAAATCAATTACTTTGTTTGAATTTCTAATATGTAATATGTAACCTGATAACTTTCCATTTCTCGTACTTGTGCGTAAATTCAAAAATACTGGAGCATACGACGTCACAAACTTGAGCCTGTCTAGTTAATTTTAAAGTTTACGTTGATGAAGACCAAACTTAATCCATATGGCTAAACGCTATTACAACCAAAAGTTTAGCCCCTGATATATTTGTTTTCTATAAGATTATATTTGTGTGTGTAAAGCAATGAAACGGATTATATCAAGTATTGCGTTGTCAGGGAGTAAGACTGGATTTACATAGAGTTACAAATATAATGGATACAGCCATATTATCCTCATATCTTATATCCTTTACAAATATAAATATAATGTTTATACATAAATACACCAAGTGTATGTTACTATAAGATTAATATATGTGTACTGCAGTGTAATGTAGAATGTAAATAAATAAATTTATGTGCAATATATGTGCAATATATGTGTAAAATATATCCACAAACGCAGTGTTTTGTCTTGTTAGGACTCATCAGTATGGCTCAATTCGTTAGTTTTTGATTTTACAGTTGGCGGGGCTTGAACCGTTAATCATTGGATTACGAATCAATATATTATTTATGTATATGGATACAGCCATATTATCCTTAGTTCTTATACAATTTAGCTTTAAAATACAAATGCAAAAAAAAGTTCATACTTTCAAAAGCTATGCTGTTCAACTAATGAAAATTGATTAAATGTAATTTTAATCACAATCTTAAAACTATTTAAAAAATTTAGGGTGCCAGTAATCTTACATTTGCCACAGTAAAAAGTACACTAAGAAAACTGCTTTGGAAGAAAAAAAAACTAAGAATATCTTTTACTTTTTAGTAACCAGATGACAACAGGAGTTCCTGAATTTCAGAAAACCTTTCCTCTCCGTAAACCTACAACAGAGGACAGTGAGTACTACGGCGTGCCAGTACAATTGGGTCGCGGGCTGCCTGTGAAAAGACAGCGGCAATTTCCCAATTCCTGGGCGCAGGGGAGAACTAACAATCAATCAGTACAGCAGTCAAGTAATCACATGCAAGATGAAGGTATTCAAATCTTAATCTGATGAGAGGTCAGATATTTTTAAACTACTGACTTATCTGTTTCTTTAAGTCCGAAGGATTAAGTTAATTCCTTGTGAATTTTTCCGTCCAGTCCAATCACACTTAGATCTACACTAAGTGTGATTATTGTATTTTTTACTCTCTACAAAATGTACATTTAATAAATTCAAAATTAAAATGTCAACTGTGAATATCGGGTTCATTAAGTTCCGGCCTCTGCACGGTAGAGTCCGGTTCATTTCAAGTACTGGGCCGAGTGTTAAGAGAGCAGGGTAAGCTGTACAGTACACACACAGACTTAAGGTTATAATGCAAGGAAAGTTATTTCAGAGGTGCACGCATCTTTTGTACCGCAGTGTACTGTCTCTGGGCGGTAATGTAAGCACAAGACGGATGTCGAAGCTTGACTTGGAATCCATCTTTCACATAAAAAATCAATAAAATATTCTGGTCATAGGGAACTATTATGTGAATTATCAAAATTATCAAAATTTAATGCTTTTAACCCCCTCGGATACAAAACATACACCAATGAATCTATTCTTGTTTACAGATTCCGCCCAGAGAGAACTGGTTTCAATATGCACGCAGAGTATACGCAACTGCTATTAACTTTCCTTGCATTATAACCTTGGTTTGATATATCTTTAAACATTTTTAAAATCTAAAGTTCCGGTCTATAATTTATCTAAAATCGTTTCATAATAAGAGTTGTGCCTTTAAAGAATCTAAGCTTGGGAAGGCCGGGTGTATAGGCTGGGGGGGGNGATTCCGGTAAAAGAATATATTCGAATAAAGAAGAAATAATAAAGGATGAAAGTTTGATGTGCCCATCAAAAGTTTTATTTCTACATTATTAATATCTACTTTTCCAAGTTTGACACCCAATAAACTTTTTGAAACATGCAAAATGCAAAAGAAAAAGAAACTACGCAAATTTTATTTCGAAAAATTTTAATTTCCGATCATGAATCAGGAACCCCTTGACCGATTTGCCTCAGTTGGGGAACTCAGTAGCGCCATTTAGTTTCCTATTATATATAATATATTAGAAAGCTGCAATCTATGTATATGATATGTAATATCTGTCTCTAGGTTTCAGGAATACACCATCTATTTATAAAAAAGTTTAAAATTAAACTTAACCCTTTCCTATAGAAATGTAGAAAATCCAATAAAATGTTAAAAATCCGTTAGTTAACAATTTACAAACCAAAAAAGTAAATCTAAATTCCATATCTTGGTTTGAAAATAAAACTCAACGAGGCTTGCTATTCAACTTAAATACTTCAGTGCAATGTATCTTAAAATCTCTTAAAATGTTTTACTTTTTTAAACTGAAATAGTTTTCAAAAGATTTTTTAAAACTATTTGAATAGATTTAATATTTCTTTCTTATTTGGTTAGTGCACTTAAAAGTTTAGATTACATTTCCTTAAACTTCATTTTCATTTAAAATACTCTTTTCATAAATCTTCTATCTATTGATATTTCTCTCAATTTAAAGTAAATTGAAAAGTTTAAAAGGTTTAGAGGAAATAGAAAATAATGCATTTTGGTCCGACAGACGTTTACATTTTTAGATAGATCAATAACTATGCCTGATATATTCGATGTTAGGTACTTTCTCAAGCGGCAAATTCCCAAGTGGCAACTTCCCAAATGTGCAATTTCCCAAGCGACTACTTCCCAAGTCAGACCTAGCCGAAGCGCTTGGCCCCCTTGCCAATTTCTGCTGTGTAATTTTTGTTCTTATAAAAATTCTTATTTTTTTGTGAAAACAGAAATTAAGAAAATTCTGTTTAGGATTAGCCGGGTCCCTTTCTTCATTGGCGAGCTTAGGTCATATTTCTTCCACCTCTTATCTAGCAGGTAGTTAATACATAGGTTTAGAACTTTCCCATTGTTTAAGATGTTTACTATACTTTCTTAATCAATATTTAAGATGTTTGCTACTTTATCCATATTTGAGATGTTTGCTGCTTTATCAATATTTGAGATGTTTACTACTTTATCAATATTTGAGATGTTTACTACTTTATCAATATTTGAGATGTTTGCTACTTTATCAATATTTAAGATGTTTACTACTTATCAATATTTAGATGTTTGTTACTTTATCCATATTTGAGATGTTTGCTACTTTATCCATATTTGAGATGTTTACTACTTTATCAATATTTGAGATGTTTGCTACTTTATCAATATCTGAGATGCTTGCTACTTTATCAATATCTTAATTTTGGCTACATCAATATTTGAGATGTTTACTACTGAATGTTTTACTACTGCTCTGAATAAATGTTCTTTATATCTTTGGGATGAAACTGATCAGCGTACCTGCAAAAAAAAAACATAAACAAAGCTGAAGGAGGACTAGAACTTACTTAAAATGGACACCAATCTATTTTAATGTGTTTCCTTTAAGCCCAAAAGTCTAAAAAGCTTTGCTAGTTACCAGACACAAGTTTTGGTGGAGATGATATGACCTAACACCAATTTTGAGTATTATGTAACTGCAAAAGCAGAGCCAGTTCCTTCACTTCTTCTTCCCCAAGGAGACGCCCTGCCGTAGACCATTAATATAAGCTGATGGACCCATATTTATTTGCAAGAAGGAATGTACCGAACTATTCTAAATCTTTTACTTGTGTAAATCAATTCTAACCGGGCCCACGAGGGGTCAGCTTGCTGGCAGGACAAACCTGTAAACAGCAACCTCACTCAGCATTTTATACTGTCAGCAATAGGTTCAATACAGGTCCGGTTTACACTTCACAATGTCCATGCAGTTTTAAAATCTCCTGCCTAAAATTTAATATTTGGGCCATGGTAAAAAGAAGGTTGCAAAGGAAGAAAATGTGAACTGAATGTCAACTGAAGCGGTGTGGAGAGAATAGGAAATCCCAGCCGGGTAGGCTGATTAGGTCATATCAGCTCCACCCTGAACTTGTATCTTGTAACTAACAAAGCTTTTCGAAGTTTTAGGATTATATTAGCACATTTTAATAGAGTTTTTTTAAGTAAGTTCTGAACCTACTTCAGCTTTGTTAATGTTTATTTTGCAGGTACGCTGATCAGTTTTATACCCAAGAGATGAAGAGCATTTATTCAGAGCAGGGTTGACAAAATCCAATAACTTTTTAACCATGTAGTCCTAACATCCTAGAGACACTGTGAAATGAATTTCATTATGATTGGGTAATAATTGAGCCAAGAAAAAAGTGTGAAGTGTTTTTATTACACCCTTTAGCTTTAACAATGTTTGATATGTTTGCTACTTTATCAATTTTAGAGATGTTTGCTACTTTACCAATGTTTGATATGTTTGCTACTTTATCAATTTTAGAGATGATATCAGCTCCACCCTGAACTTGTATCTTGTAACTAACAAAGCTTTTTGAAGTTTTAGGCTTATATTAAACACATTTTAATAGAGTTTTTTTTAAGTAAGTTCTGGTCCTACTTCAGCTTTGTTAATGTTTATTTTGCAGGTACGCTGATCAGTTTTATACCCAAGAGATGAAGAGCATTTATTCAGAGCAGGGTTGATCAAATCCGATGATTTTTAAACTATGATCTCCTGACATCCTAGAGACATTGTGATATAAATTTCATTATGATTGTGTAATAATTGAGCCTGTGAGAGAAAACAGTTTGAAAAGTTTTTTTAACACCCTTTAGCTTTACCAATGTTTGATATGTTTGCTACTTTATCAATTTTAGAGATTTTTGCTACTTTACCAATGTTTGAGATGTTTGCTACTTTAACAATGTTTGAGATGTTTGCTACTAGCTTCACCAAGGTTCGAGATGTTTGCTACTTCATCAATATTTGAAATGTTTGCTACTTTACAATTTTCGGAATGTTTGCTACTTTATCAATAATTAAAATGATTGCTACTTTACAATTTTTGAAATGGTTGCTATTTCTGAAAGATTTTGTTTAAACTTTTTTCTATGATATAGATATTTTTTTAATTTTAGAAGACAAGTCTTCCGGCGAAATCCAAAGACTCCGTAAAGAACTTAGGTAACAAATATTACCACAATTACAATTTTTAAAAAAATTCAGCCTGAGTAACACTTTTTTAAAATTAATTAAAAAATAAATAGACTTTTTTCATCAGTAAAAAAAATTTATTTATTTTTATTTTGGCCCTTCACATGTTAAAAACAACCCTATAGAATGGAACCTGGTGAAACCAAGGAGGATCTAGAACTTTTACTGGAGATCATGAGATCGGGTATATTTGTAGGTTTCGTAATCCCCTCGGCATTCATTTCTCGAGAACATTCGCTTTAAATAAACCATTATGTTTGCAGGGAAGAACAGGAGAAAACTAAATAAACCATTATGTTTGCAGGGAAGAACAGGAGAAAACTAAATAAACCATTATGTTTGCAGGGAAGAACAGGAGAAAACTAAATAAACCATTATGTTTGCAGGGAAGAACAGGAGAAAACTAAATAAACCATTATGTTTGCAGGGAAGAACAGGAGAAAACTAAATAAACCATTATGTTTGCAGGGAAGAACAGGAGAAAACTAAAAGGCTCACTTCACAACTTTCAACAAATGTAAGAATAAAATCTTTTATAAATTTTTTTAAAGAAGGTTGAGCGAAGGGGAGATTGGAGGGGAGGGTAGGTTGGAGGGTGAGGGGAGATTGGAGGGGAGTAGATAGAGGTTGAGGGGAGGGGATGTTGGAGGGGAGAAGGTTGAGGGGAGGGGATGTTGGAGGGGGCACTGCAATGCAGAGACAATTTACTTGCAGGACAAAACCATTCGGTCTTTATGTTTAGATAAAAGCATATAAAGTTTCAAACTAGATTCTTTCTAGAATTTTACTCTTTTTAACAAAGATATCGAGTAGATATTGTGTTAAAATAGTTTAAAGGATTTTATCCACATTAAAGGGAGAGTAGACGTTATTTCAAATAACCATTTCCGATTCACAACCCGAATGTTAAAGATTTTGGAAAATTTTAGAAAATTTTATAGAAAACCCACAATTAGAAAGTATCAATTTTAAGGTAGTAAAAGAAGACATTTTTACCATTTTTTCTTTTGTTTAAAGGTGCTGGTGTGAATATGGAATTCCCCTATTTATACGATCGAAGGGTAATGTGAAATTAAGTCTGCAAGACATAGACCCTTGAAATTCTAAGCGCTGCACATAAAAGAGATTGTAGAGTATCTTTATAGCACAGCTTGCTTTAGCTCCCTAAAGGTGCAACTTCCCAAGCGGCAACTTCCTAAGTCAGCCCTAGCCGAAGCGCTTAGCCCCCTTGCTTGACCTAGCCGCAGTGCTCCCCCCCCCCCAGGAACAGCGGATCGAGATTACAGTGGTTGTATTGTATATACTATATAGGTCTCAAAAGTTTGAAACCAACATAATTCAGAACTTAAACAGATTTAACCATAAAATCAATCTAGACTTCTCTCATTATTAATGTAGGGCTTTCTCGTGCTAATTCAAGTTAAGAATAAAAAATATGACTTAAATCAGCACTTACTAGAGGCCAAATTTAAAGAATTTAAGCCGCGGCTCAAATTTTGTTGGTTCCACTTAAATTTGTATTAAATTTTTCAAGATTTAAACCGGCCCTCAATTGAAACCGGTTTTTTGGGCTTTTTTAAATTCATTAAATTCGGACATAGATCTGTCCTTTTCGTCAAACTTTTTAATCTTTGTTACAAAACCCAGGATTAACGCAAGTACAGAATTTAATATAATGATTATGAAGATTTCGATTAAAAATTTCCAAATTATTAAAATTTAATAATTTGGTGATGACAGCTGTCCTGTATTTGGGAAAAAAATCGTCCTGATTTTGAAGGCAAATGTTAGGATTTGATGAACATAGTTCAGATATTTCTGACATTGTCCGGATATTGTAATTAAAAATGTTTACTTTTAGAAAGAAAAAAATCACAATAATTATAATTTTAATGTTATTTATTTTCTTATTCGTTGGTCCGATTTACAGAAAGTATAAAATGGTGCCACCCTCACAATTAAATCGATTTTTGAATGTATCTAGTATTCTGGCTCTCAGGAAAAATTTTCAATCGTAAGAAAAGGTTTGTTGTAAAGCTAAATTTGTAGGATATTATCTGTATTTTAGATAACAATCCTTTTAAATGTTTCAGACCCACGTGGTTTCTGCATTTGAACAGTCACTATCAAACATGACTACCAGACTGCAACAGCTGACACGGAGTGCAGATGAGAAGGTAAAATTCAAAATGGTGACGAAATCTTTTAAAGTTTGAAAAGAAGGATTTTTCAAAATTATGATGTTGATTTGAAATGAAAAATGTCACTTATTGCGTGCAAGGCGCGGGGGGGGGGGGGTAGATTTTATCAAGAGCTAGCATTAAGGTAAGAAAAATAATAAACTTTTAAGTTCAATTGTAAAGGGAAAATGTAAAAAAATTAGTAATTTTTAAGATATTCAGTATTTTTAATTAAATTATACTTATCTGGTAGGGAATTTTTGTTTTCTAAGTTTTGAAAAGGAGTACATATAATGTTTCCCCCCCCCACTTCATTATACAAAATATTCCCCCTATTTATAATTAAAGATTAGGTTTGATATACCTGTTGGGGAATATACAGGGTGTCCCAATACCATGGAAATTGAGTCACGATTTCGGGATAGTCTAGCTTTGTAAATGATTTTGATTTAATATGCATCGTTTCGACTAGAAATAAAGTCTAGCCAACGAGACTTTTCCCGGACTTATAAATTACATTGTTAATTATACAAAGGCTATTATTTCTCAATTTTCATGTTTATTGGGACACCCTGTATATTATCGATGAAGCATGTTTAGTTATAAACCTGAATTAAATACAAATCTTATTAAGTTGTTATTATAGAGGCAAAATTTAATAAATAATGAGAAGTAGTTTAACTAATCAGATTTAGTTGAACCACTTCTCATTAACTTGAACCGATCAATTAAAAATCCAACATTATTTCTTCTGAGGTACGTCTATACAGCTAAAAATAATGCGTCTATTTTCAAGACCGTATCGACTTGGCCTTAGGATTTTTGGGATCTTGCTTTATCTCATTTATGATTTTTAGAAGCCCTGACTTGCATATTGAGTTTTTTTTTTCGTAAGGACTAGGGTTTCCAGCGAAGAGGTTAAATCTTTTTGCAAAAATTTTGCATTTTTGTCCGCTCGCGAAAATTACGCAAATTTTCTCTTTTTTCGCGAAACTTCGCTTTATCTGTATCGCGAAAAATGCGAAATTTTCGCGAAAAAAACAAACGAGAAAATTTCGGGAGAAAAAATGAGAAAATTTTGCGAACAAAAATACGGAAGAGGAATGATGAATTATTATATAATAAAACTAATAGTCCAAAGCTCTCAGAGCAGAGAATTTGAAAGGTTTTTTTTCGCGCAATTAATTGTTGCAGCCATGATTTTCGCTAAATTTTTTTTCTCTCGAAATTTTGTTTTTGCAAAATAGACCATCAATTTATTGGAACTAAAAGTTTTCCAGCAAAGAATTTTACCCAAACATCTTATTTAATTGAATTAATGTGATTTATATTTTGTATCAGTGAGAGTAATGAGAAAATTAGTGATAATTGATTTCTCTTTAGAACTATCTCGCTTAGTCTTAGGTTTAAAATGTATTTCAAAATAGAAAATATTGCGAAACGATTTAAATTTTAACAACATTGACATCCGTGGAATTTTTTTTTTGTCCTCATTGTGAATAACAAATTTTAAAGTCGCCATTGATCGAAATTTTAAAAAAAGTAAAAAAATCATTTTTGTTCCATCATTTTTTTGGGTTTAATAGTATCTGAGAAACCAGGCATAATTACAATTGTTTGTTCAATGATTTTAACTTGGACTAAATAACTGAACAGTCCCCTTTAAAGTCAACCTTTTTCAAGCTGATGTAGGTTTTAAGATGAATAATTAATGAAGGAAGAGTAAATTTGCAACTACAGGACTTTACTTCTACTGTTAACATAAACCTTTGCAATTTGAGATACATTGAGATTTGAGAAGCATACAATCCCGATGTAGAATAGGAACTCAAATCCCGATGTAGAATAGGAACTCAAATTAAGATTTTAAAAAGTAAATAGATCGGCCATATGTTGATTTTCATTGTACATTTTTGGCTTTTTCACTCTAGACCGTAGTAAATTTGAATTCGAACAGGACTTGCCCAGTTTGTACCGGCCTGCCAGATAACAGCGTGTACTGGCCCGATCCTATGGTACAGTACGTCGCCCTGACCATACTAACATATGACAAGGGTCAATTTTCTTGGCATAGTCCCGTCGGAGGGCTAACCATGACAACTCCCATGGCGCGTTCAGACTTTTTACATACCCGGCCTAATCCTAGGCCTATTTGACCAACCCCACTGGCTTAGTCCACCGTGAACAACATAAATTACACATAAGTTTACTTAAATATCGTCTTCATATTCCTCAGTTTTATGGGTCTCACTGTTTTAAAAAAAATGTTTCGTTTTTTCGACAAGTGTTCTATTTCTTAGAAGTTAGAGGACTAATGAATCTGTTTAATTTAGTTAATTATCTTGTTTATGATGTTACACAGAAGCTCTGTGATATTATGCTAATGAGATTAGTTGGACTATATATACTATAATTAACTATGTAGAGTTCTACTTAATCGTTCACAGAGGGTGTTCACGCTAATTTCATTGTTCAAAGATGGTGTTCACACTGATTTCATTGTTTACAGTTGTTGTTCACTCTGATTTGATTGTTTACAGAGGGTGTTCACGATGATTTAGTTGTTTACAGAGGGTGTTCACGCTTATTTAATTGTTTACATACAGTGTTCACGATGATTTAATTGTTTACAAATTACAGATGGTGTTCACGCTGATTTAATTGTTTACAGAGGGTGTTCACGCTGATTTAATTGTTCAAAGAGGGTGTTCACGATGCTTTAATTGTTCATAGACGGTGTTCACGCTGATTTAATTGTTTATTGACGGTGTTCACGCTGATTTAATTGTTTACAGAGGATGTTCACGCTGATTTAACTGTTCACAGAGGCCGTTCATTTTGCGCACAAGTATTAGAAATCCCAAACATTTATCTTTTTCTAAATAGCTCAGTAGCTCTTCGATACGTAATGATGAAAATATTTCAATCTCACGTGGAATTTACTTTATAGTCTCAAGTCACGTGTGTCTAGGGTTTCCAGCGAAAAGGGGAAAAAAATCGTTTCGCGAAAAAAAAATTTTTCGCATTTGTTTTGCATCTCGTTCACTCGTGAAAAATGCGAAAATTGATAAATTATGATATAACACTTCTACTGCTGAGCTCTCAGAGCAGAGAATTCCACATGTTGATTTACACAATTAACTGCATCAGTTATGATTTTCTAGAAATTTGTTTTTGCGAAATTTTGCGAAAAGTATTTTCGCATTTTTTCGTGAAAGTTTTGGTTCGCGGGAAATCCTACGTGTGTCCACATGTTCTTGGCAAAAATATATTTAATCTATTAAAAAAGATACATTTTAAAATTAGATTTTCATAGAAAAAAATATTTGTTTTTTGTAAAAACATATCAAAAATATATTTTTCATAAAGAAATAATTTATTTATTAAGGACAAGGAACTCCATGAGCTGCATAAAACTATAGAACTACTTCAACGTCAAGGAGCACAGCTTGGTTTAGGTAATCAGACATCTTCACAACATATATTTATTCATATACAGGGTGATGAAAAAAGTGTGATTAGCGGCTTTTGGTGCAAAATTGTACTTTTTGTACTCTGTTGTATGGTATTTTTGGGAATCAAAAGTTCAGAAAAGCAAAAATGTGTATACAATATTCCGTTTCTATCAAAATCTAATAATTTTAATATTTTAAAAAGATACTAATTACACTTTTTTGTCTTAACGTGTATAAATATAGGACAAAATATTCTTTTAATGGACCGTCGACGGAGCGGGGGAAGTCAGGCGACCATAAGCCACCACTAATTCCCCTTCCGTGCCACATATAATTAGTTTTTTTTGTAAAACTTCTTTTTTAAATGGTATATTTAGGGCCCTTATCAAGGAGCACAGCTTGGTTTAGGTAATCAGACATCTTCACAACATATATTTATTTATATACAGGGTGATGAAAAAAGTGTAATTAGCGTCTTCTGGTGCAAAATTGTACTTTTTGTACTCTGTTGTAAGGTATTTTTGGGATTTTCTTTTCTGGTACTCCAATGGCCAAAAAACTCAACGAAACTTTTTTCCTCTCAAAATCAAAAGTTCAAAAAAGAAAAAATGTGTATACAATATTTCGTTTCTATCAAATTCTACTACTTTTAATATTCTAAAACGCTACTAATTACACTTTTTTTGTCTTACCGTGTATGAATATATGACAAAATATTCTTTTAATGGACCGTCGACGGAGCGGGGGAAGGCAGGCGACCATGAGCCACCACTACTTCCCCTTCCGTACCACCACATTTGACTCTTCCGGGCAAAACTTCTTTTTTAAATGGTATATTTAGGGCCCTTAAAAGTGGGATTTTCAAAATCCAGCCGCGTCTCGCAAAAAAAGCACAACTCGAACCATTTTTTCGATTCTAGATAAGATTAACATATTGTGTATTGAATTGTTAAACTGTTTTACTAAAGTTTTTTTTGGCAAGTTTGACTTGAGTATTGGATCTTGAAGTACTCTCTAAACCCGTAGTTTTAAAAGATAAATGTGACAAATTTTACATTTTTTGGAAAGCTCTTTAATAGGTCAAATCAGATTTGCCAAAAAAGTTGGGTTGCAAAAAAAAATTGCACAAATAAGTAAAAACATTGATTTATCTGATAATTACATATTTTGCATTTCAACCTCTGCTGCAGTTCAACCTTAGAGTTTAAGATTTGCAAAAAAATATGTCAGTTTTGCAAACTAGTTTTGCCATTTTGCAAATTATATAGGTTTTGTAAATTCATACTAAACCTTTATATCATATCATTATGATTTTCTGCACAGTTCAAATAATTCAAAGAAGGAAAAATTGAAAAATTTTGCAATTGGCATTTTGCACTTTTTTTGCACAAATTCAAAATATTCAATACACATGACATATTACACATTTTGGAAAGCATCTGACCTGACAATTTTAAAAATGATGAAATGTTTTCAATTAAAAAATATTTTTTGCAAAGTGTTGCAAACATTGTGCAAAAAGTTTGCAAAAGTTTGCACAAACTATTTACTTCCTCTCTTTCTGAGTTATGATATCATAAAATATAGGTCAATGAAAAAATAGCTGTTTGAAAAACCAGATATATATATTGCATGACGCGGCTGGATTTTTGAAAATCACATTTCAAAGGCCCTAAAAATACCATTAAAAAATTAGTTTTGCCTGGTAGAGTCAAATGCTGTGGCACGGAAGGGGAAATAGTGGTGGCTCATGGCCTACCTTCCCCCGCTCGTCGACGTTATAAGTGATTTAAGAAACAACGGCAAAGAAGGAAATTGAGAGAATTAACATCTTTTAAAGACAAAAAGCGACAATATTTTCCTGATTGCTATTCCTAAAAAAGGGGGAAGGGGTTTAATACCCATGTTTTAAACCGGTATTATAACGCTTAAAATCACATTAAATTATGTCTAATTTATTTTTTGAAATTTTTAACTTAATCACTATTCCTTTATTAAATTAGTTCTTGATCTTTATTTTACTTGATCCTCGATCTTTGGTTAAAAATATTCTTGATCTTGAGTTCAATAATTACATAATTCGATCTGTTGATCAGAGATGGAATTTAAAGAATTTGAGCCGCCGTTTAAATCTGCCAAAACCCGGGTTAAATTGAACGCCGCGGCTTAAATCTTGAAACATTTGGTACAATTTTAAGTGGAACCAACCCTATTTAAGCCGCGGCCGCTCAAGTTCTTTAAATCCGGCCACAGTTTGTTAAAACTAAATCAACTCGGAGGAATTCGAAAATTTAAGTGTTTGACCATTTACAAAGAAATTGTTTTTCTAGAATTTGAGATTTTTATTTTTTTGTGGATAAAGTTGGAAAACTGCATTTAAATTCAAATATTTAAAATATGCATTTATAGAACTAGGCATTGAATTCGTGTAAACGACACATACAAATGACTGAATCCGTATTGTCTCGTTTCAGCTAGAGTTGTTTTTGATTAATATAAAACAGAATTTTAATGTAAAAAATTTACTCTATTATTTCTATAAATAAGTTTAAAAATCTCTATGTGGCCATTTCTATTTTTTCGAATTCAGACCAGAAAATGCAAATTGAAGAAAACCGCCAAACAAAATAAACACATTTTTGTCAAAAGCATTGCACACAAATAATATGTATATTTAAACAGATGAAGAAAATATCTAAATTCTTTTAAAATGTTATAGAGACAAGAGTTAGAAACTCAGAACTTTCTGAAGAAAACAAGATAATGTTTCTTTTATACAGTTATTTAAAGTTTAAAGGAACTTTAAACGAAAGTTTAAGTGACCATCCATTTAGATCTTGACATGTCTGATTCACAATGACACCTTTTAAACTTCAATCTGAGTAACCATGAGGATGGTATCGTGTATTTTCTATCTATAGAAGAGAAAAAAAAATCCGCCAATCACTTCCATAGAGGACACACAATCGGAGATAATCAATTTTTTTGGAGACAAAAAAGAATATCCTTAAAGGGAGCAGTTGTGAATCGGGCATGCCACACAATCAATAAATCCCTTTTAAAGTTTAATCCTTCTTGAATTAGGAAAGTACCAAGTGGTGTCCTCTGAGTCCTTGTACAATACTCCAGGACGGAATGGATTTATCAGCGCTGGCACCTCAGATTCAGGAACGGTCTTATAATTTGTGTCTATAACAATTCATATAAAATATACGTATAATATAATTGCAGAAAAAGGTCTAGGGAAAGTGGTAAATGTAACGTAATTCGAAATTGTAAGATTTTATTCCAAAAAATATGAATCTGCAGCATTTTAACATTAACAGTTAATATCTGATCGAAATAAAACGTTTCAGTTGTGTTTCTTACCTTGTTTATTCATAAAGGAACTGAGTTTTTGCCACAAATTATGATTTTACAATCGCCATATCTTTTCCACCTGATGGTGTAAACCTTTGATATTTCAAACTATTATTGTTTGGTCTAAAATGATTCATAGTTTGAAATATCTAAGGTCTCTGACATTCAAATGCAAAGATATAGGGATAAGAAAATCAGAGTTTGTGACAAAAACTCAATTCCTTTCAATCTCTGCTGCATATTTGAACAATTAAAAATATTAATCTTTATAAAATCTGATTTGATCAAATTCTCAGAAAATGAGGAGTACAACTCCTTGACCAATTCCAAGAGAACATTCAACTTTAAACACAAAAAATCTAAATGGGTAAATTCGTTTTTGATTTTTAATATAATTAACTCTGATATAATTCTAAAAAAGTGTGTGTGGGGAAGGGGTCGTTAGAAATGAGAGAGGTGAGGTTAGAAGGAATAGGTGGTATACGTTAGAAGGTAGAAAGAGCGGATTGTTATAAATGATTGGTAATTGTTGGGTTGTCAACCAAAACAATCCTATTTAGATTACAACCTGGGGAATTTAACCCGGGGGAAATGATACTGTAACCGTGAGATAAGATAAGGGGAAACTAGGGGAAATTAATTCTTTATATTTTCCCCCTGTATTCTTTCAGACACGTTTGGAACAAGTAGGGGAACCCAAATAATGCAAAAATATTATTTCATGAGAATCAAGACACGTCTTTTATTCTAATTAAAAAATTCCGCCCAATTTTTTAAGATTCTAAAGATTTTTTCATTTTGATTTTATCAACATATTATGATCTTTAAGTCGAAGCTTATAATTGTAGTGCTCTGGAGTCATTAAGGTCGTTAACGGTCAACTAGATAGGCGTTCGTTCTTAACAACTATAATAGATTTGAAAATACTTTCAGTTCAGTTAACGCTCTTTGTTTTAACGGCGTTAACGGTAGATATGCCAAATATTCATTAACTGCCTTTATATAACAGTTGGTAACAAATACAAAACAAGCAATAATTTGTTCATGTCTATTTTATACAATTTTTAAATTCCCGTTCCTTAACGAAACATTGCACAACCATACTTTGTTTTTTAAATTTAGCTGCAGCAGTCCATTAGTCGGGCTTTTTCAAGGGCTAGGAAACATTCTGGATCAGTTTCAGAGGTAATAATTTTGAATTTCATTTAAATTTTTAAAAACTGTCGTTGATATCACCAAATTTTTAAGGATGATGACGGATGAAGATAACATTTTCCGATTGTCGTTAATATCGTCAATAATTTCGAAAATTATGGTTGATTTTAAATATCAAGACGATCAAAAATAAAACTTTAAAATATATATCAATGTATATTTCAGGCTGACGACAGACAAAGACGACATTTAAAAACTGTTGTTGATACCGCCACCTCGTGTCCTGGTTCTCCACTACCCAGAGGTCACCATAGATCTAGATCAGCTCCTGTGTAAGTATTGAAAATGTTTTTTCTTTGTTTAAATTATATAAGATAGTCGAACACCTTGTTGAATAATATCGATCTATCATTAAGTTCTACATTCAGCTTTTTTCATTTCAAACCATCTTGAGATTTCAGACAGTTGCGTCATTTCTCTTGAAATTAAATCGGCGCACAAAAGAAGTGGTTCAACTTAGTCTATTTATTTCAACTACTTCTAGGTTGGATGATGGTGAGGGAAGTGTGGATGAACTAAGGCAGCAACTGATTCAGAAAGAAAGTTTACTCACTGAAACTAGATTAGAAGCTCTTACATCGGCTCATCAACTACAGACACTGAGAGAAACCATCGCAAAGCTTAGGTAACAGATTACATACTATAATCCTTTAATTCAAGCGGTAAAATATAATTAATCTTTAAAGGGACTGTACATGTCATTTCATCCACAATATAAAGTGTGTGGCATGTCCGATTCACAATAGTGCTCTTAAAATAATTATCTTATAAAGGATTAATGCATGAAATGTTCTTCATTTTTATAAAAACAATTATTTTCGGAAATGAACGGAATTGAAATTTTTAAGAAAGAAAAAAAAAGAATACACGCTAATCAATTCAAGGGATCAAGGACATTTAAACTTTTGTAAAAGTATTGTTGTTTATTTGTACAGGAGGTTCTAATAAACATGTGAATGAGGAAATTGCGGAAAAAGGACGAAACAATTCATTACTGCGAAAGTCCTATTTTTTTAAGTACGCAACACCCGTTTAAATTTATTTATATGCTTTTTATATGCTTATGTTTATGTCTACAATGGAACTAATAATACTGTTGAACAAACATACATTATTTAAGCAATATATTTGCTGCAGTTTCATGTTCATGGAACTATTTAAAATCGTTACTTGAGTATACTATAGCCGTCCTTTTATTCCACAATTTTTATAGTATCTTTCCTAGGAATGAGCTAAACACTGTGCGACGAGAAAGTGAGAAGATAACAAATGACCCCGCATTCAACTCTCCAGCTCACAGAACCAGCTCACCAGCTCATAGAACCAGCTCACCAGCTCATCCTTTCATTCCATTAGCTCATACATCTGGCTCACCAGCCCTCAGTACTAGATCTACAGGATATGGCTCAAGATTTAATTCTAGCTCTCCAGCTCATGGCTCTCGACTGGAACTCAACTCCCGGACTTCTAGATCTGGAAGTGAGCTGAGCAAATCTCCTGAGCTAAGATCAATGAATTTGGCTCAATCATCAGGAGGAGTTTTGCCAAACAGGTAGGGTGGGGTATCTGTATTTTTTATTTTGCAAAGATAGTATTGTCGGCAAACTTATCAAAAATACAATTTAGTCGGCAAACTTATCAAAAATACAATTTAGTCGGCACACTTTAAATAATACAATTTAGTCGGCAAACTTATTTCAAAAATACAATTTAGTCGGCAAACTTATCAAAAATACCATTTAGTCGGCAAACTCATATCAAAAATACAATTTAGTCGGCAAACTTATTTCAAAAATACAATTTAGTCGGCAAACTTATCAATAAAACAATTTAGTCGGCACACTTTAAAAAATACAATTTAGTCGGCAAACTTATCAAAAATACAATTTAGTCGGCAAACTTATCAAAAATACAATTTTGAAATATTATAAAATTAACATCTCAGAATATTGTGGGACCATTTCATCGCTAAAAACCTTATTTGTAATAAAGGCGGAGTTTAAAATTATGCTTATCCCTATTATGTATTATGAACAGGATGAGTAAAGTTGATTATGTGGATGGAAGTCCTGGTTCAGGATCAAACGAGAGAAGGCCTAGGAAGACAAAGCCTCTGTCTTCATATAGGTAGAGCTTTTTTATTAATCTATTTTTCAATTACATCTTTTAAAAAACATTTTTTAACGCCCATAGAACCTCTTTGAACATCCTTGTTTGCAACAAACTCGAATTTTCTAATCCCTATATATGTCCAACCTGATGACAAAAACCTGATGTCAAAGATATTAGGATTGGAACATCAGAGTTTGTGGCAAAAACTCAATTTCTATTGTGGCCAATTTTGTAATTTATATTCATTCTAAGGCTAATTAACCATGACCCAATTAGTAATTTAAAATATTTAATAGATTTTTAGCTTTGTCTAGCTATTTATTAACTAAATTACAAATGTGGAATTCTAACCGTCTTCGTTATTTTCTTTGATAAAGGTAATGGTATTCACAAATTAAAAGATGAAAAAAAAGTTTAAAGCGAGTGTTCACGAATTTAAATGTGTCCTTTAAATCCAATGTTTGTTGGGAAACTTTTGTTTGTTGTAAAAGCACAGGTTTTCTCGTGAAATTTGTATTTCCGGATTTTCAAGCTTTGACTTCACGGATTTTCATTATTATTATTTAGTGAGAGTCCTATCCGTCGTCCCCTGGGAGCTGGAGGAGGAGGAGAAGGTTGTGTCCGGGGACAGGATCAACAAGGTTGTTCTCTCCTACAAACATCATGTAGTGTTGGTAAGAACAAGCCTCAGAATAGATGTGAATCAACAGAATTATATTTGAAAAAATGGCAATTTTAATTTTAAGTCAGACCCATATTTACTAATTCAACATAATTCTTGTTTAAAATACAGCTTACATAGAACTGTTTACAACAAATTATACCAAAAAATAACAATTTTAAATATTCTAAAACAATGAAATACCAAAAAAATAAGTTAATACTATTGTGAATACTGATGCTGAAGATACTAATGCAGATACTGATGCTGATGATACTATTGTGGATACTGATGCTGATGATACATTATAGATACTGATGCTGATGATACTATTGTGGATACTGATACTAATAATTCTATTGTAGATACTGATGCTGATGATACTGTTCTAGATACTGATGCTGATGATATTATCGTAGATACTGATGCTGATGAAACTACAGTAGACACTGATACTGATGATACTATTATAGATACTGATGCTGATTATACTATTGTAGATACAGATACATCATACAGATGATACTATTGTAGATACTGACGCAGAAGAGGTTTGTGTCCCTGTATCTGTAATCTCTACTGGAGATTATCCGTCCCAACTTCAACTCTCATACAACCCTAAACCTAGGAAAACTTTCATTCCATGGTGATGATTGAAAGTCGTCTTTTGTCAACTTTAGGGTTACTCGCAAAGGATAAACTTCAGAGAGGATTGTGGACCGAATACACTACCTACTACCGGTTCAAATCTTGAATCACCAATTCAAAATTAAAGATTGATGCATAATATTTAAATCGGTGATTCAGGATTTGAACGAGTGCAGGGTGTCCTACGAAGCATGATAGTTGGCGAATGGTTTTGAATGTCTTCTTCCATATACTGTATAAGATATTATGAGACTTTTTGCAGTTTATTTCGTTGGCAAAATCTATTGCTCAAATATATTTTAACTTTGAAATCAATTTTACTATAAAATGATTGCCATGGTATATTTTTTATTAATGATGATTTATCTCTTTTCCTATATAGAACTTAACAAATTATGGAAGAAGACATTTAAAACTTTTCACCAACTGTTTTGCTTTGTGGGACACCCTGCAAGTTCAGCGACCTCGGCAATTCATCATAAAATTCGGTCACTTGTAAAAATGATTTGTAAATAACCATACAAGTATATTTTTTATTAATGATAATTTATCTCTTTTCCTATATAGAACTTAACAAATTATGGAAGAAGACATTTCAAACTTTTCACCAACTGTTATGCTTTGTGGGACACCCTGCAAGTTCAGCGACCTCGGCAATTCATTATAAAATTCGGTCTCTTGTAAAAATTATTTGTAAATAACCACACATCATCCCAATGTTTTCCACACATCCCTGTGGTTTTTTATAAATAGCTTTAAAACTGCTGCAGACATTTTTAATTTTCTTGCATAAAGTAAGGTGGAGGACAGTCAAACGGCGGGTCGGTGATCAAAAAATCAAAAATGGCTAAGAACTCTTTTAATAATTATATATTAGCTTTTTTATATACTAGCTTTGGAACCCAGCGCGCTCAAGGTTTCTGAAAGATACCCCCGCCTTTTCCCCGTGCACTTGAACGATTTTACCAGGAAACTAAATCTTAATTATGAAAGTCGACCCACTCAACAAAAAAATCTCAAAACCAAAATCTCCAGAGTTATCCAATCGAAACTTGAAGCAAATCGGTTCCAGGGGTTCCTATGTTATGATCGGAAAAACAAACAGACACCCAGACAAACAGAGATTACACCTATATTTATGTAGAAATATGATTTATATCTTGATGAATAAAGTTTTGTTGAATCAGGAGAACTGACACAAAAATAGGATTTGTAACAATCAGCAGAAACTCATCTTGGCCTAATTTAGACGATTGTGTCAGGTATTTTTATACTTATAGGATCGATTATCTTAATTTTGATATTTCATTCCTGATTTTGATTCTTGATTTTTATACTTTATTCTTAATTTTCATACTTGATTCTTAGTTTTGATTCTCGATTCTTGATTTTAATACCTAAATTTTGATACTTGATTCTTGATTTTAATACTTGATTCTTAATCTTGATACTTGATTCTTTATTTTAATCCTTGATTCTTGATATTAATACTTGATTCTTTATTTTAATCCTTGACTCTCGATATTAATACTTGATTCTTAATTTTAATCCTTGATTCTTGATATTAATACTTGATTCTTAATTTTAATCCTTGATTCTTGATATTAATACTTGATTCTTTATTTTAATCCTTGATTCTTGATATTAATACTTGATTCTTTATTTTAATCCTTGATTCTTGATATTAATACTTGATTCTTAATTTTAATCCTTGATTCTTGATTTTGATACTTGATTCTCAAATTTTGATACTTAATTCTTGATTTTGATACTTGATTGTCAAATTTTGATACTTAATTCTTGATTTTGATACTTTTTTCTCAAATCTTGATACTTAATTCTTGATTTTGATACTTGATTCTCAAATTTTGATACTTAATTCTTGATTTTGATACTTGATTCTTGATTTTGTAACTTGATTCTTGATTTTGATACTTGATTCTTTATTTTAAACTTAATTTTTGATTTTGACACTTGATTCTTGATTACATGATACTTGATTCTTGATTTTGATACTTGATTCTTGATTTTGTAACTTGATTCTTGATTTAATACTTGATTTTTGATTATAATAATTGATTCTTGATTTTGATACTTGATTTTAATACTCTACTTGATTCTAGATTTTAATACTTGATTCTTGATTTTAAACTTAATTCTTGATTTTAATACTTGATTCTTGATTTTGATACTTGATTCTTGATTTTAATGCTTGATTCTTAATATTGATCCTTGATTCTTAATATTGATCCTTGATTCTTGATTTTAATACTTGATTCTTGAATTTAATAATTAATTCTTGATTTCAATACTTGATTTTTGTATTTAATATTTGATTCTTGATTTTTCATATATCTTATCTACATCTGTAGGTTATAGAGTATATTATGTACTATCTTTATAATAAAACAAGACATTTGTATATATATATATGTTGCCTATAGCCGGCGAAACAGCTGGAACGATTGGGCTGACATTTTTGTGGACACTCTTTGGTGGCCAAAAGGGGTGTATAGGCTAAAAAAAATCCCAAATTTTTTTTCAAAATTTGTATTTATTTTTTCAAATTTTTTTCCACGGGCAGCGCTGGGCCTTTTAGCTAGTATATAATATATAAGCTAGCATTATATTTTTCTGTCAAATTCTCGCCTCTCAAAGATTAAAAAGAACTTAAGATTAAATTAAAACTTTTTCAAAAGTTTTGCATATTTTACTAAATCTATGAAAATGATCTAATTTTTTTGAAATTATATTCAAATTTATTTCTTAAGAATAGTTTAGCTCCATACAATTATATATTAGAACAGTTTAGCTCCATATTATTATATATTGAGAATAGTTTAGCTCCATATTATTATGTATTGAGAATAGTTTAGCTCCATATTATTATATATTGAGACCAGTTTAGCTCCATATTATTATATATTGAGAACAGATTAGTTCCATATTATTATATATTGAGAATAGTTTAGCTCCATATTATTATATATTGAGAATAGTTTAGTTCCATATTATTATATATTGAGAACAGATTAGTTCCATATTATTATATATTGAGAATAGTTTAGCTCCATATTATTATATATTGAGAATAGTTTAGCTCCATATTATTGTATCAGCTCCATATTATTATAACTAGGGGTCTAGTGAAAACCTACTTGAATAAACTGTATCCAGAAAATATTTTAGCTCCACATTTTTACATGGCTCCACATTATCATATCAGCGTCATAGTATTATATACAGTTAAACCCTAAATAAGCCATACACTGAAAGAATTAATCAAATGTCGTCTTGACAAATTTTCAATGGGTTTTATACTATTTTACGTAAATCTCAGTATTTGCGAAAATAAATAAATAGCCATGAATATACATAAACAGTTTTAAAGAGCTCCATATAATCATTTAATTAAAAAAACAAAATATCTGCAACATTCCAATATTAGAAAGTGAAGAATACGACATTTGAAAAATTCTTTTGATGTATGGCTTATTAAGGGTTTAATTGTAAGCTCCTTATAATTTTATCTAGGGGTCTAGTGAAAACCTACTTGAATAAACTGGACCCAGAAAACAGTTTAGAATTAACAAACCAATCCATTGTCTCATATCAGTGTGGAAATATCAGGTAAAATAGATTCATAATTGTAGACGTAATTAAAAGTTACCCTTCATTCACAAAATTTATTTTTCTTTATCTTATTCTCTTAAAATGAGGGTTCGTGAAAAATGAAAGGGGATATAGGCTTATTGCGAAAAATAAGCGCTTTTGATCGCTACCAAATAGGTTGTCAAGTACAATAGATGGCAACAGAAAAATCGACCAACTGCGCACAACGTGATATGTGTCAAATGAAAAAAGAAAGACGACATGTCCTCTAATTAGTTGGTATAATTTCCAAGATTCGGTGAAGATAAACGTCGTCTTTGTTGGAATGCGTAAAAAATATTTACAACTCGAAATTAGATAGAGTATTTTTACTGTCATTTGGTGGCTTATTTTTTTCACTGTATATCTATGGAAACTAAATAGTCTGAGGGAGGGGGGGGGGGGCCAGGCCCCAGCCCTCNATATATAGTCTCTGTTTTCATCTTCTTTGATTATTATTTTTTCTTAGGAGGGTTTTTAAAACCCCTGAGCCTGTTGGAGGACCCAGTCTACTTCAGGATACCAGGATATGGGTCTCTTTTAGGACCGGAACGGATAGAGGGAGTTTGGAGGACTTGGCTTTCTCAACTCTAATCCCTAAAACTGTAATAAAGAAATATGTGATGACTCTTTCAAAGGAACGAAACTTTTAAAACAAAAAATTTACAAAATATTAAATTGTTATTTTGATTTTAACTAGGTTCAATGGTTTCCAAAACTGATTTTCTTATTTTAAGCAAACGTTTATCATTGTATATATCAACTTCAATATCGTGGTAGTTTCAAGTAACCATCCATGTCCGATTTAATCCTTCATTTGATCTTAAATGTGGAAGTTATCGTCAATTTTCTCTCTATCTAACAATTATTCTCCTATGTTTCCCTTTACTAGAGAAACTTCAATTGAAAATAATGAATTTTCAAAAAGCAGATGATGGATATCCAAATATGCGCCTCCGTTTTCTTTCCCACTAATTATTCAATTATTTTCAAATTTGAAATTAATTTAAAAATGTTTGGGTTCAGTATCGAAGAGCTGTGATAGTTGGACACCAGGGGGTTGGGAAAACCTTCTTGGCTCTAAAACTTGCAGAGTTTTTAGCTCTCAAAACAGGGAATAGTTTAAACCCAGTTCATGTTTTATCTCTAGATCAGGTACCACTTCTTTTTACTATATACAGTGGAACCCATAAATTATAATTATAATAAGTTATAATAAAAAGCAAACGAACCAATAAGCATTAGATTGCTGAAGTTTTTTTTATTTCTATATACTATTATTTTTTTTATTTTCCTCAATATAAATCATTGCTTGATGGTATTTCTTAATCTAAAAGTAAAAATGTATAAAACTAGGAAGCTATGACGAGTGTAAGGAAGCTATATCAAGTTTAACCCTGGTGCCTGGGGAGAACCAACCCTCAGTGATAATACTAGAGAATATTCATGCCAAGGTTAGTAGGGTTTATCTATCTCTGTTGGGGCAGTTTATCCCCCGCCCCCCACACGCTAACAACCCACATTAGCCCCCTCTCTTAAATAATGTTAACGTCTACATATGACAAGTAACACAGTTTTACAAAGCCAAAATTGAAGTTTTGCAAAAATCCAAAATATGCTTGAAAAAAACACAAAAATGTTAAAAGATTTAGCATCAAAATCTTCACATAATTTGAAGGATATCGAGTACGCAAAAAATCTTGGAATTAGATAGATTTTAATGAAAATTGAAATTTACTTGTAAAGTCAACAAGACCAATTAAAAAGAACTTTAAAAATATTCTTGAAGAAAGTATTTGAAAAGACGCTAATTAATATTCATGAAACATATAGTTTTAAGTTTAATGATAGCATAATTTTGTTTTTTTTTGCGATGTTTCAAATATTTTAAAATTCCTTTTAATATTTTTCAAGTGACTGTGACAAAGGATGTATTTTCAAGTGACTGTAGACGTATTTTCAAGTGACTGTAGACGTATTTTTAAGTGACTGTAGACGTATTTTCAAGTGACTATAGACGTATTTTCAAGTGACTATAGACGTATTTTCAAGTGACTATAGACGTATTTTCAAGTGACTATAGACGTATTTTCAAGTGACTGTAGACGTATTGTCAAGTGACTGTAGACGTATTTTCAAGTGACTGTAGACGTATTTTCAAGTGACTGTAGACGTATTTTTAAGTGACTATAGACGTATTTTCAAGTGTGTAGACGTATTTTTAAGTGACTATAGACGTATTTTCAAGTGACTGTAGACGTATTTTCAAGTGACTATAGACGTATTTTTAAGTGACTGTAGACGTATTTTTAAGTGACTGTAGACGTATTTTCAAGTGACTATAGACGTATTTTCAAGTGACTATAGACGTATTTTTAAGTGACTATAGACGTATTTTTAAGTGACTCTCCATTTATAAAGTGATAAGTCAAGATTCACTAGATTCTTTTCCAAAATTCTGCAAGCCATTTTTATATGGAAACCATATTCGACAGTAATTGATTTTTGGCCAGAAAATCAAGAATATCTCATTTAACCTTGATTAGACAAATATTTGAATGATCTATGTTTTGAACTGGACAGTTGACATATAAGTCTCTTATAGTCTCTTTCAACTTTGTTTTCAATTATTTTCACTTGAAAAATAAAAGAGAATTTATCTACTTTTTATTTTTTTATTTAAAAATTGTTAATATTTCAGGGGTCCAGGATTGTTGATTTGTTGTCCAGCTTAGAGCTTGGAAAAGAGGATTTTCCTTTTCTTATTTGTACCAGCTCACCCTCACAGTATATTAGGTAATAAGCTGACCCACTATTGTTTCAAATGTCCAATCCTTGCAGCACAATGAAGTGGTTCCAAATTTGAAATCCACTTTATTGGCCCGGTTCAAATAATAATAATAACGCTAGAAGTACTACTGATAATAATTTTACTGAAAACTGTGATAATAATAATACTATGAAGGGACCTGAACGCTAAGATGAATATGGTTGAGATCACTCTTGGTGAAGACGTTGAACTGATGCAGGGTTTTCTCGGCAGATATCTCAGGTAACAGATTATTTCGGGCTGCTTCGCGCCCCACTTACTTTCTACATTGTTTCCAAAAATCAGGGGAATTGAGGGACAATTTTGTCTTTGTAAATGATTTTTGATTAAGTATGGCGATTGGTGATGCCTTATAGGAAAGCTGTAATCCTATAGAGTTTAGAATTTGTTAAATTATGTTTTGATTGCTGGCTGGGTAACTGGTTCACCCATCTAGCAGAAATGAGAAAAACATATTATAAAACGTTTTTCAGAATAATAAAATAGCAGTCTTTTGCCATTTTCCTAAAATAAACATATTTTTTTTTTGATCTCTAAGTGCTAAAGATAGCTATAACTTAATAGTTCGTTCTTTTTAATTATTGATTAATTCCTCAGAAAAAGGGCAAAACTGACGCGCATCAAGTACCGGCCCGACCCTATATTACGCCGGCATGGCGCGGCCAGACTTTTTACAGTACCCGGCCTATCATAGGCCTATTTGACCTACAACGCTTACTTTATTATAAAGCTCTTCGCTTATTTTTATGTTCGCTATAGCTAGGGTTGTTAATAGTTTTTGAGTTTGGGAGCCCCGTTTGAAACTTGTTCCTTTAGGCATAGAACCTTGCTCTTATGTCTCTCTTTTTAATGATTCTAAATTAAAAACCGGTTCACCATCTATATTTTAAAATTTTGTAATAATCCCTTTTAATTTACATAATAACAGATCCTAAATTTAGTTTTTATAATCTTTTTATTCAGACGTAAGATGTTGGAAGTGGAGGTGGAGACAGGGTTAGCCAACTTTGATATGCCAGAAGCTATTCAATGGATTCTACGGATTTACTGCAATATTTATATTTTTGTAAAGACGACCTCGAGAACTAGATCTTGTCTTAGTCCACACATGTTTATGTCATGCGCAGTAGGGTCAACTCAGGTTAAGAGATAAACGTTTTTTCTTAAAATACAGGGTGTCCCACGAAACAAGATATTTGGTGAATAGTTTAAAATGTCTTCTTTCATAATTTGTTAAGTTGTTGAAGAATGATTTAAAGTACATAATAGCAGTCATATTTTAGTAAAATATATTTGAGTAAAAAGAACTAAATTAACTTCAAAGAGTCTTTAATATCTAATACAGTATATTAAAGCTATTCACCAACTGTATTGTTTCGTGGGACACCCTGTATAAACGTCATTATGTAAGTTAACTAAAATTGCACGGGGTCGGGCACCCTCTGTTTTAACTGGATATTTACTTTCCCTGAGACCCTGATCCTCCCAAAACAAAGGATAAACAATTTGATTGATTGATTAATTTGTTGATTTATTAATTTATAAAATATGGTTCACTGATTGGTTCATTGATTAATTGATTGATTGCGTACTAGGCCTTAAGAAGCTGGTTTGTGGAGGTGTGGAATACCACGGTCGTCTTCTATTTGAGAGATATTGTGTCAGGACGGGGGGAGGAGGAGCTCATGCAGTTCGAAGATCCTGTCAGGTCAAGAAGAGCACCTCTAAAATTGTGTTCGGAATATCGAACATTTTGAAAGAATTTCGGAATATCGAACATTTTGAAAGAATTTCGGAATATCGAACATTTTGAAAGAATTTCGGAATATCGAACATTTTGAAAGAATTTCGGAATATCGAACATTTTGAAAGAATTTCGGAATATCGAACATTTTGAAAGAATTTCGGAATATCGAACTTATTGAAAGAATTTCGGAATATCGAACATTTTGAAAGAATTTCGGAATTTCGAACATTTTGAAAGAATTTCGGAATATCGAACATTTTTATTTTGGAACATGTAATTAAAGAATGTACAAATTTGTAGATATCCCTTTCATTCTGTTAATTATTTCGAAAAATATTTTCTCAATTTCGAATTCAATGTTTGACATCTTTTAAAACATCACATTATATTATATAAATAAATTTCATAAATTCAAATTTCTTTGACATCTTATAAAAGGAAGAAGAATTTTCATTTTATAAATGATATCCTGAGATTTTATTAAGATCTTGAAATAATTAATGAAGGGAGCGTTTGTTTGAGTTTCTTGACATAGTTCTTTTTGTGCCTCTTTACTCTATTCTATTTTTTCGCTTTTTTATTATGCTTTTTTAGTTTTACATCTGTTCATGGTTTATAAACATTCAATAATGTCAAATGCTCTGATTAACACTTTTTTCAAAGGAATGATTTAAGAAAGGGTTAAATCCATAGATAAATAAATAAACATAAATAGCTTATGTACGCAAAATCACCAAGAAATGTACAATCCGCGAACTCATACATCTAGGGGTCAAATTGTACTTCCTTGATAAGCGGGGTGGTTTGGTGTTTTAATAGATTTCATAATTATTAAAACACTCAGGAGTGAATTTTATTTTGAGAATATCAAATTATCAAATTATCATATTGACGAGAACTGAAGAAGGACATGAGAAGGACTAAAACTAACTTAAATCTCTCTCTACAGAACTCATGTACACCACAAGTACTCACTGACATAAGAACAGCCAATGTTCACAACCGACCTAGTTAATCTTTATAATGGGAATATCTTTAAAACATCTCTGTACATTTATATCTTTCAAGATGAAAAATGTCGTCTTATGCGCAATCTATCTTTTTCTAGAATAAATAATCAATGAAAATATCTATTTTGAAAATATTAAGATTTCTAATTTGTATTTTTTGATGTTATTAATTAATAACATTCATCGTGGATAAATGCCACAAATTAACTTTTTTGTAATTGATTTTTTGTAGATTTGTGATTCGTACCTGGCCCTGGCAAGAACAGCTAGGAGGTCTTCCGCAGGTAATTAATTTATGCATTTATTTATTTATATATTCATTAATTCATTCATTTAGAAATTAATTATTTAAATGGACTCTTGTATGTTCATAGCCAGCTCATCGAAAAAACAAATAAGCCGATAACTTTTAAGTTTGGGTGCTAGGAAGGGTTTAAAAAATTGCCCAAAAAAAGTAAAAAAAAAATGTAAAGACTTTTTTGTTTTTGTTTTAAATAGATATCAAAGTGTGTAAATTTCTATTAATTAAAAGTCAACAAATTTCACGGTGATAGTGTCAAAAACGAGAGTGCGAATGCCCCTCCCCCCCAGCTTGTTTAGGGTTAAAGAATAGCATATCCCATTAAAAAAAGTTGAACCTTGCTATGGATGAACAAAAATAATTGAAATGTCCATTAATTCTCTTAAACAAAATTAGTTTTTATGAATTGTGTTCTTTAGAAAGGGACTTAAAAAGCGGAGTTATTATAAAGAATCAATGGATGACATAGCAGAAATTAAACACTTTAAAAATTGGAAAAACGTATATATAGGTTAAATAAGAACCGTTGGGAGTTTGACATGCCACCTCTTTTTTAATTTGAAATTACGTTTATATCTCTTTAATCATTTCATTAATTTCTTTAGAAATTAATTAATTAGCTAATTATTATTCAATCATTCATTCTTGATTAATTTGGTGTTTCAAACTTCAGTATATTGAAATATAAAAAGTATTGTTTTGTTTCGGGGTTTGTATTATTTTTGTAATAATAATTCATAGTATCTATCTTCTATAAAAAAAACAAGACATTCATATATATGTTGCCTATAGCCGGCCAAACGGCTGGACCGAATGGGGGGTACTATAAGCTAAAAAATTGATTTAATTTTTTTTCGAAATTTTTTTTTTCACGGGTATGCACAGTGCCTCACAGCTTAGGAAAATCGGCAAAACCCCTAAAATCAATGTTTCTGAATCAATTTCAACCTTTTTTGGCTCAAAATCTATATATAAATTTGGCTTGTCTGTCTGTTTGTCTGTTTGTCTGTCTGTCTGTTTGTTTGTATCCAATAAACGTCAAAACGGCTGAACCGATCGGGCCAAAATTTTTTGTGGGACATCTAGGGAGCCCAGGGAAGGTTTATGAATGATCAAAATTTCAAATATTTGTCTCCATCAAAATTCGATCTTCATTAAATTTTTGAAAATTAAAAAAAATCCACGAAATTTTTTGTGAAAATCCGCGAATTTTTTCGTTTTGTTTTACGATGTACACAAAGAGAACATGTTCACAATTAATTTAGAAGATGGGCGCGAAGCGCCCTATAAGGCTAGTACATTAAAATTGAATAAGTAACCAAACCCAAGTCAGAAAATAATTTTGCACACTTTTTGCTATAGATTTTTAATATTCCTTTTCTCAAAAATGTGCTACTTCCGGGCGGTTTTTTTGCGGGCATTCATGTATATATTCAAGATAAAAAGAGTTTTTGTCACTTTTTCCTTGTTCTGAGGAACAATTTAGAATATATATATATATTTATTAATATCACTATTATTATTATTATTATTTTTATTATTATTTCAGGCCCTATTGAGAGTGAAAACAGATAGTAGAGGATTAAAGGAAGAACTACCCTCAGAAGATGATCCGCTGGTAGAGTGTTGATTATTCTTAATCTATTAAAATAATAACATCCCACCCTGCTGCCTTCGGAAAGCTTGAAATTGAGTTTAAAAGATCGAAGATGAAAAGTACTTTTTACAAAGTCACATTTTCTCATTCCTGTTTCTTTGCATGGCCACCTGATATAAACCTTTGATATTGTACTTACATTATTTAAGCTTACAGAATTGCAAGTTTTTATATCTAAGACTTATGACATTAGGTTGCTAAGAAGTATGGATTGAGATTCAACTACTATATTTATACTTACATTTACAAAATTGATGATTTCAATTGTGGTTTTCCTATGATGGTGAATATTCTAATTTACGGAGGGGGGGGGGGGGATTATGCTTCCGGAATTAATCATTAAAGCAGTTTTAATTAATCTTACTATTTTTAGTTAAGTATGCTGCTCTGTCTTCAAGAAGCTGCTCTTTACAGTGAAGAATCTAACAGAACCAGCAGCAATAGTATTCATAAAAACAGCTTTTCAGATCTAGAAAATACGGAGGGAAATGAAGAAGTTACCAAAGACAGTGATTCTAATTAAATAATTGACGATTTGGGTTTTTCAAAGAAGCAAACTTTAGTAAATAGGGGTCATTTTAATGTAATTGTACAATGTAAACGAAATCTAAAATGCATTTATCCGACCCAGTCCAATTTTTTAAGGCAATATCATTAAAAAAATGCCTCTAACTGTAATGGAAAGTGTGTTAAGGAGGTTTAAAATCAAAAATTAAAAGTACTTGCCAATACAAATTAAATAGTTTCTGTATTTGAAATTATTTTGCTATCAATATTTAAGGACTTTCTATACATGTCAATTTTAGATTTGTAGTTTGTTGGGCTTTACTCAAATCTCAAATTTAGGGGTTATGATAACTGAAAGATTGTTATTTTTGGTAACAATAACAGTTTCAAGAATTCCCAAGGGCTTTTAGGGCTCTTTTGTGAGAATTTAAGCTCATGTGATCTACCAGAGGCCGAATTTAAAGAATTTGAGCCACGTCTCAAATTTAAGCCGCGGTTCAAACATGTTTGTTCCACTTGAAATTGTATTTAGTGTTTCGAGATTTGAGCCGGTGCTCAATTGAAACCGGTTTTTGGCGGTTCAGCGACGCGGTTTAAATTCTTTAAATTCGGTCTCATTTTATGTAAAGAGCTTTAAATATTCTAATAATGCCATCAATGATTCACAAGGGCACAAAGTAAGTTTTCTTCTGAATAGTGATAACGGAAAAATTGCTGCTTCCTACAGGTTTATAATAGGACAAAACTTGGCATATTTAATTGTTTGCTTTTTTCTTAATTGTTTGCTTATTTTTACATATCTCCGTCAGTGACGTGGATTTCTAGAGCAAAATTTTTCAGAAAATTGTCACCGCTTGTAGACAAAATGTTGACGGTCAATTAGAATGACGTCAGCAGCACATTGTTACAATATTTTATCTGTGATATGTCATGAACAAACTGATCATAAAAATGTCATTTAATTACTCAAAAATATGTTTAAAATTGTTTTTATTTTATACTCGAAATGTTGTTTTAGTTAATCACGTAAACCATTAACAAAATGTTTTAATAAAAACAGTTAAAGGGACTGTATACGTAATTTTAAGGTACCCTTTATTTGTAAAGGGGTACACCCGATTCACAACGGTATCCTTAATATTACCCTTGTCTAAACAAATGAAGGAGTTCTGAAACGTATTTTTTTCTCGTTAAAAATAAATTGTATTAAATTTTGACCGGTTTTCTACAAAAGTGACTTGTATATTTCACTGCTTTAGAAACAGTGCAGGAAATTATCAGAATTAAAACCTTTCCTATCTATTATTATCCCATCCTCAGTATTGATCAGATTACGGTTTAAGGGTACAGTTGTGACTTTGCTATTTTAAAAGTGGAGGATCATTACTGCATGTTACGTCTAGAGGCCATTTAACGCCGGGTGTTTCAAATTCATCTTTGCCTAAATTTAAAACACGCTTTTCCGCCTTTTACAATACATTTTCTTTAATTACCAAAAAAAGTTTAAATGTAAAAGGAATTGAGTTTTTGCTTCAATCTCTGAATTTCTAATACCAATATCTTTGCAACACAATGTCGTAGATCATAGATAATTCAAACTATTATGAATTCTATAAAATCAAATAATCTAACTAGGGATTATAAAATCAGAGTTTGTGGTAACTGGTAAAATCTAATTTCCTTTGTAAATGTATTTTACACATTTTATAGCTATATTAGAATTTTACAGTTAATTATTAAATGAAAAATAAAAAATGTGTGTAATATGTTATTATACATATGTATAGAAAAGATGTATATTAAATCCTTTGAAAAAAAAATATTTCTTTAAGTGAGAACAGTGAATAATTTTTTTAATTCTAAAGAGAATATTTATTTTTTGTAAAAATGGGAAAGATTTAATCTTACATTTCACATAAACATTTTTATGAGACTATGATGTACTTAATATTTTTTGCTAACTTCATGGTACATTTTATTTTAGACTTTCTATGTAAAGTAATCATTGTGCTACAATGTTAAAAGAGCTATACATTAAGATTCACGGGCAGCCGCTGTACATTTGAATTTCCGAGCCGGGCCAACCTTTTTGGTCCCAGTTTGTACTATACCTTACTCTATTGACAGGACTAGCCGGTACAACAAGGTTGACGCGGTCAGACTTTATATGCTTCATATAGGTTGAATTTACTTTTACCAAAGGGGCAGAGGTGCGTGTATTCCGATTAGTGGTTCCTGGATTTTCTCAAAAAAAGTTCAAATTTTTCAAGAATGATATTTTTAATCTACACTATTGTATCTGCAGGTTATGTGCGATTTTTTTAATAAAATTATCTAACAATTAAGGATCATACCTTTTTGATAAGTAAAGAATGTCTGTCCCAAAGCTTAAAGCGTTATTATGAATTATATTTACTCTCTACAAACTTTAATATTAAATATTCTGATTATCATATTTTCAATCTAAAGTAGGATATCGTGTTCCATTAGATTTTTCAATATCATGTTCCATTACATCTTTTCAATCTAAGGTCGGAGATCATGTTCCATTAGAATTTTCAATTTCATGTTTTATTACATCTTTTCAATCTAAGGTTGGATATCATGTTGCATTCCATGTTCTATTGCATGTTTCATTGCATGTTTCATTGCATGTTTCATTGCATGTTCCATTTCATGTTTCATTGCATGTTCCATTGCATGTTCCATTGCATGCTTCATTTCATGTTCCATTGCATGTTTCATTGCATGTTCCATTGAATGTTCCATTCCATGTTCCATTCCATGTTCCATTCCATGTTCCATTCCATGTTCCATTCCATGTTCCATTCCATGTTCCATTCCATGTTCCATTACATGTTTCATTTTATGTTTATCAATGTATATTTTTTATTCCAAATATGACATAATATTTTTATCAAATAGATAAAAAAGACTAAAATGCCAAAAAAAAGGTTCTCGGAAAACAACCTTTTTTAAACATTTTTTACTGAGCATCGCTAACGTCAATACCCAGGAACCAATAAATATTATATTCGTAATATCTGACCATCTAAAAGAGCAACCTTTGCATGACTAGATTTGATCTGCTATGAGTTTGAATATTGTATCATATATCGTCAGTCCCCCTGGAATATATCTCAAGGTAGGTTGTAGGAAACCTGGGAATAGTCTGAACTATGGAATCTAAACTTTTACTGAGTTTTACATGTTTTCTTGAATTCTTAATAACACGACTCTATCATGGTTTCTTGATTCTATTTAAGTTTTTGATTTAATTATGGTTTCTTGAATCTATCATTGTTTCCTGATTCTATCACAGTTTCTTGATTCTTTGACATTTTTTCGATTCTCATGGCCGGGAAAGATCGGAATATATGTAGCAAATATCGTGAAAACATGATATTCTGTAAACGTGCAGTATGTTGTATATTATTAACAATTTATGTTGTAGACCTATCCATAATGACATTATTCTTATAAACTACGTTTCCATGGAATATGTAATGTGCCTGGATAGATACGTTTCGAAAACTTGTTACGGAGGTGTTTACTACAAAAGTGGTAGCAGTGGCGTTAATCAGATCAAGGAATCCCGAGTAAATACAAGGAGCAATGAAGCAACAAGCTGTGGACAGTGTAACTAGAGTGTAACAGTGGACAGTTTTAAATTGTTCCACAGGGGACACAGTGAAGAACCAGACCAAATATGTAGGAAACCGAAACAGCGGGTGGAAACCTTTAATACAAAGAATTAGAAGCCCTGAGGAAGATAATGGGACAAGAACTTAAATACTATACTATGATGAAGAAATTGGAACGAGGATTAAGAAAACAGAAAAATATCCAAAAAGTAAGAAAAATGATGGAACAGAACAAGAAGATGGATTAATCACAACAGCGTATGGAATATCTACAGAAACAGTAGAACAAGTAGAAACAGGGGAAGAAACCGAGGATACATATTACGAGATGTGTGAAATAGTACAAGAGAAAGAGTACAAGATTTCATTAAAAGAGCTCCCAAATATGATGGAAATCCAGAGACAATGTTCGAATGGTGCAAAAACTTGGAAACTCACCTGCTTAACAAAGACTGGGAAACAATCCAAGATAAAGATCTAAAATGGATGTCACAGGTGTCACAGAAGCAGCTAGAAGAGAGATAATACCGTTTGTTTCAACTAGGAGCAGCATTTCAGCAATTGAAGAAATGATAAGGAGATTCTCACAAAAGAAATATGATGATAGCAAAAGACAGGAATCATTAGACAAGAAACAGAGAGAAGAGGTTGAGACCAGAAGAGCTCAGGCAGACAAGATGAAACGGAAACAGGAATACATAAGCAGGAAACAGGAAAGTGGTGAAGATACCCGAGAACATTTGCTGCCAAAGAAGAGTTATAGTTACAAGCATATGCTCCAAACAAGAGGAGCCTGTTGAATTTAAGATTGAAATGCTCAAGGGACTGTATGATGCAGAGTTGAAGGAAACATGCCTGTTTTTTATGCCTAAGGAACCAAAACAGAAAAGAGATATTGAGGCAGTACTAGACCAAGAGTTAGCTCCTGATAGACACAAGTTCAAAACCACATATAGCAATAATTTTGAGATGATAGAAAACATCAAGAGAGCGGATAAATGTAAGAAACAAGAAACAGCAACACAAATAGTTCTGGGAAGACAGGAAACAGCAAGAATATTATAGAGTTGGACAAAGTTAACCACACGAAAAGGAAGAATACTGAGGTAAAGAATATTTCTGATAGTTGAAAAATCAAGACTTAAAATCCTGAAATCCCTGGAACCCAGAAATGTCCCTAAAAAATACAAGAATAGTGATGGGTTGGGAAAAGGTTCTGTATCTGAAGAGAAGAAATCGGGCAGATGATGAGTAAGGAAAAGAGAGAGTGGGTTGATCATGGCAAAGAACTGAGTTGGATAGATAGGTTGGTGAGTGAGGAGGATAAAGCTAAAATTGAATCCTTACCGAGGGATCAGGAGTTTTTAACATTGATGGAAATTAAACACAATTTGTTCATCAGATGGGATAGGGGGAATCAGACAGTAAATCTCAGCAAGGGTATGGTAATACAACAAGAAATAACAATGTCTTGCTGAAAACAAGCAGTGAATCCTATACTGGAAGTCAGAGAAAGAGAACCGGAAGACTTTGAAGGAACCATGCTACCGGAAAAGCAAGAATCAGGACAGAGAAGAATATTTTAAGGAAATAATCCTAGTTTATCAGACAATATCCAAGCTGCACGTATGAAGAAACAAGTCGAGAAGAATAAAGAGAATTATGAAGATTTTAGAACCATTGCCGAGAGTTGAATGATCAGGTAGAAAGAAAACAGGAAAACAAGAACTCCAACAAATCAATGGAACCAGAGAAACAGGATTCCAGTCAAGAACTAATATTGCAGAAGAAAACTGAGGAGTTATCAGGCAACAGACAAAGAACCAAAGAAACAGGAGAATACATTAGCAGAAACAATAATTGATCAAAAATCAGATTGTTTCACAGAAGAGAGTTAGAAGACATTTATTCATAAAAACCTCCAGACAAATGAAAACAAAGATAGTGAAACAAGATGGGAAGTTGACAGAGGAAGCAGTCAAACTTTTTAAATTCTCTGGGATGGAGCCAACCCCTATAAACATGACGGAGAAACAAATATGGAAGGGGACCCAGCAGAAACAGCTACGGAATAGAACAGAAAAATATCGAATACGAAGAAATACGGCTGGATTTGAGATCAAGAGAAACATCAAGACCAGGAGAAACACCAAGAGCGTTACATGAAGACAAACATGTTGAGTACTAACACAGAAAAACCAATACCTAGAGTGGAAATAAGGTCGGAAGACACAGAAAAACCAGTACCTAGAGTAGAAACAAAGTCAGAAGAAAAGAGCCAAAACCAAAAGATAAGAAAAAAAAACAAGATAAAATAAGAGGAATTGCTGAGTCAAGGAAGTTGGTAAAGAGAAGGAAAACCGACAAGAGATCGAACGTTGAGAGAAAAGGGAAAGTAAGAAAGTTCAAACTAAAAATATGGAAAACGTGATCCAAAGACCCAACATGTTATGAAAAATCCACAGCTGTATCCAGAACAAATAAGGATTTAGACAGGCCCAGCAAGGAGAGTAAGAAAATTAACCTGCTTCAAGAGAATTAACCAGGAAGTTGAGAGAGACAACAAGCAGAGGAGAAGGGATTAAGAGTAAATCTTACAGATGTGAAAACAGGTTCTAACCCTCCTACTCTCACAGCTCTAGCTGAGAACTCAGTTGTGAAAACAGGTTTAAACCCTACTACACTCACAGCAAGTACTATGAGAACCCCAAGAAGGAGTACAATTCATGCAGAAGTCCCTGAAGAAGATCAATCATGAGAAGGAGTGCGACATTGGTACTGATCACCAGTGCAAGGTGGAAAATGTCCAGTAATGTAAACAGGTTCCTAGTATACAATCCTGTCTGCAATGGTATCCATAGTGATGAAGTGACCTCTATGCCGTGCAAGGAGGTTCTCATAGAAAAAGGTTTGGATGAACCAAAACAACCCTGTCAACAGGTTCCCAAGGAGGAAAAGGTTAGGCTGAACCTACTCAAGTATACCAGAATATTCCCAAGATGGTGTTCCAGATTGTTCCAAAGGAAAAATCTTGGGACAAGCCTAGACAAGAATGACATGATGTGCCAAGGGAAGAGTGATTGAGGTTCTCAGAGGGTAATGTTCCTGTATGAAGCCCTGTACACCATGAATCCTGCCAGGATGTTACAGGACAGATTTATAAATTGGTTCCTAGACAAAAATGCTACAGTAATTGTTATAGAGTAGGTGTTTACTGCATATATATCATGATTCTTTTATTTATCATGATTAGGAAAATATTTAAATATATAATGATTCCTATATTTATCATAATTAGGCCAATGTAGGAATATATATCAAAATTCCTATGTGTATCATGATTAGGCCAATATGGGAATATATATAATGATTCCCATATTTATAATGATTAGGCCAATATGGGAAAATATATTATGATTCCCATATTAATCATAATTAGGCCAATGTAGGAATATATATCATGATTCCCATATTTATCATGATTAGGCCAATATGGGAATATATATCATGATTCCCATATTTATCATAATTAGGCCAATATGGGAATATATATAATGATTCCCATATTTATCATGATTAGGACAATATGGGAATATATATATCATTATTAGAACAATAGGGAAATATATCATGATTCCCATATTTATCATAATTAGGCCAATATGGGAATATATATCATGATTCCTTTATTTATAATTATTAGGTTAGGCCAATATGGGAATATATATCATGATTCCTTTCTTTATAATTATTAGGTTAGGACAATATGGGAATATATATCTAGATTCCTATATTTAGAATTATTAGGTTAGGACAATATGGGAATATATATCAAGATTCCTATATTTATAATTATTAGGTTAGGACAATATGGGAATATATATCAAGATTCCTTTATTCTTTTGCCTCCTACCCTTGACAGCTGGGCAAACCTTGACTGGGTTTCATTTTATGGACAACAATGTAAGTATCATCATCTTAATAAATAGTGTAATGCTTTCTTTGCCAGAAAAATGTGAGATTTTTAATAGAAAATGCTAACTCTACAATGTAAATATGAAAAATATAAAAAAACAATTTTCCGAACTTTTTTTTCATAAAAAGTCTGGAATAGTAAAAGAACATGGCATGGAGGTCTAATCATCTATGAAAGCCGGGAGGGGGGGGGGCTGCTTTCCACGCCCACCCTCCCCTAGATAAAAAACCTTAGAGTAAATTGCTAACTTTAACATTGAGGGTGCCAGGAAGGTTTGAAAAAAAAACAGAAAGGTCAGAAAATTGTAAAAACCTTTTTTTGTTATTGACAAATATTAGTAAATTAACCGCAAACTTGAACAATGTAAGTTTCAGGAAGGTTTGAAAAATAGCAAAAAAAAGCATCAGAAAAATGTAAAAACAATTTTTTTATTATTGATAAATTTTGATATGTGACACATGATTCTAGATGAATTATTCAAGAGCTTTTTAAGAATATTGTTTTCAGATCTTTAGCTTTATTTTTAAAAAATAGGCTATTTTAGAATTTTATTTAAATAGACTGGAATTTTTACCGCTCTGAACACTTTATCTTTATGATATGAGTATCATTTCGTCTNTGTTGAAGTGTTAAAGTGTTGAAGTGTTGAAGTGTTGAAATGTTGTTGTATTGAAGTGTTGAAATGTTGAAGTGTTGAAGTGTTGAAATGTTGAAGTGTTCAAGTGTTCAAGTTCAAAATAACATTAATAATTTTTTATGTCTGGTTCAGTCATGAAAATGTCCGGAAATTTATCAAAATTGCACTCAATATTAAGGACTTAAAAAATGCTTACCAGGCAATTTAGGTTTCGGTCCTAAGTGTAAAATCAAGCGACACATTTTTTAGAATTAGACGAGATGATACTCTATCCTACTTTATGCATTAAAGATTTATTTTTTACAAAATAATCCTTTAACTTAATTTTCATGAAAAGTCAACAAAGTTCAAGGTGAAAGTTTAAAAACTGAGATATTTAGGGTTAGGTCTGAAAGGTTTCTTAAGCCAGATTTAAAAAATTTGGGTACTACAATCTACAAAAATCCGATTTTGTTAACCCTTTTACACTAAATGGTATATAAATTACAAATTGATAAAATATCTTAAATTTTTCAAATCTCATAAGTTGACATATCAAAGGTCTGCTTTTAGATTTAAAAGTAATAACATTTATTCAGGGAGTTACTTTCAAATTTTTTTTCCAAAAAAATATTTAATTTTTTTGGCTTAAATTTCAGCTGGAGGAAAGGTTTGGCCCTGATAATGGCTTTGTTACAACCGTAACAAATATTACAGAGCCCAGACAGGTGATAAACAAACACTCAGTTTATTTTTTAACAATTATTTTTGTAATTTTTAAGATAAATGCTACATAAAAAAATCATAATTCATTAACATAAAGTAAAAGTCACAATCCTTCCGTCATTCACAGTCTACATTTGCTATATAGTTTCTTGTTTTTGGTTCCTATTTCCTTGTTCCTAATTTCTAGTTCCTTGTTCTTAGTTCAAAGCAATTATGGAAAAAATTGATGTGAGATTCACCAGTTTAACACGCTGCTGCACTTTTCTTTGATTCTAAAACCTTCGATTCATTTCCCATAGCGGGCCGACTGTACAATATTCATACAAACTGTACAGTATTCATACAAACTGTACAGTATTCATACAAACTGTACAGTATTCATACAAACTGTACAGTATTCATACAAACTGTACAGTATTCATACAAACTGTACAGTATTCATACAAACTGTACAGTATTCATACAAACTGTACAGTATTCATACAAACTGTACAGTATTCATACAAACTGTACAGTATTCATACAAACTGTACAGTATTCATACAAACTGTACAGTATTCATACAAACTGTACAGTATTCATACAAACTGTACAGTATTCATACAAACTGTACAGTATTCATACAAACTGTACAGTATTCTTACAAACTGTACAGTATTCATATAAACGACAAGAAGACAAAACGGGACAAAGCTGGTATTTGAAACCTGCTTAATTTCTATTTTTGCACTCTAAGGGAGAAAAAGAGAAAGCTCGAGTTGAGTTTATGAATTAGTTTGGATACTCGGCGTTGCCGAAGTTTTATTCTACTATTCATAGTCATATGTTATCACACCGCTTACCTGCGTTCCGTATTAAATTATGATTTGAGATGAAGGGCTAGATGCTGCCTGTGGAAATTCAAAAATTCAAACAGAAAACTATGCATGGAATAGGAAGACAACTTTTAAATTTAACTTTTAACTATACATAGTCCAATGCAAGAATACAAGAATTGTTCAGTGTAAACAGACCAATTTCGCTTTATTTGTGATTTAATAATTGTCTAGTAAAACTAATTTCTTAGTGACAAACATCAAATACACTTAAATATTGCCATAAATATTGCCTTTGAAAGGGGTGAATATTTTTCACTAATTGCTTTAAATTAATCGTTGATTATAGAAATTAGAAACTTACTGATCTTTCCTAAAAAAAAAGATTTGTTCAAGACAAAATTACTTCTGTTTGATCATGCTTAATGCTTGAGTATAGTGTGCTTTAATGAACTGCAAACCATGTGTATTTTCGTTAACATACTTTCCATGGACTTTTTTCTAATATGTTTCTTCCTCTGATTCATTGTCTTAAAACTTTAATGGCTGTTTTGGTATAATATCCGGAAGAGACGTCCAAAATGAATTTCCCTAAAAAGGACCATGGTTCATTTGGTGTACCGTCCCGTTTTGCCTGGTATAATCTGCATTGTTTACTGTACAACTCGATCTAGCTGGCAATATGTCGGCCAGGTCCTTGAAATGGACCGGACGTAACAGTGGTCCTTGGTAAAAAAAGGATTTTTTTCAAATGACTTTTAAGATGGATTCTAATCATTGTTTTATTGCAGTTAAGCTTCTGTGTCTGGAGCTATGCTGAGTTTGACCGTTTCGGAGATCAGATCCCAGTTATAGAGTTCTATAGGCTAAATGAAACTGCAAGTCCCTTCATATCACTGCTAGGTGGGGCATTACTGCTGATTTCAAGCTATTGGTTTGTTTATTGCAAATATGAATTGTTTCCTATCGGTCCATTGCATCGTATATATTACTCTTTGTCATTACATTTTTCTATCTATTGGATTATGTCATTTTATTGCTAATATCCTTGTTGTTTGTCATTTAATTGCTAATATCTATTATTGTGTGGCATTTTGTTTCTAATATAAAACTTGAAAAGAATTCAGTATTAAAAAGCCAAGATTGAGTGGAATAACAAAGCATGGTTGCACACACACTATATTTTACATTATAAGGATACAAACAAAAAGTTGATTTAAATATACAGGACATTCACCTGGGGCCAACATATTTCCATTTGACTCTTTGGATCAGATGCTTCATGCTAACTAACTAGTTCTAGGGGACTCCGGATAAGATGGCCGACAATCTGCTTTCTCTGCCTGCAAGATAAATGCCGTTTTACTCCTTTTCCAGCATCAATCTTATCCTAGCTGCCCTTAAACCGCCCTTTAAATGGGACCATTTGCTATCTTTAGATAAGAAAGGGGGCTCAATACCCTTGTCCACCTACACTGTTATGTATTTAAGGTTGCAAACATACTCTGAGTTCAATACCCTTTTGGACTGGATCTGGATTGTTTTGCTTTTTTCTTGTTGCATTTGTTATGGATCATTTCTCCTACCAGGCAAGAAAGGATCAGAAAATAAAAAAGCATTACTACTCTTTTTATTTAAATTGCAAACACTAATTGGTATCCACTTTCCTTTCCTTGCAGGAAGTATTATTAAATTTTTGACTTTTGTGATTAAAACCTTTTTCTCCCCAATGGCATGAATCTTCTTTTTCCGTTTCATTGGCGTCTTGGTTGTCAGAGTAACTACTACTCTCCCATCAGGCTCTACTTCCTGCCCTGCTTCCTGGTCTACTTACTGACCTACTTCCTGACCTACTTCTTGACCTACTTTTTACTGTGTATCCTGACTTGTTGTCTTATTAATTTTGATACTCCCTGTCCATTCTATCTTTTTCAGAGATGCTGCTCTGGTTCTGGTTGATGATCTGCTATCCCTTGATGTGTGCCTTCTCCTTGTTGACGGAGGGCCCATTGGCTGAGGAGTTTTCTCCTGGAGAGGAATCAAAATTTTCTACTGTATTGGTTATTCTTCCTGATTTTCTGTTTCATGACACTTATAAACCTGTTGTTGACAATGCTGTCTCTTCTGTAATCCTTAATTCTCCAATCTCATAAACATTAAGATGAATATTAAAATCTAAGAATTTAGGTTGAAAGAAATTGTTTTCTATAATTTATTTCTATTTCTTCTTGATATTATTGAAATATTGATTATCAAAATTTAATATTTTTCAAAAATCTACAAATTGTACACCCCCTTTTTTAAGGTACGGAACGGGGGTATGGAAACGTTCTTTGACTAAGAACGGAACGAGAGGGATGGAACCGTTCTTTAAATAAGAACGCCAAGAACGGAACGGAACGGGGAGACTGTTCTTCTCAGAACAGAACGGAATGGGACGGAACGGAATGTAACGGAACGATACAACAAAAAAGGAACGAGAATGGAACGATTTATCTGAAGGCCCTCGTTCTAGAACGGAAGGGAAAGATTTCAAAAAAGTCAGAACATGCTCAGCCCTAGTCTGAGTTTGTGATATGAGCTGTACACTCTTAAGGATTAGGAACATTTATTTCCTTTATTTTTACTTGAACTTGATTCACTATTTCCATAATCTGTAAAAAACCAGACCATTTCACTTGGAGCTTTTGGGAGTTACCAATTGGAGGGAGCACAGCTCCATAAACTAAATTGTTTATCTTGAGTTCATCAATTGGTTTTGAATAACATGATCTTGTCTGCGCATCAGGTTGATGATCCCGTCCAGCCAGATCCAGGGCATCATCTCTAAATTTGGCAGCAAGGAAAGGTGAGGCAGGTTCGTCTTTCTTCCTAAAAATAAGCCCACGGGACTGCACAATGAAGAATAGTTTTGTGTCACGTTCTATGCAAGACTTAATGTGGGTAAACTTTTAGATCTCCCCATAAGATTTCGATGCTTTTAACAAGGACCACAATGTTTTATGAAATCTTTCTACAGGGTTGGACCAATATGAATAAGAGGTCGCCACTTTAATTTTTATATTTAATTGCTACTCATCATAGAAACAGTCACAGAGTTTTTAAACTCCAGTCCCGTGTCAGTCCTGATTTTTGTCAGAGTCCCATACAAGGCTATCAAATGAGTCAGGATCGTTGTTGAGTCTGTCTTTGCTGACTTATCGGGAATAGGGACCACAGCACAGAAATGATCAAGCATTGTTAAAATATACTTATTTTTATTTGTTGACAATGTTAGTTCACTGACAAGGTCCATGCACAAGCAGCATCGATGTTTTTTACACCATCCTCAAAAGTTTCAACATTTTTAAAATTTACCTCTTCTCTGTGCAGGCAAACTGCATGTTCTGTTAAAAAGGATCTGTGTCCTTTCTCTACTCTGGCCAGTAGAAAACCTTTTGAACCTATTGCTTTGTTCACTGTACTCCCCAGTGTTCATTTGTGTGTACTCCCAGGACCTGATACCTGTGCGAGGGTGGGAGGACAATTCTCATCATTGGTTTGGCCATTCTCTGAGATCAAGTGTCCCAAGTACGCAACTTCTTGCCTAAAAAGAATTGTTTTATCTGCATTCAATATAATTCCAGCCTCTCTGTGTGTCTGAAAAACTGTTTTAAGCAATTTAAGATGAGTTTTAAGGATTATCAGTATGAATTGACAAGTTGTCAAGGTAGGCAAGTACTCAGTCCTCCCACAACAATTCAACTAACTGCTGTACTAAATGACAATACCTGGCCCCTGCACTTTCAAGCCAAAAGGCAAATGGGCAAACTGCCAGAAGCCAAAGGCTGTAGCAAATGCAGTTAAAAGGCAGGACTTTTCTTCTTCCGGAATTGCATGATAAGCTTGAGGGAGTCTAATATATCACTGATATTTGGGGTTGGATAGGAGTCCGAGTCTGTTACTTTAATGACCTGGCGAAAGTCAACACACCATCTGACTGCTCCTGATTCTTTGTGACCAGTATCAAAGGTGATGACTAGGGTGACTTTGAGGGTTCAATAACCCAACAAACAATAACAAAAGAACAGAAGATTTTCTGGTGTATTTGACACAAGTGGCCCATGAATATAACGTGATAATTCATGTGTTGTCAAGGTGAATGTCGATTATTTGATCACAGGTCTAGAACCGAGTTTTTGCACAGAGAAAACTTGAGTTTATTTTATGAGATGTACACGGGATTTTTACATGAGAAAATTCTTTTTCTCCCATCTACTTAAATCTAAAATTTCATTTTTTAAATCCTGTGAAAAGGGGGGGGGGGATGTATTGTATAGTTGATTTCGGATATATATAAATTTAGTGAAAGTATATAATCATAAAAAAATATGTAGAAACTAAACAATTTAGTTTATATCTTTAAAATTAAACATTTTGAATGTGTAAACTTTTATTGAGCAATATTCACAAAGTGATATTTTAAGTCTACACAATGTTCAACTATGTTAATGTGTTCATAGTTACATGGAAGTCCCTTCCTTATTATATTTAAAAGATGGATATTCCAAAAAGGGGTTGTTGAGAAATACAATACAAAATTCAATGTAAAACTTTTCTATACTTTGCTCATGCTTGTTTTAATCTGAAAAATTCTTGTCAATTATAATATTTCATTTTTCTACAATATACTTTTAGTTTCTAAAAGATGAGCAGAGACACCAAGTGTTGTGATTTTGCAACTATATCAAAAATGAAAAATGAAGTTCTTCCAATAATATCTAATATATTCTACATATGATATTTACAAAAATTTAAATCTATTTATTCTGGCGTACATTAAAATGATGAACATGTTGGGAAAATGCAAGATCTTGATCTGGTATCTTTGCTACGAGCACAATATGTGAAAAAACGACGAGAATCAAGCTAGAATTATCTCATATATCAAACACGGGATAACTTTAAAAATTAAAATCTAGGTATGTTGGCATTGCATTACTTGTGTTTAACACTGAGAATATGCAAGATCTTGCACTCATATCTTTTCTATGAGCACATGTGAATTATCAACCATGCTAATCTCGTCAAAAACCTGACTTTTGTTTGTTGTCAACTTCATCAAGAATCCAGTCTGTGAACTGTTTTTTTTAATTTTCACAAAAGGGTAGGGGAAGGGCTAATGGTCTTCCTCTTTGACATATCAGTCTCAAATTGGGCAAGAGCTCAATGTATCCCATGATGTTTTGCCCACATGACAATTTTTGTTGGTAAAGACATCCAGGTATTCATTCAACATATTGTATAAAAATTCTTACTACTTTCTGGAACTTGTTTGAGAATTTCATTGTTTTCTAGATTTAAATCTTTCCACAATGTATCTGTTTCAACCCCTGGTTGGGTTCAAACTAATATCTATTGAATTGTGTCATGTTATTTCTGATATATATTGTTTTGTGTCGTTTTATTGCTAACATCTATGTGTCATTTCACATTATATTTAGGGTTTCCATACGCAAAACTTTTGCCCAATTTTTGCTGAACGAAACGCAAAATTTTTCTTTCTTTTTGCATCAGTTTTGCGGGAAAAAACAATAATTTGCGCAATCATTCCCAAAAGTCATTTCGCGCAAAATTGCCCTATTCCGCTTTTGCAAAACTCAAGTTTTGCGCAATTCCGCAATTCGTAAAAATCAAACAGTTGGTGACGGTGTGTGTTTCTTAGAATTCAATTCTGGAAAAATCTTGTTTTGGAATGTTTTCCTATTGGTCACTTTTACATAATTGACCAATGACAGTTTAGAAGAGTTCTAATCTCACAGGCGCGCACCTTATTCACTTGAAATTGTTTAATAGGATTAAAATATTGCCAAGTTTCACACTCTCTAATTTCTATTTTATTAATTTTGGTCCCTTAATTTAAACTTTTTTTAACTGGAAGTAACCAATTGAGTGTAGTATAATCGTTATCATACTCGTATGTTAATATTTTTTTATGTATGGAATAAATCTTCAGTTGTTTAATTCTAAGCTTCGAATATCAATTTTTGACAATTTGCCTAAAAAGTTACAATTGCACAAAAAAAAATTGCGCAAAACTAAAATCTCGTTTCATGCACAACTCTAAAAAATATTTCCGGTTTTGCGCAAATTGCACAAAAAAAATAGTGCAAAACTGCAGAAAACTCATCGCTTTTTGTACACAAAAATGGCGCAAAAGTTCACGAAAAAAAAATTTTGCCTGAAAGATTTACTCATTTTGTGGAAACCCTAATTATATTGCTGATATCTTTTATCTTTGTTTTGTTTTCAATATATTGCTAACATATTGTGTTTCGTGTTATTAATATTGCTAATATCTTATGTTTATTTTATTGAATTTATTGTCGTGTGTTTAGTGTTTTCAAATATGTTATAATTGTTATCTTTACAGTGAAACAAGATGCAGGAAAATCTAGGATTAATATCGATGGTGTCGGATCTTGGCATTTTAAGGTAATATTAAATACGATAAAGTTTCAGAAGTTTATATTTTAAGCCAACAAATAAGCTTTGGAAGTAATTTCTCTTTACACATGATTAAGTTTGTTACTCGGTCTAAAAAACCAACAAAAAATTGATAGTTTTTCCCGCCTCCCTTACCCCAACACATTATTCTTTATCATTATCTATACATTATCATTATTACATTATCATTATCATTATATACATTATCATTATTACATTATTACATTATCTATAGTTTTAAAAGTTAGAAGTGTTCAGTTGCATAATCTATAATGTTTGTAAAATAAGAACACTTTTGATTTTTCAAACTGTCAAACCGTCATTTTAGAAAAAATGATGGATTACAACTAACAAACTGTTCGTTTTCCAGTTCTTTTAAACGAATGATTTAGAACTCATTAGAAACAGTCTGACTGGTCAGTTATAAAGAACTATAGTTTTTTATTTTCTTAAACGATCCAATTTGTTCGTTCATTGTATATTAATTTTTCTAAAGAATACAATTATTAATTTTTTTGTCCATTCACTAAATTGATTCCCACCTCGAGTCTTGTAAATATAAATACTTTTTCAGAAAGTTTCTGCCGCAACAGAAAGAATATGGAACCGTATTTGTGTCTCAATAGACATGGTTGGAAATATTATTGTGATGTATCTCGATGGAAAATCAGATTTTGGAGAAATAAGGATGCTTGGGAAAGTCTGATTTTAAAAATTCTTGTTATATAGAAAAATTCATTTCATGGATAAAACAGAAAAAACTGGTTTTTATATAAAGGAGGTGGTAGCTGTTTGGCCCTTACACTTATTGTGTATTTTGGTTTTATAACACAAATATAAAAACAAATAATATTTATTTTATTTATTTATTTTCGTAAACGTACACAATTTAAATAATTGGTACAATTAAACAGAAGAAAAAAGAACTATAAGAGAATATATCAAAAATGAATACAAATACAAGAAACAAAATCATACTGTAATTAGGCCGTGCATATAAAATTAATAATATCGTCAATCTCAGTTGGTCAACTCCATTGATAACAATCTTATTGTTTTTGCAGAAATTAATTCATTTAAAAATGGAATCCTCCATTCTTCTTCCAAGGGTATTTCTTGAAATATCATACAATTTTTTACAATACGTTTGTCGATAATATTCAAATCTTTGTTGCATTTGTCTGCAATATTTCTCAGATTTTTTGCAGTTACTGACCTTTGATCAAATTTTAAAAGATTTATCAAAATATACCAGGGGTGTCAAATAAGTATTTTTAGTTTTTTTGATTGAGGGCCAAAATCTGTACTCTAGAATTTTAAAAGTTAATAAATGCTTGATTTTTTAATTAAGATGCACTTCTGTTATATATTTTATAAAAAAAGAATTTGTGCGATTGGATAAGGAAATAATCAAAGTTTTTGATTCCAAAAAAGTCAGACAAAAGGGTTTGTCTACTAGAGTTGCTCAGACATCAGGCTATTAGCTAATTTTTATTTGACATTTCTACTAAGTTTGTACTTCACCAGATAAGTCGGCCAGGATATAGAAAGGTGCATACAAACGACATGATTTATCGATTTACGGGTACAGGTTATGTAACGTTCTTTTCATTGAAATATAAATGATTTTAAGGGGAAATTCTTAAATGATTGCAATCAAAATATTTTTGTTGAATTTCACAGCTATTTTAACATAAAATCTTATAATTCAATGATAGTGTTTAAAGTAAAAAAAAAGTTTCTTTGCTTCTCGAAAATACTTCTGTATTAAACCTGCCAATTAAGTATAATACAGTCTAGGAAAGTAATTAGAGGAACAAAACCAACCACCTCCTTCATAGCGGGCATTACAACCCGAATATCTGGTGTAAATACTAAACTCCTATTTATACAGATAAAAAATATTGTACAAAAGAATTTGTTAATTTTACAAGCATGAAACAAGCAAACACAAAATTAGTTTATAAGTATAAAAGTATAAACAAACTCCATTAGTAAAAACAATATATTGCAAAAAAATAATGTTTTAACGCATAAAAATAATAATAATTGAATTTTGAAAATCGTCCAGCCCGGTTAAAACAAGACTAACAAACAACACCAAACTGCCTGTTGTTGTACGTCTAGGTAAATTAAAATATGTTCCTAATTTAGTTCAAATACACTTGAAAGGAAAAATGTGAAGCAATTCTGTCCAGTTTTTTATCTAAAGTCTCATCCTTTGTGGGTAACCCTGTATAATAATGTATATAACTTGTTGCCAGATCATCTACTGTTTATTCTGTGAAACATTACAAAATGATTTTTATTTTTTATTTCTTCTTGATTTCCCTGAACAGTTTGCGAGTTCTAAATCTCTTTACCCAAATTCATCTCTATTTTTTTGTAAATCAAAAATAATTTTCTGTTGTATGTTTACATTGTTTAGGTCATTATTATTTTGACAATAAGCCTACAATTGGTATGATAGCAGATGTACATGTGTGGGACAGAACCCTCAGGTACAATTATTGACTCAGGTCAGGTCAGGTTAGGTCAGGTCAGGTTAGGTCAGGTCAGGTTAGGTCAGGTCAGGCCAGGCCAGGCCAGGTCAGATAAGGTCAGGTCAGGCCAGGCCAGGCCAGGCCAGGTCAGGTCAGGTCAGGTCAGGTCAGGTCAGGTCAGGTTGTTAAATTAAGTGGTCAGCTAGGACAATAAAGTATTAGCTAGGACAATAAAGTGTTAGCTAGGACATAAAGCGTTAGCTAGGACAATAAAGTGTTAGCTAGGACAATAAAGTATTAGCTAGGACAATAAAGTGTTAGCCGCAACGATAAAGTATTTCCAAATTTGAGTCAGGATGAGAAAGGAAAATAATATGGTCACTAGGAATGTAATAATTATTACATCTACTTTACAGAAGTTAGGGGAATTTTACTTTATTAGTGGTTCCCAAGACAAACTTTGCCTACGAAATGTCCAAGGCATGGCAGGGATAATTTTTATGAAATGTTGTTTACTATATTACTCATGGTCAGTTTTCAGTAGATTTTATTAATAAGTGCTACAATAATCATAAGTACATAGTAATCATTGTGCTATAATGTTGTTGAGTGTATATTGGGTAATCCAAAATAACAAGTGTAGAAATTATAGTCTAATCTCACTCTGATCCGAGACTCCTGAATACGCCGGACCAATATGGTTGAAGAGTTCAAAAGTATCTAATCTGTATTCTTGGATTTTTTACACACTGAAATATATCACCGTTTAGAAATAGATACAGTATATTTATTTAAAGACAAGACATAAACTAAATATCAAATTTATGAATCTACATACCATAAACCCCCAGGTGAGTTAGTAACTCCTACATTCAAAACGATTGCATTATAACTGAGTTAATTATAATCAAATGAATTGATGGTAACCTGGAGGAAGGCCCGCCACAACAATGTCTAGTCCGGGCCACATTTTCCGCATTTTCTTGTCCGAGCCACCTTGAAATCCTCGTCCTTCCAATATTTTTATTTTTAATCCATCAAAATACAACTATTTTTTAAAAATCGGGCCATGTTAGGGCATAAATGAAATATTAAATTTTTCTGATGAGAGAGTAATTGATCTTTGTTTGAACAAACAAGTTGATGAGATTTTGACCATTGGTTTGACATTGATAGTTTACAAACTTGTATCCGTGTTGACATTGATAGCTGAAGTTATCATGCCCATTGGTTTGGCATTGATAGTTTACAAGCTTGTGTCTGTGTTGACATTAATAGCTTACGAGATCCTGCCCATTGGTTTGGCAATGATAGTTTACAAATCATGTCCAGTTTTGATATTGACAGTAAAGTGAAAATGAGTTGTACCTGGATAGATATGAGAAACCCTTATGGAGTAGGGCATATACTACAAAAGTGGTAGCAGCAGTTGTATCAAGGAACCCTATTTAAATGCCAAATACTCCAAGGAAGAAAATCAAGTGTGCACTTTGTTTAACAGAGCACTGAGAGAAACAAGACAAGGAGATATTTTAGAAGTTGAAGCATCAACAGCAACACTGGACACTGTTGAATCATTGTACCCTAACCTACCTAGTGAGAACGATTCAGAGATAGAACTAAGCATAACAAAAGCCTGCAGTTCCAGATGCAGAGGTTGGAGCAAATGGAGCTGGGAAAGCAAGCTTTAGAGGCAGTAGTTGGAGCAGTGCAAAAATATGTAGAAGAAGTAGGGCTGGGCACGTTCCGACTTTTTAAAAATCATTCCGTTTCGTTTAAGAACGAGGGTCTTCAGCTAAATCGTTCCATTCTTGTTCCTTTTTTATCATTCCGTTCTTGTTCTGTTCCATTCCATTCTGAGTAGAAGAACAGTCTTCTTGTTCCATTCCGTTCTTAAACAAAGATGAGAAATTCAAGAATGAAGTGATAAAATGATTTTAGACAATTTTTTGATTCTGGCGATACATACCAATCATATCAGGAAAACAGATTTAGTAGAGTTGAAAATAGATCTAGAACCAGGAACAGTTCCCAAGAGATCAAAAGTGAGACCGTTAATCCCAGATTAGAAAAGAAAGCTGAAGGATCAGATAGGGTGGTCAGAGCAAGGGGTCATTGAATAGTCCTTGGGCTTCACATTAGTTCCAGTTAAGAAGAAAAATGGAAGAACAAGATGCGTGCCAGATCTAAGGCTTTTAAATTCTGCAACAGTGAAAGATGCTTATTCGTTAACAAACATTCAAGAGAATTTACAGAAGATAAAAGGTGCTACAATATTCAAGTTAATTGATGCTTGAGGCACCAATCACTGTGTTCAGATCGAGGAAGGAAGAAAAGATTGTACTTGCTGCAAGGCAATGTTTTTATTCTTCTGGTTTACGGGATATTGCAGGAGATTTATTCCCAGGTACAAAGCTTTGACAAACCCCATAGACGCGATGAATAAGTACTTGAAGTTCGAGTGGTCAGAAGACATTGAGAAGGATTTCAGGGAGTTGAAAGAAGAGTTTGCGGCCGGCAAGATTCAAGCGTATCCAGACTTTGACTCCAATGAGCCATTTATCCTCACTGCGGACTGGTTTGCTTTGAACATTGCTGGTATACTGTCTCAGAAACAAGGAGTGGAACTTATCAGTTGCTGGGGCAGGAAGTGCAACCAATAAGAGAAACATTATCCATCCAGAAAAGAGAACTGTTAGCTTTAAAGTGAAGAACATAGAGAGATGGAAACATATCCTGAAGTACTGGCCCCCTTTTCTAGTTTATACTCACACATCCAGCCTGAAGTACATTGTCAGCATAAAATCTGATGAGAGTATCTTTCAACATTGGTTTGAAGACTTGGCCAGTTCAAATTCATAGTAAACCACAAGAAGGGGGTTAAAAATGTGAAAACAGATGCATTATCAAGATCAAACCATTTAGATGAACCAATAAAAAAAAGAAAATGAAGAGTATCAGATTGAGAAAGAAGTAGGAGAGCTCAAGATAACTTATGCTACAAATCTTGAAGGAGATCCAGCAGAAAAAACAAAGGAGGGTGGATTTTTGCCGGATATATTTTTTTAATAGAGATCGCTTTAATTACAGTTGTAGAGTAATTGTACCCCTGTTGAAATATTCGGGTTGAGATCATACCTCATTATAGGGTAGCAATTGATTAAAGGCTTGATAGATAGCCAATGCTTGTGTCCCTGTGTGGCATTTAGAGCCAAAGTAATAGCTTGTTTGATGGCTACGTTTGCATCCTTGTGTGGCATTTAGAGTCAGGTGGGTTGATTTATAGCTTGTTGATAGCTAAGCTTGTAACCCTGTTTGGTATTTAGAGCCAGGCGGGTTGCATTTACAAAAAAGTAAACACAAGACTGATGTCACAGCCTGACATGGGATCCATCTTTGACATTAAAAATCAATGAAATAATCTGGTCATAGAAACTATTATGTGAATTATCAAAATAAATGCTGTTATCATCCTCGGATACTAGAGGAATACTTATCTTGTTTACAAACACTGCCCAGAGAGAACTGTTTTCAATATGTACACAGAGAATACGCAACAGCAACTAACTTTCCTTGTCTTATTACCCTGGTTTACATAAAGTATAAATAGTACATTCAGGGGTGGTGCAACTTTTACATAGAAATAATGCTATCCATCAACTTCCTTCAAAAGTGATTTTACATGAAACAAATGTTAAATGGAGTGTTCGCGAAAAATGAAAGGGGTATAAGCTGAGATTGCATTATTCAACTCAGATCGAAAATAATTCAATTTAATTTAATCCTTCAGATATTACAACCTATGAATGTCAAGTTCAATTCGCTGTATATTATAACATGCGGTGATATAATGTTTCCATAGTTCCTGGATATTTCAATTTAAATAAAAATAAATTTAATTTTTTTTTAAATTCTGCTTTGGTAAGGAGCTTATTTGATTTAGTAATAACCTTTGCATCAAGACAAGTACTCAAACATTTCATTAAATTTCCTATAACACTATGTTTTTGGCACAAGGTATTTTGGACTTAAATTTGCTCTGTGTATCGCCTAAACCTTGGGACAAAATATAATTTATTAAAACCTTTTTAAGAAAGAGAAAATTTATTTCCAAAATATTTTTAGCACCAATATAACAGTGTGATAAAAAGGTATAAAGGTTTTTATACAACAATTTAACCATGAATAAAGGTTTTCATGGTGAAATCAGAGTAAGAATCTAGTTTATTAACACAAACCAAAAATCAACAAAACTGTAAAATTTCACTCCAGATTCCAATGTTTCAGTGATACTGAGCTTAAAGACTATTCCAACTGTATTCCTGTCAAAGCTTCTGGCAATATCATAAATGATTCAACATTGTGGGATGTTACAGGTGATGCTATTTCTATTTATTATTATGTTACATTGTTATTTACTCCAGTTTAGATAAAAAAGAAAAAAAATCTTCTTTTCACATTCAAAATTAAATTTTAACAATTATTTATTTTTTAAATTGGAATCTTTAACTATTACAGGAAATCTTACCATGAAGAAAGAGTTTAATCAATCAGATGTAGAATGTTCAGATCAGAATAAACGTAGAACAGTTTATGTTACAAGCACTTTTGCTAACTTTGAGGATGCAAATGAAGCATGTGACAAATATGGGATGAACAGCATAGCAGATAATTTTAAGGTATGTTTTCATGAAAAGGGTTTTCTTTGGGTAATACAGAACTCACAAAGGCTTATATCTTAATGGTACAACTTATGAATTACACCGTTGGAAAGGTTTTTAAAGCATGACCATAATTCAAAAGTTTGGTCTCAAGTCTTTTTTGAAACAATAAACAATATTTAAAGACAACATTTTTAAACATAAAAACACATGTAAATTATTTTTTTATTTTTTGTCAGTTTTCTGCCAGTTTTAGAAGAAAAATTAATGAAAGGCGTAATTATTTTTAAAAAATCTGTTCCTTCTTTTTTGTTTTCTGTTATTTTTTTTTCATTAACAGTTATTTCATTTGATAACGATTTGTACGTTCATAAATAAAATCTTTTGTCAATTTGAAAAATATATGTCTTGTCAACAAAACATGACAGCTTTCTTTGTTAAAGAGTCTTGAAGCCTTTAAAAGATACCAAGAAGAAGCATTGAAAAATCCAGCTGTAATATCTGAATGCTGGACTGGTGGAAGATTACTGCATTGGTTACCATTCTCTGCAGATGTTCAAAATAAGGAATGTTATTGTCTTTTAAACTGAATAAACAAGTTTCCTACAAAAATCTCAATCCTCTATTTCTTTGTTATTAATACTCGATAAAATTCAGCTTATCAATAACTTGAAAAAAACTGAGAATATTTTCCAGATTAAGCATTATGCACTATGCATTAGGATTGCAAGTAGTAGCTCCCATGACAATAATTATTTTTAAAGACAAAAGGTGCTTTCCCGAGTGACAACTTCCAAAAAAAAATCCATAAGTGGGAACTTCCCAAAAGTGCAATTTCCAAGCCTCAGCACTTAGCTTCAAGCCTTTTTTAGCCTCAGCATGTGATCCCCTATTCCATCCTTGCTGCAGTGTTTGGCCCCTCATCGCAGCCACACAGCCTGCGGCACCTCAGAAGACCTTACATAACTTTTGGGAAGTTGCCACTTTGGAAAATTTTACATTTGGGAAATTGTCACTTGAAAAGTCACCCTTTGAAATATTCCGTTGTAAAAATACCTACCACCTTTATAAAATCAGTCAGACAACAAAAAAATGCTCTCAGTCATTGAAACCTGAAGATTTCAGCCACATACACACAAAGGATCCGTTGACCATAGACCCCTGGAGATCCTCTCAACCTAATTCTAAGGAGCCCAATTGTGTTAAAACATACCTCAGTAAATTGTTTTTTTTAAGTGCAGCATTGTAACTGTATTTTTATTCAATATTTTAAAATGAAGGATTTTTTTTTTGGTTTAACTTATACTTATTTATGTAACTCTGGCTTTCTATAGTAAAATAATTAATAGCAAAATAGTTTAATACTAATGAAATTTAAATTTTCAGGTTTGGAGTATGATGAAAGCTGGTAAGTATTTTTAAATATTCAGGAATGTATTTTCATTAAGTACAAATTTCAATATTTTTTTCTCCAGGTATGATTTTCCATGTGAAAACCCAGATTTAGAGTGGGCATCTTGTGTTGCTTGTAAAATACCACAAACTTTAGAGGCACAAATTTCCATTACTTTGAAAGGACTATGCAAAACCACAAGATTTGACACAACATTTCAGGTGAATTTATTTTTTTAATAAACTAAAATGAAAAATCCACATCAAGAAGATGTCAAGAAAATAGTCTTTATTATGATAAATTAATCCTATTAGTGTTAAACGTCTCATTTCATTTATAAAATAGGTGAAAAATGATGCTGATTCTGGATATATTTCATATATTGGTGACAAGGCAACTACTATCAAATATGATGCAAAGGTAAAACCTAGCAACACTCATTAAAATGATTGTATTTGTATAAATATTATGTACTAATTCTAACATAATTGAACAGCTGATATAATGGCAAACTGGATCCAAAATTTTTTTTTGAATTTTTTAAATCCTTACTGTTCTTAAAGTTTCAATTGCGAAAATTTTCATTCTTACTATCTTTACTGGTATAAAAGTAGCTTTACAGTTAAGAATATTAAAAGTGAAGTTCAGAACAGCATGCAATAATCTGGTAAATAGTGGGGCCTGAAGTATAAAGTACTGAGATATGATTTTTGACCCCTTATTGACGAATCTATGATTAGAAGTTACTTTACGTACTTAATCTGCACATTTCCATCTCAGAAGAAGATATATTGTGTACATCTACTTTTTCAGGAATTGAAAGATTTTAAGTTTTAAGTTAACAGTAAAAATAAATGTTTTTTTTACTAATCTTTTGCTGAAAAACATGTTTAAATTACTTGAGTTTTTAAATATCCGATCCTTTTCCACAATAGATTTGAGTTGAGTTCATTTACCTTCATATTTAACTAGGAGATGGTATAGTTTTCACACATTTCTAATCTCAGTTAACTGAATACTTCTGTGTTTATTATCATTGTATTCCAAATGTCTTTTAATGTTTTAGTGCATACTATCTAAAGGGCCCGGCTTTGCCCTTGGAAAAAAAGACAAAAATTTTTGAATTTTTTTTTTTTAAATAACAAGTGTTCACAAAAAATTTCAGTCCATTTGGTATAGCTGTTTAGCCAGCTAAAGGCAACATATATATATGAGTGTCTTGTTTAATTATATAGAAGACTATCTGAAGGACCCGGCCAAGCCAGTAGAAAAAAAAATTGGAATTTTTATTTAATATTTAGAAAAAAGGATAAAAAAAAAAAATTATAACCCTTGGCCACCCATGAGTGTCCATAAAAAATGTAAGCCCATTCTGTCCAGCCGTTTGGCGGTCTATAGGTAACATATATTTATATATGAATGTCTTGTGTTATTTCAAAGATAGAGCATCTTCTAGTTATATGAACTCTAAATTATTTAAGAAACGCACATGGGTGATGTCCAATGTAAACAACCCAAACATTATTGCAACATCCACTGCTGCTCTTAAAACTTATGTTATGGGTACACACAACTGGACAATAAGGTAATTATCCACGGCAAGAACAAAATTATTCAATCTTTATTAATAATAATGATAGGAATGATATTGATTGTGAAGAAGAAGAGACTACATTGTTAACTTTGTCAACATGTAAAGATAATGAGTTTGCTTGCTCTAATGGACTTTGTATTGATATAACTAAACGATGCGACTCACAAACCGATTGTAAAGACAAAAGCGATGAATTTGGTTGTCGTAGAATAAACCCAGATAGATCCTATCAAAAATTCATTGCCCCCCCTAAATATAAGGATCAAATTTCTTCGAAAATTGTAATAGAAGTGTCTGCAGACATCATGGACATATTAGACATAGATGAAAAAAACTCAATATTTCAGGTAAATTACAACTTAAGATTCCTCAAAAAAATGCTAAAACATACATTATGCTTCTCAGGTTCAATTCTACCTCCATTTCTCCTGGTATGATGGAAGACTAACATTCTTTGATCTACGCAATGATTCTGGGCTGAATGCTTTATCCCCATTAGAAAAAGAACTTCTTTGGATTCCATCCCTTGTTTTTGAAAACACTGAGGATAAAAGTACTACCTTAGTAGATGATGAAGCTAGTGTAACAATAGAAAAGCAGGGGGATTTCTACCTCTCAGGACTTGATGAGCATACAAATAGACAATATTACAAGGGAACTGAAAACAAAATTATACTCTCTCGATTTTATAACACAAGGTTAGATTTCAAATCATCCAGTTGATTAATTTATTGCATAGTGATATGATTTATTTCCAAAATTTAACCCTTAATAATATATGTAAATTCAGGAGACATTAGGTTCAAACTGAGATTTGGCCAAAATATAATAATAAAGAACGCAATATTCTTAAGGAAAAATATATTAAATTGAGGCTTAAAGGGACTGTAAAGGAAAAATGAAAGGGGGTATAGACTGAAAGCTAATCACTTTAGCTCTCGATCGTGACCCATGAAAGTCATATCTGATGTTCCATCTCGAGAAATTGATATACAACTTTTTCAAATTTATACAAAAATTAATATATATACAATTTTGTATAAAAGTAGTAGGTTTAAAAAGATCAAATTCAGCAAATAAGCAACCAATCTGAAAACGATGATATCCCAGAGAAAGCTAATTGTAAATTAGGTTTACTTTTATATTTGTTATTTCTATTTTTAATAGATTTCATTCATAATATAATTAATATGTCCGTATTACTTCACCAGAAATTCCACCAATGGCAGTGCAGTAAAGTGGTCACATGATACAGGCGGAGACACGTGATCAGTATACTGCTCTGCCATTGGTGATAGTTCTGGTCACATGATTTAAGTTTAAGATTTTCTAAAGATTACATATATGAACTTTTGTATAATTTTAACACAGTTTTATATCAATTTCTCGAGACAGGAACATCAGATATAACTTTCATGGGTCGTGATCAAGAGCTAAAGTGATTACCTTTCAGCCTATACCCCCTTTCATTTTTCCTTTACAGTCCCTTTAACTCCTTAAATATTGTCCATTCTTGGAACAATTGAGGTCTGGAGTGTTTTAGTACAATGGTCGTCTTATATTTTAGTAGAATCAAGACCTTAGATTTCAATTTTGATTTCTAACAAGCTTTTAAATACCAGGGATACACAAAAACATGGAAACAAAGAAAAAATGTCATTTAACAGCTTAATTTTGCTAACTTGGAAAGTTGTAAACTTGTTATTTAAATAAAGAAATAATAATAAAAAATAAATCAAATCCTTAGATAGAAAATGTGTCTTCATTGTCTTGATATAAAGGTCAACCACTGTGACATATTTAGGTTTTTGTGCACTTATAACTTCCAGTGGTATCCTTTCGACATTCAGAATTGTCAGCTACAACTCACTATGTTTGGAAAATCTGGAGACTTTTCCACTTTAGGTAAAGAATTTTTCAACTGAGTGTCAATATTAAAAGAGAGAGTAACATAAAAAGCCAGATGTTACAATTTGAACTCTAAACATGTTATAAATTATGATCACCAAATTGATGAATGTGAACATCTTCAATTTGTTTTTAATTTAGAAGCTAAAATTCTCAATTTCTTTGGACAAAGATCTTCTAAAGAGTTTGTGGTCGAGAGTTATTTCATGAGAGTTTCAGAAACCAGAGGAAAAACTGTTTTAAAGGTAATTCTGAACTGCACTGAAAGGGTTGATTTTATTCAATATCAGACAAAGTATGTATCTTCAATTAATATGAATTTCTTTTTACCCAAAGTATTCAAGGATATAAATAAAACTGTAAGTGATAAAAGGTAATGATAAGAAATGTGATTTTTATTAGGGAACATGATAACAACTAATTAATATGAGATCAACATAGGATTTGTTAAGTTTTATTATTTAAAAACTGATTTCCCAGAATGGAAAATATGAGTTTAAGTATTGTAATTCACATATCTACACTCATTGCTCTGTTTCTAATAAAGAAGTTGTATGGATAGAATAGTAGTTCACAGTGGAAACTATCAACATGTTGAGAAACCAACTCAATTTATCATCCTGACTTGAATCCTAATTTTTTCATTTGAAATACAATATTTCTTCACTTAATTCAGCACTTATAATTCACAACACATAAAATGAATATTTAGATCAATGTGATACTTGGAAGAAACTTAATGCCTATTGCATTAAACACATATCTACCATCCATGCTCCTTGTCATAATCAGTTATGTGACTGTCTTCTTCAAACCATTCTTCTTTGAAGCTATTGTAACTGTGAATCTAACTACATTGCTGGTTCTGGTCACTCTGTTTGTCAGCGTATGTAAACTTTTTTCAAATTTGTAAAATTGTATAGTAATAAATACAAAGGTTTAAAGACAACAAAAGAATTAGTATATGTCCCTTTCCAAGTTTTTTTTGACTATAAGTGCTACAGATTTGTTTGTTTTTAAAATGAATCAAGTACTCATTTTAAAATGAAGCTGTTTGATAACATTTTCTGCTTAATTAAGGCCTCAGGGCTTTTTATTTCGGTTTACAAGAAATAAATTTTGATAATTTTCATTAAAAAAAAACTTGACTTTTAATGCAGAACTTTTTATTATGATTCAGTAAATTGCACTACTTATCTCCATGAATATGCAAGTAGAAACCATTGACAGCTACAAATAATATTTAACAGCTTTTGTAATTTTTCTGTTTTCATAACCAGCAGGGGTATTAATTAAAGAATGATTTCAAGGCAACAATCCACAAACTATTTTGTTTTCTCTGAGTTTCTGTAAAAATTTCTGATATAATAAATCAATTTTTCATTTTGATCATACCAACTCAGGTAAATTGGGATTCTTTTAACTTTGAATAAAACAGAAATATTCTAGAATCTAATATTCATTTTTAGATGTTGTCATTTTTTATGCATACTCTCCATAAGTTGTATTAACAGGTTAGCGATAGCCTGCCTCCGACCTCTTACATAAAGATGGTTGACATTTATCTTATCTTTTGTCTTCTGATTCCATTTGCTGAAGTCATACTTATCACAATTATGGACTACCTTAGAATGTAAGATAAATATAATATTGATGATTACAAAGCTAGGACAAATTTAATAGATAGCAAGAAGTTGTTGAATTAAGTAGACAGAATTGAACCACTTCTCATATGCTACCTATGGCATGGGTCAGTGGTAAAACTTGGTTTTTGCCTTATTCTATCAACACAAAACTTCTGGTATTAATTGATAGTTACTTTGTTGAATGTTTTTCAGGAAATCTGAAAAGGATTCTAAAACTGATGATGAGGTAACACAGATTCTATATACACATTGCACCTCTAATGCCTTGTGTTAAACTAAGCACTAATAAACAACCCAATTTGTCCAGTATCCACAATGTCAGAACAAGCATTATAAGGGCATATTTCATAAACGTTAAAATACCTCTGTCAGGGGCGGATATAAGGATTCTGTAGGGGGGTAAAAATTTTAATTTGGCGCGCGAAGCGCCCCGGAATTTTTTTTACCCCCCCCTAGAAATTTGTTTACCCCCCCCTAGAAAAATATCATGATGTATATCAAATTATTGGTTATAATTGGGTTTGATTTGCAATTTCCACTCATTTCTGGGATTTACAAACTCAATCTAATAAAGGCTTCATTACATACCTTTCAGCTTTCACCTTGTTTTATACCCTTCATTAAAGTCATTCATTTTACATTAACTACAAAGATCTGTACTAAAAACTGAATTTATTTATTTTAACTAAACTTTTTATATTAAGTTTGCTGGCAAACATTGACAAAAAAGGCAGTAATATAAAAAA